TGCACCTGCTTGATACTTTTCCTGTTGCATTCTTATGGGGCCAGCGCGTCCTGAGGAAGTGAAGCATTTTCCTATCTTTGGCTTCTATTTTGAAGACGGCAGGTAACCCCCGATAGTGTGAACTCAATGTCTCACCCAGTGGACATAAAACGAGATAGATCCAGCCCTGTGCACCGCTTCCAGGCGGCTCTATGGCTTAGCTGGTTAAAGCGCCTGTCTCGTAAACAGGAGATCCTGGGTTCGACTCCCAGTAGGGCCTCGCGTTTTCTAGTATTGCGTACCAAAGTCACCGCGTTAAAACCCAGTCAGGTACCTTACAACTTGCTCAGAATTCCTCACTTTTGAAAAGGAAAAAAATTCTCAGGGAGATGACAGTTAAACACTACCACCAAAGAAGAGATGTGACGTTATCCTAACTACTGTTCCTATATAAGTTTTGCATTAAATCGGTGAGACTATTTTCGACATCTGCATTCTGTTACTGTTTAAAGGCCCTAGACATGCAGATACATATACTCTCAACTCTAACAATCTCCAGCTTTAAGATAAATTAATGAACAATGAATCCACTAAGAGTTACAAAGGAAGATTAGGATTTTTGCCATTTTGAAATGGACCTGAGGAAGAATTCTTATACACCCGGGTCTATTCTCTCTTTTTTTTTTTTTTAAATAGAGGCATTTTTTTTTTTGTTTGTTTGTTTGTCTGTTTTTGTTTATACATGCACTGGGTACAGTCAGAAGCGCGGGAGGGTGAGAGAATTCACCAGAGCCAGAGCGGGGAGCAGAGCAGGCAGAAGGACCGAAGTACACTGCTGAGGGGAGCAGCGGGCGGCAGCGGGTCTATTCTCTTAAGTTCAGTGTTAAGGAAAAACAGAAAGGTTTTAGGGACGATGATCAACTGGCAACTAAAATGTCCTAGACAGGAGTACTCCAGAGACAGAACGATGTTGCTGTGAGGAAAGAGCTAGCTGCCTGGAGAATTCTAACAGATAGCTAGAGAGATTTAGTATGAGCACTAGGGATGTATGGCTTGTCTTTAATTTAAATAAAGGCCAAAAAGAAAAAAGAGAGAGAGAAAAGATGGGTTAAAAAAATAATCCCAATAGCTAAAATTGAATAAATTTTCTCATAAAAATATAATTAATTTAATAAAAATGTAATATGCTAAGAGATTCATTTAAAATATACAAGGACAAGAAGACTTAGAAAACAGATGCAAAAAGAAATCCTAAAAATATTGATCAGAAAAAATCTTGTATATTTATAATAATATCAGATAAAATGGAATTTATGACAGAAACATTAAGAGGGACATAAGACATAAAGAGGGACACTTCAAAATAATAAATAGATTCAATTCAGAAAGAATACAATTTTTACACATGCATGTCCCTAGCTATATGACTACAAAATATGTAAAGCAAAATTCTTCAGAGTCTGTCAGCTTGAGAGATTTAAGCATTTTCCAGTAATTAATGCAAGCAAAAGGTAAATTTTGTAAAAAGAGAAAAATAAATAACCAAACCTGACCTAATAGACCTATAGAAAATGCTATACCCAACACTGGAAAATGCAAAATATTTTAAATATACATGTGGCATATAAAAAAACTTAAATATAATGCCATAAAGAAGCCTCAACCCATTTTAAAGAATTAAAGACGTAAAAGAGCTGCTCTTGAACACAACACCACAATTCAATGAAACTAGACAACAGAAGAAATAATAGGATACATAGGACATATCCTTCTGTATCAAAACTGCAGAAATACACTGGGAAGACATCCATGAGTCAAAGAATAAGTCATCAGAAAATACTTTGAAATGAAAAATAATAAAAATACTACTTTAAAAAATTGTTTTGTTGCAAGTTTAGAGTTATTAAAATAAACTGCTCTCAGTCTTCTTGTACATAACTTCTTGTTGGATAAAAGCCCCGACTTCTCTTGGCTATGACAAAGTAGTGAAATTGCTGGATCAGAAGAGAGGTAAATATCTGGCTTTATTAGAAATAACAAAGTTTTCCAATGTGGCTTCACCATCATTGCCATCAGCAACATGTGAGCACTCCAATTGTTCCACAGCCTCTCTAAATCATGGAATTATCATTGTTTTTAATTTTAACCACTCTAGTGTCTAGGGATATCTCATTCATTTTTGTTTGCATTTCGGTTGTCTATTATCACAAAACAAACTAACCCAAAACATTGCTCTAAAAAAATTAAATTTACTTATTTGCTTCATGCATCAAGTTGTTTATCCCAATATTTCCAGCAGGCCACAGGCTGCCTCCAACCTCCAGGATGGCAGAGACAGAGCCCCCAATCAGGACCAAGGCTTCTTACCCACCCCAGGACAGAGCTTGAATCTTCTCTATCAGTGGTCATCCTCGTGACCCATGCACATCCTCTCACACTGCCATACAGCACCTTCAAGGGAAAAAGGGGGTATTCCTCTATGTCAATGCCCCAAACTTATGCCTTCAGGGAGAGTTACAAGCCTCCTCCCCCACTGACATACACACCACACACACACACACACACACACACATCCCCGCAAAACCAGGACAACTTCTTTCCCATGGCACCCACCAGCTAGCATGGCAGTGATATATTTACTGCTTAGTAAATACCCAAGTCCAGCCGAAGTCCTAACTGGGGAAAGCAGGGGAAATGTGGGGGCATTGTGGGTGTGATCGTGCAGGCCTGGGGTCATAATAAAGCTTATTCATTTATCCATACAACTGGGTGATAGAAACCTTGGGAATTCCACAGAGCCCATACTGGCTCTTTCCCCCACTCCCACCCCATCTATTACTCTCCCTCTCTCTCTCCCTCTCCTTCCTGGCACTGTTGACTCCCTTTCCCCTCAATTTTATCCCTTTTGAATTGCAATGTCTATAATGGTCAGTCCCTGCCTGTCCCACCATTGTATCTGGAAAAGCAGATAATGTGTAAATTTCATAAATTCACAGGTGGAGAGAAATTGTACCCAGAATCAATTATACACAGAACTTCACCTATACCTGACTTGGGTGATTCAGATGATGAGATTTGCTACTTTTTGACTGATGAGATTTAATTGAGTTGATATTGGAGTGAGTTGAGATTGGGGGGAGACAGCAATGGGCTGGATGTTTTTTCAGGTAGGTCCGGCATGAATCCTTGGAGACTAGAGTCAGACTACGGTAAGTAAATATGTCCCCCATTCCTCTCCACTAGATAACATTTTCCTGAGCTCCGAAATCTGGGACTATGCTATCTTGCATGGCAAAAAAGACTTTGCAGATGTGATTAAGTGTTACCATGAGAAGATTATTCTGGAAAAGTTGGTGGGCTCAATGGAATCACGAGATCCTTATAAGAGGACACTAGGGGTCAGAGTCAGCAGGAGAGGTGAAGGCAGAAGCAGAGATCAGAGTGTTGTGACCATGTTGCAAGGCAGGGCAACCTCTAGAAGCTGGAGAAGATAAGCAATGAATTGTCCCCCATGGAGGGCACTCTGCCACATCTTGATGTTAGCACCAGAAGACCCATTTCAAAACTTCTACTTCCAGGACAGTGAAATAGGTGAGTCTCAGCTACTGAATTTTTTTTTTTTAATTTTACTACAAATTTATACAATTACTACAGAACACAATGTAGTCAGTGTAATGAAAAACTGTCTTGCTACCAAAGAAAACTAGCAGAGTTTTCAAAAGACTAAATGCTACATTCACTAGCTTATCACATCAGATTGATTGGGAATTGAGCTTGGAAACTCCATTTCACAGCAAAGTACCTCACAATAGAAGGCTAACTCACTGCTACTAAGCTTTTTCACTTTTTTTTTTTTTTTTTTCAATCAAATGAGTGTGTAGAAATGACAAAACACTTGTGCCTTCTCTGAGGATCGAACTCAGGACCTTCAGATTATGAGACTGACGCGCTGCCTACTGCGCTAAGAAGGCACTTGCTTCCCGGTACTTCAGTAGACCTATCGATTCTAACCCTTCCAAGCTTGTAAAATTTTGCAAAAGTTGATTTTACAAATTTTAAACATCGGGAAGAAAACAAAAGCGTGTGTCATGTCATGTTTACTGTTGCTCCGCGTATTCACAATGACTGAACCAGATCACTTTAGGATTTTATTCTTGAATAAATAAACATGCAAAACAGTGCTTATTTCCACGATGTCATAAACACTACTTAAAGCTGGGAGACATTAGACCTCACTAAATTCCGCACTGGATGATAACGACATGCGCAGACGGTGACGTCCAGATACACTGGGCCTGGGCTGGCTCCACGCAAGTGAACATTTCCAGACCGCAACGACCGAGAGAAAAAACTACTTATCGCTGGTGAGAACAGACTTCTAAGTCGTTCTTGGCACAATTTCTTTCCACGATTTCTTTTCACAAGACGCACAAAGCAGGACTCGAGATGGGGATGGGCGAGAAGGGGCGTTCCTCCGTCTTCAAGTCGCGACAGGAAGTGTAACTCCCCCAAGTGAGTTCACAGACCCCACGCTCCGGGTCTGTGTCCTCGGGGCGCCGGGGCTGCGACGGCCTGGGGGTTTCTGATCCATTTCGCAAGGACTGATTCTCCGAGTTTGAAGGATATTCCGCCCTGGCTGCTTCTCCTTTCACCCTCCAGCATCAGAAAAAGCACTGGAGGCAAACGCGGGTCTCCTCGTTCAGTGCAAGCGGGAGGGAGGGGGAGCCCTTTTGCGGAGTTTAGTGGTGGTTGGGATGGGTAAAGGCGTCCGTAGGGAAGACTCGCTCTAGAACTGAAGCACAGCCTTGTGGCTTTTAAACCACTGAAAAGAGTCCCAGCGAATCCAGTACGTGGTAGCGTGGCCGAGCGGTCTAAGGCGCTGGATTAAGGCTCCAGTCTCTTCGGGGGCGTGGGTTCGAATCCCACCGCTGCCATCTTTGCTTTTGTAAACTGACTCATGTAATTTCTTTTGCAATTCCCTGAACCTGGGAACGTCTTTGGAACCAAAAGGTGCCCAAGGTATTTATCTCTGTAGTTACAACTGTTACTACTTGTTATCTGTATGTAAGAACAAGATGGGGGGGTAGGTGGGGGGAGGGAAGGGAGAAGGAAGAGAGGGGGGAGAATTTAATAATGTTTGTACAGAAATAATTTGGTAATTCTGGTGACTTTTGTCTTGTCATCCCTAAATGTTACTCATTTATCCTCCCTTTGTGCTAGGAAAGGGACTGTTTCCTCAACACGCTCAACACACTGTAATAATGACAATTACCAGTCATTTAACCGCCAATAATCCCTATTTTTTGCCATAAATTCTTCACATATATTGTCATACATATTCCCAATAATAAATAAACAAGTTCATATTATTATTTCCATTTTACAGAGGAGGAAACTGAAGTTATCAACAGTTAATCCCTTGCCTGGTGATGGAGCAATCAGGATGTCAATGCGTATGGTAGACTGAAAAATGGCCCCACAAAAGGTATTCATCCTAATTCCTAGAAGCTGCAAATACTTTCTTATATGGTAAAAGAAACTGGGGGAGATTAAGTTAAGGATTCGGAGATGGAGACTTTGTCCTGGGTTATAAAATGGACCTTAAATGTCATCACAAGTGTCCAAATAAGAGAGAGAGGTTACCCAGAAGATCACACAGAATCACACAGATCACACAGAAGAGAAGCAAAGTGAGCACAGAGGCAGAGGTGGAAGAAAAAGCTGTGCTGGGGCAAATCTAGGGCCGCTGGCAGTCAACACCGCCAGGAAACCCAAGGGTGGACTTTCCCTTCAGCCTCCATCATGAGTATGACCCTGGCAACATCTGGTTCGGGCTTTTTGATACTCACTTTGGACCTCTGACCTCCAGAACTGTGAGAAAATTAATTTTTGTTGTTTTAAATCACTGAATTTCTGGTAATTTGTGACAGAAGCCACTACCGAAACTAATCCGTCTTTAAGTACCCTATGGCAAACAACAGTTTTTGCTTGATTGCCAATTTGATAGGTTAAATATTGTCTCATTGTCCGCTTCTCCGGGAAATCCACCAACTAGAACAGAAGAAAGGACTGGACTGGGGGAGATTCCCACACCTTTTGCTGCTTGCCCTGGACTAAGAGAATTCTCCCCGCCTAAGCTAATTCCCTGAAGTGAGAATGTCCCACTTTTAAGGAAGAACATATTCACTGGGAATCTCATTGCCGCCTGGAGGGAGCCGGGATGGTGGCTATGGGGTCTGAACCCAGGTATCTAAGGAAATGAATGACTTAATTCTGAGTGCTAGGAGGCTCGCACACTACCTCCAAAGGCGCTTTTAATGCAAGGTTTTTCTCGTTTCCAAACGATATTAAAAACGTTTTGCAGCCTGTTTGTCATGCACACCTTACTTTTCCTGCTTTCTTGGTGCACATTCAGAGCGGCGATTCTTTTTTTTTTTTTTTTAATAATAAATTTTATTTTTATATTCCCCCATACAATTGCAAACGCCCCATTCTGACCCCAATCCTTCCCCTCCCGCCCCCCACCCCCAAAAAGTGTCTCTGGTTCATAGTTTTTTGTTGATTTTGATTTTCGCTTTCTTATATTCATTTTCCTAAGCCTATGAGGAAGAGATCCCCGTCTGGAAGCTTCGCCTACTTCTGATATATCCACCAAGCAGCTCTGCGCAGTGAGCCCGCGCGGCCATTGAGCCTGGGGTGCAGCAAGTGAGACCCTTGGGACCCGAGGGTCGCCCCCTCTTCTGATTCTTCATGGTACCATTGTAAACCCGGCCAAAGAGTAAAACCCCTGCGGGCAGGAGAGGTGGATGCTGAGGAAATGATTTAAAATCCCCGCGGCGCACACGGTCCCAGAAATGTGAGTACCGGGGAATCGTTTTTGCGTGTGTGTCTTTTAATTAAAGTGACATTGGTTTATAACATCATCTAGGTTTCAGGTGAACAGTCTTATTAGTCCACATCTGTATATACTGCATTATATTCTCCACACAAAGTCTCGTTTTCGTGGGAAGTTACTTTGAACATCCACAACTCCAAGTCGGAGGGGCGCCCACCCCATGCTCCGAATCCTCCCACGCCCCCGTTTGGAACCGGAGTTATGTGTGAGAGAGAGCGTGAGGCAGTTGGAGACAGAGACTCAAAGTTCAGAGTGGGGAGCCTCTGCATCAGATGTGCCCACGTGCCCCGTCCGCAGTCTGAATCTTTCTATGGAGATCCTATTAAGAGAGCCTCACTTAACACATTTGAATGAAGAATCTAAGTTACAAAAGAGGAGGTGCAGTAAAAACAAAGTTTGCATTTAGAAGACTTTGTCCCATTTGAAGAAGGGGGAGAGCCTCGATTTTTACTGAGGGTGATCCTCGGAATAATTGAAGTATTATTGATTCTAACACGCAAACTACCCTAAACGTTTCCCGCTTGTATTAGTCCTGCAGAGCAAGCAAGCAGTCAAAAAGATTTCCTTTTTCTCACGATAAAGTGCCGATTGGTATAGGGTAGCCAAGAATAGTTTACCCATTAAGCAAAGATGGATCTAATATTAAGATCGTGAGGAGTGTGGCTCTATGGCTTAGTTGGTTAAAGCGCCTGTCTTGTAAACAGGAGATCCTGGGTTCGAATCCCAGTGGGGCCTTGGCTTTTCCTCTTCCTGAAATCTTAAAATCAATCACACTCCCGTTGTCCCCTATACTCTGAGGGGGTAATGATCATGGTAATATACTTCTGAAAAGAAACAGAAGGAAAATGTACTGATGACCCTGAGGAAAGCTGGGGGAATTTGGTGACTTTTGGGGGCATGAGAGGGAGAATGTAATATGTTCCCAATTCTTAAAGGCTTTTTCTGAACTCCCATATAATTCATTCTTGATTCTAAAGAACCCAACATTATGTTCTGTTTTATATGCTTTTCTAAGTATTACTAAATTATAACCCAGGAATCTATATTTGCTTGTATGCCTTCAGTCTTTGGGGAAGGGCTTTACTCTTCTAGGCACATAATATTTTGGTCTCACTGGAAACTGAAGTTTAGTTCTGCAATTTAAAAAAAACAGAATGATCTTATAATGCAGTGATTCCCAAGGCTAGTGTCCATATAAATCACCCAGAAAACTAGTTAAAATATAGTTTCTTGGGATTCCTTCCCAGAGGTTTTCATTCTAGTTTGGTGGAATGTCCAGAAATGTGCTTTTAACAAGCACTTTAAATGAACTTGAAACAACTGATTACACACAGAGCTATACTCAAAAGTGATTGCACACAGAGCTACACTCAAAAGTTAACACGTTGGTACCACTTCATGAACATCACATACTCTCTTGTCATCAAGCTAGCATTTTTGGAAGTCTACTACATACCACTTGTTTCCAGATACCCTGACATTTAATCAACTATCCAGTCAAATATGTGCTATAATAGCTCTTTGAAGATGAGGGAACAGGCTTAGTAATGTACACACTAACATAGGAACTGACACAGTTCCGTTTCAAAATAGGTCTGACTGAATCTAAAAGCCACACTTTTGCTCATAACTGTCTTCTATTGGATTAGAACCAAGAAGAAAGTTTTTTGGTTACAGTTTGAATAAAATTAAGCAACTTTGTCTGATCTCAAATTTCAGTCCTATGAGTTAAGGTGTCTGAGAGAACTTTCTATTTTCTGCAAGAAGATACCAGTCCTGTGAACTATTATTTAACTCCTTTAGCCCAGGAAGGAGAAGAACGTCAAATAAAACCTTAGAAATCTATGTCAGTGGTTCTCCAGGAAGAATTCACAGCACATTTGAACAAATTGAGTTAATCTTCATCTCCTAGACTCACCATTTTTGCTCTCTTCATCCTGAGTTTTCCCATTTAAATGCAATGCTAATAGTCAGTTTGGGCTGCATAGCTGCTGCTCCCTCCCGATTATCATTAAGGACTTCCTGTCTGTCTGTCTGTCTGCCTTATCAACCCTTGTTCTCTAGCAGACTCCTGACAGTCTTCCTTTATCATTGTCATGGACAATACTCCCTTATATCTTGGGCAGATACCCTGTTTCCTCTTTTTTTTTAATTTCTTTTTTTAACTTACTCTCTGATTTTGGTGACACATGCCCTCCAGCAACTTTCTAAGCAATGGTGCCTGGGAAATAAAATTTGGGCCACTGCATTGCTTTAAAATGCCTTCTTCTGGGCCTCTGTGGTGGCGCAAGTGTTAAGACGCAACCTATGAAGCTATCCGCAGCCACTGCAGCACATGTTCAATTCCCACAAGGCGCAGCAGACCTCACCTGACTTGCCCCGCTGCTCTCCTCAGCAGTGTACTTCGGTCAATCTGCCTGTTCTGTTTCCTGCTCTATCTCTGGTGGATCTTCTCTCCCCTCGCATCTCTGGCCTGTACCCCAACTCTTGTATGCATAAATAAATCGTCCTTGAAATAAAATAAAATGCCTTCTAACTTCACATGTGGTTGTTTTGTTGAGGCTAGAAGACTAGGCTAGAAATCATTGCCTTCAGAATTTAGAAACTATTACTGCTTACCTTCTCATTCTCACAGTTGCTATTAGAAGTTCAGTACTACTTCCATTTGTTCTCCTTTTTTACACGTATTTTTCCCTTCTGGATCTTTGGGATCTTCTCATCCTGATAACCTGAAATTCATAAATGATGCAACCAGATGTAGGTTTTTTCCTTCCAATGTTCTGGATTCCTACTGCTCATGTTTTTCGGTTAGGGGATTTTAAAAATTAAATTTCTTTGCTCATTTACTCCTTTATATTTTCTTTATTTTTTTCAAGAAATCCATTATTCATATTTGAATGTTAATGAGGAAGGAGGAATTCTTGTTTTCTAATCCCATTATCTATGGAAGAATTTCTGTTGCATTTACCAGACAGGAAATGTAGGGGAAGAGTGTTTCCAATTTTTTTCAACTCTGTCAGTTTTTTTTTTTTAATTAATTGATTTTTTTTAAAAAAAGATTGATTTATTTATACAAGCACTGGGTACAGTCACAAGCTCAGGAGACTGAGAGAATTCACCAGAGCCAGAGCGGGGAGCAGAGCAGGCAGAAGGACCGAAGTACACTGCTGAGGGGAGCAGCGGGCGGCAGGAGAGGTCTGCGCACCATGTGGGACCCTCCTCCAGTAGCCAGGGAGCAGCCAGGGATCGAACCGGCGCTGCAGAGGCTGCAGGCAGCTTCGCAACCCCGGGGAGGCCCACTGTCATAGTTTTGAGAAGGAAAAAGAAATGTATTAGGTTGGTAAGTTTATGAATGGAACCAAATGTGATTTATTCACTCAGTTACTTTCTCTCTCATTTTGTATGAAGCTAATCTGTCTTCAGAATCCTAAAACACAGGCACAGACTCCATGTATGTATGTGTGTGTGTGTGTGTGTGTGTGTGTGTGTGTGCTGGGTGAATAGGTAGCTTTCCAATGGTACCAGTGACTGATAGGTAAGTCTTTTCAGGAATGGAGGAGATTTAATTGCATCATTAAAGCCATAATGTCCGAACAGCTCTTTCAACAATAATGTGAATATTTTGTTCTCCATCTTTCTGGCATCTATGCTCATTTTTAATTTTTTTCTGAATTCAGGAAGAGGGGAAAATGTTTTTAGTTAACTTTTCTAAATTCTGACAGATCACCTGATCTGATCTTTAAAGATTTTATGTATTTTATTCCATTACTGTCTTTTTTCCACTTCCTACGAATTTTCCACAACCTTTCAGTCCTTTAATATTTTTATCATAGTCTTAATTCTCAACTACTTCTTCATGTTCTCTAAGTATGCCCCCAATTTTCTAGTGATCCTGTTCATATTCCAAAGATGCCCCATTTTCATTCTCCTTCACTTATTTTTTTTATAAAGACAATCTTTTTTTTTTTTTAAGATTTATTTATTTATACAAGAACCGGGGTACAGGCCAGATGCACGGGAGGGTGAGAGGATTCACCAGAGACAGAGCAGGGAACAGAACAGGCAGACTGACAAAATACACTACTGAGGGGAGCAGTGGGCAGGGCAGGAGAGGTCTGCTGTGCCACATGGGATTCTCACAGGCCAGCCGGCTGGCCAGGATCAAACCCGCACTGCAGAGGCTGCGGACAGCTTCACAGTGTGCTCTCAACCGCCTGCGCCACCAGGGAGACCCCTCCTTTACTTTTATCTCAGGTTTATTTGTTATCCCCAAGTTCAAAGTGCCTGTAGTTCACCCCCAGGGAGGAATAAACCTACTGTCCTCTGCAAGAATAAGGTAGGGGCAGTCACCTGGCAGCCCTGAGAGCTAACTGCTATTAACAGTCCTGCAGACAATCCTGTTTTCATTTGCATGCCACACCCAACACCTGCAGGGTAACTGTGTACTCCTTCTCTCCCCCATAAACGTGTATTTTTCCCTAGTGTCCTCAAAACCTTTTCCAACTCAGTTTTTTCAATACCCTAATCTTCCCTGATTTTAGCAGGAGTCTCCCATCAGAATTCAAAGTACATGAGTGGAAGTTTTCTGGACAATTTCATTCTCACAGGTTTACCAAATATCCATAATTGCAGCTTCTCTCTTCTCTGCTCCCCTAATGTCCTACATGTGCCTCTTTTGGGAAACATTGCTGTGATTCTGTTCCCTCAAATTGATTCCCAGCTCCCAAATCCTATGTATTCCTTCCTCAGCAGCCTCTCCTTCTCAGAATCCTAAAACACAGGCACCAACTCATCTCAGTTTTATTAACCACATCTGCACCCCAAATGCTGCTCAACTTGAAGAACATCATCACCTACACAGCTTGTGTGGCCCAGGCCTATGTATTTCAATGGTCAGGCTGTACTCAGTGGCCCTGCTTGGCATGATGGCCTTAGACGCCATGTGGGTGTGGGTCTCTGGGGTACCCTTGTCATGGGCCACAGGTTCTGCCCACAGCTTTCCATCATTGCTTGGCTTGCTGGTCTGGTCCATCACACTGCAGTCTACACTCACAGTCCAGCTGCCCCTGTGTGGGAACCAGGTACTGGGTGACTTCTTTGGAGAGCTTCCCAGTGTTATTAAGATGGCTTATATAGACACCAACGCCAACAAACTTACTTGGCAGTGGTGGCCACCTTCCTGATAATGGCCCCCTCTCCATGATTCTTGCCTCTTACATTTATATTGTTAGATCTATTGTGTGACCAAGGGGCACCCAGGAACCCCAAACTTAAGGGATGCATGCTCTAAAACAGGGTCCTGCACATAAAAACAAAGGAAGCAGGCTCTTGGTGTGAAAGATCTTTAATAGAATTAGTGTGCCTAGAGAGAGAAGAAGAAAAACTATTCCAAAATAAAGTTTCCCAGTAAAATACCCCCAATTCCCCATCCCCTCACATGTATATGCCTAGTCAAACAGGGTTGGCCCAAAGCAGGGCCACTGAGGTCTGAAAACTCGCCTCAAGCCTAAAGCACCTGCTGGTGGAGAACAGCAAGAAAGGGGGAAGGCAGGTCCCAAAGAACTAGGACAAAAGGAGAGACCACATCAAGGTAACAGCTGCCATCGCCAGCCCCTCCACCTATCTCTCTGCCATGCAAAGCCTTCAAGTCCCAGGTTCAAGTCAAAGCTGGAGAAGCAAAAGCCCCAGAGCCCACCTGCCTTCCATGTTGGCTAGCTCCACCAGGACACTCAGCTCTGTTCTTAGCTCCCAGGAGCTGGTCCAAGGCAGCTGCAGGTAAGTGAGGGTGGGGAACATGGCACCTCCCCTGACAGTGCTGCTCGAATCCCTTCTGCTGATAGCAGGTGCAAGGCCTGCAGCACTTGCTCATGGCACTTACTAGTTGGGTCTTTATTTTATGGCCCTGACATCTATCTCTATTTACAGTCCTCAGGGGGAGGTGCTCAGGACCTTACCAAGTATGTTAAAGGAGCTTTGAGTAAGGTTCTGAAGAGGGTTATTTTATCCAAGAGAATTGAGATAAAGATGCTTTCTTCTGAATGGGAGAGCCCAACAATAACCTGAAATTTATCCAGTTTTAAACGAATGTTCTATCAAGATCATGCTCAAATGTCAAGAACACCTTCACGTGTTGTATTTACCAACACCACTCCAGACATCACGTGTGTTAGGTTCCCCCCTACACACACACCAACTAATTCTCTGACACCACCTGGGCATTCTGCAGTTCAATTCAATCTTGACACTAGCTACTTGGAGTTAGCTAACTCCATAATTCAGTCCCACAAAACTGCCTCCACTTCGGATGTCAATCATAAGTTTAGGCCACTTGTTCTTCTGACCAACCAGCTACAAAGCCAGGGGTAACCTACAACTCCTTCCACAGGGTTGATGATTTACTAGAACAGCTAGTAAAACACAGGGAAACGCTATACTTACTTTTATAAGTTTATTATTCAGATAACTATAACTCTGGGACAGCCAAATGCAAGAGATAACTTGGGCAAGGCATGACAGGGAGATCATTCAATCTGAGGATACCCTTGATGTGGTCAACAACATGGAAGCTCTCCAAACCTCACTGTTTAGGGGGGGTTATGGAGGTCCCATTACATGAGCATGGTTGACTACCTCATTGGACACTGGTGATTGGTCCTCTCTCCCCAGAATCAGGGGGTGGGGTTGAAAGGTCTAATTCTCAGTCACATGGTTGATACCCCTGGCAACCAGCTCCCATCCTGAAATTACCTAGGGGTCCCCCTAATCCTTATCCATATGTTTGTCAATGTACTACTGAGGATTCAATTTGGATTAATAAGGACAATGACACACAAGGACGTGATGTAGTAAAGCTCAAAAGAAACTTTAAAAACTTATGTTGGGGAGAATTGATAGGACAATAATGGCTGACAGGAGCAATTAAGAGATTGTTAGAATAGACCAAGAGATATGATGGCAGTTTGTGAGTTGAGGTAGTGAAGAAAAAGGGATGCATGGATGCATGTGAGAATTTTTTTTTTTAAGAAATAAGAATTTTTTTTAAAGATTTATTTTATTTATACAAGAACCAGGGCATAGGACAGATGCGCGGGAGGATGAGAGGATTCACCAGAGACAGAGCAGGGAACAGAACAGGCAGACTGACAAAATACACTGCTGAGGGGAGCAGCTGGTGAGAGAGGAGAGGCCTGCTCGCCATGTGGGTTGCTCGGAGGCCGGTAGGGATCTAACCGGCACTGCAGAGGCTGCAGACAGCTTCACAGCACTGCATTTACCGCCTGTGCCACCAGGAAGGCCTGTGAGAAATGTTTTGAAGATAAATTTGATAGCTTTGATGGGCTTTACTTAAGGGTGAAGAAGACAGATGCCTATTTCTGGTTTTGACGAGATGACAAAAGGAACACTGAAAGAGAATTGGGTTTGGGGGAAGAGATCAGGAGATTGTCTTTAGACATGTTTATTCAAAGTGCCTTTGAGATATCTTAATGTAGAAGGATAAACAATCATGGCATTCAGGGGAAAAAAATCTGGAGATCTGAACTAAGACATATCTGTGAATAAAATTAACATGAAATACTCCTGAACTTTGGCTAAAAAATTTGGAAAAGCTGTTACACATGAGGTTCTCTGAAATGAGATGGTTACAACCTTTTTGGAAAGCACTGTAACTGCATCATGTGTTACTAAAAATACATATATTCTTCTACCAGGCAGTCTTAACATGTGAGGCCTGTCCCCTATAAATAAAATCATCTGTGCAAAATAGATCATGTATGAGAATGTATGTCTGCAGATCTGTTCATTATAACAAAACATTAGAAATATATGTAGTATCCTACTGATAGTAATTAGCTATTAAGTTAAACACCTGGGACCATTAAAACCAATGTTTAAGTATTATTTTAGTAGGCTGAGAAGTTCTAGTAGGATATAAGAATCCTACTAGAGGGCCTCCCCTGGTGGCACAGGAGGTTGAGCACAGCGCTATGAAGCTGTCTGCAGCTTCTGCACTGCCGGTTTGATCCCAGCTGGCAGGCGAGGGTCCCACATGGGCCGGCAGACCTCTCCTGTCGCGTCCGCTGCTCCCCTCAGCAGTGTGTTTCGTCAGTCTGCCTGTTCTGCTCCCCGCTCTGCCTATGGTGAATCCTCTCACCTTTCTGGGGCCTGTGCCCCGCTTCTTGTATAAATAAATAAATAAATCTTTAAAAAAAATCCTACTAGAAGTTCTCGTGATATAAATATGCATATGAAAAATATGGATAGTGGTATGAATTCAATATGTATCTCTTATTTTGATAAAATGAAAAATTAATCCCTTTCCCCCAAAAGCTTATATATGTATATAATTAGCATACACCTGATTATCTACTGTGTGTGAAGGGCTCTTTACCTGTTAATCATTCAATAGTTATAATAACTCTGATGACTGTACTATTATTCTCATTTGACAAGTAAGGAAAGAAACTGAGGCACAGAGATAAAGTAACTCGGGCCATAGCACAAAGCTAACAATATTTTCAAATCAAGTTCTTAAGCGTCACAATGTGTATGTCTGTATATAATTATATGAGCAGAGAAAAAAATATGGGGGTATATCCACACTGGGAGATGCACATGTCGGGGAATAGGAAAGGTGCTGATTTTTGGATAGCTAGCTGGGCACTTGTGTGAAGTCCACGGAAAGGGGAGTTTCCCCATCCAAGGAACGGTGGAGCTGCGCAGCAAGGAGGAGCTAGAAAAGACTGTGAGGATTTAGGAAGAAGATCTGGAAGAGACACATGGAGCAGAGACATATGAAGAAGCTGTGCTTGCTTCCTGGCCCTGGACTTGTTCCAGGGACTCAGGGGACACTTGAAAGAGACAAAGACCTGGAGGAGAGACCTATGGGAAGGCTGTCAATGGCAGCACTTATCTGGACTTGGATTTTGCTCTTTTCCTTCCAGACTTGCCAGGCCCCTTCTGCCCATTTCTTATGGGTCCTCACCAGGAGGTGGCTTAGACTTGGGGCAAACTCTCCCGCCCCAGGGGTCCTGCTTTGGGCCAACCTTGTTTGGCTGGGCATTACCCAAGAGGCGATGGGTAACGGTGGGTGTTTAACTAGAAGCCATTTAAATTATATTCTTTCTCTTTTCTCCATTGCACACAAATTGTATTAAATTTGATTTCTAATGAAGGGCTCACGTACAGAGTATGTTCGTCTCAGGCGGATGGCGGAATCCACATAAAGCGGCCGGTCTGGGGTGCCGGGGCGCCCCTCATTCTGCCCGCTGAGCACGGGAGATAAACATGCTCTTACACTGCACTGTCATCCCTGAACTAACCAGGTGTGGACTCCGGGACCTGGTTTGCTGTGGAATTCTCTGGAGAAGCGCACGGGCCAGACTGGAACCAGCCATCGCGCAGCGGGAACCATAGAGACGACCGTTCCTAGAGAGACTAGCGGGACTTCCGGTGGAACTTCCGCGACCTTAGTGAGGGAGGGTCTGGCTTCCGGCTAGTGGGACCTGGGCTCCCAAGGACCCTGGTGCGGTGATGGTTCGGCCCTGGCCACGCTGTTATACCCAGGCCGCCTTCCGGCCTAGCGTCCGCACCCCGACGTTGCATCCCGGCTGCGGTGAGCTTCCGGAGTGAACCCCGACAAGAAAGACTGGGTTTAGAGCCCGGATCCGACCCTGTTTCCTACCGCCTCCAGCCGGTCTAGGCGTCTGAGAAGCAGAGAACTCCTAGTGTGAGAGGGGTGACTTCCTTGCAATCTGGTGGGTCTTTAGCACATAGAAAACAGGCAACTTTTGTCGAATTCTTGGCGTCCGAAGTGTTTTTGAAATGAGATTTTGAGGGGTTTTTATTGAGTGCTTAACAACCCAGGGACCTGGGGCAGCCCCATATCCAATATTATTTCTGTAATAAAATATTGAATGTGCATACTAAGACTATAGCTAGCTTCATGACGTTTCAAGTCGTGTTGTTAGCAAATGAATTTATTTTTGAGGATTGTCATCTAATACTTGTGAAAATACTCTTGGTTTTGAGAGCTTTGAGGGATTCCAGAATTGTGCAGAAGAGATTGTGGGCCTATTCTGTTTAATGTTTTCATAGCTTTTCCCTCTAAGCACATTTGTTTATCACAAGGTATAAAGCAAGCAATGCCTGAACGAATGTTGGGAAATCTTACAGTTAATCCCTTTCTTAAGTCATTCTTTTTTCCAAGTTACTTATGATGTGCTATGTATCAGGCCCTATTTTGGCACTGGAAGAAAGTCTCTTGTAGAGAATTGATACTTCTGGGTGGCAAAAAAATAAGGAAACGTGATGTCAGGTGGCGAGTGTTACAAAGAAAAATGTAGTAGGGTAAGAGGGTTGATAGTGATAGCAGAGCTGTGAAATGTCTGAGGAGATGATGTTTGAGTATACTCTAAGGAAATGAGAGAATGTCTCTTGCCAGTATCTGTGGGAGAACGTGCCAAGAAGATGTGAAACCCTCAGATAGGGTGTGGTTGGCATATCTAAAATAGAAAAGGGTTTAACTGGAGTAGAGTGAGTACAAGAAAGGTTGGTTAAAAAAAGAAGTTACTCTTCATTACTAAATTTTGGTTATGTGCAGGTCAAATTCTTAAGACATTGGCATCACTGTTAGCAAAATGTCAAATTCTTTTCTGTTACCCTTTTTTTTTAAGGTGGTATATATAGCCTTTAAAAATCCATGTTGTAGGGTCTCCCCAGTGGTGCAGCGTTGAGCGTGCTGGGTTGCGAAGCTGCCCGCAGCTTCTGCAGCGCTGGTTCGATCCCTGGCTGCTCCTGAATTCCCAGAAGAGGGTTCTACATGGCGCGCAGACTTCTCCTGCCGACCGCTGCTCCCCTCAGCAGTGTACTTCGGTCCTTCTGCCTATTCTGCTCCCTGCTCTGGCTCTGGTGAATTCTCTCACCCTCCCATGCTTCTGACTGTACCCAGTGCTTGTATAAATAAATAAATAAATCTTAAAAAAAAAAATCCATGTTGTAGGTCTTTTTAACTGATGACAATTTTTCATCTAATGATTTCTATATTTTGTGGAGGGGAGTTTTGTGGATGGAGTATAAGCCCATCTTTAGGAATGTCTCTGTTTCTGTCAGTTCCTTTTTCCGTCTCATCTCTCCTTCTGAGTCCACTGAGCCCTTTTCCCCATCCTGTCTCCAGAGAGACCTACCCTAAGATTTTAGCTATAGTTCTCACAGCGATTTCCTCCCAACCCATTTATCTCCAGGGTACATTCAAGCAGATGACAGGAAGTACTCTGAGAGGAGGTGACATCTCTGGGAGCTGCACAACAGTCACCAACATATCAGCTCTAGCCCTTGGAGACCCTACTCACACATGACTCTGGCACCCCACCTCCTACAAGAGAAGTGAGGAAGGTGAGTTAGGGTGGCGGGCTCTTGCTTGGCCACCCAAGGCCATTGTTTACAACTTAATCATTAGTGTTTGTAACACTAACTTTTCCCTTAAGTCCTTCCTCACTCCTCTACCTCTCTCTTAAAGTACAACGTATATTCTTGGACTTTTCAGCAAAGGATTTCTATTCAGTTTTCGCATACCTACCTTTGTTTTCCATTCAATTACCACATCATCCTGTTGCTCTCTTTTGCAGTGACCTCATAAATGTTTTCCTTGTTTTACCCTTTATCCTTTTAAGATTTCTCAACCCATCAATGATAGTCACTTTTTAAACCTTACACTTTGACTCCATTTCTCCTGTCTGCTTCTACATTGAATGATTTCCTGTTTTCACATTCTTACCTTCCCTACATGTTGCTCCAGTCTAGATTAGATACACCTTTTCCTTTCCACATTCTCCGCATGTCAGTTGTGTGTTCCAATTATAAAGCCTCACTTTATAGAATCTGTCTCCAGAAAATAGCAATAAAGTGTGCAGGAAAGTCGAGAAATCTTCCTTTTCCAGTATTTCCTGTGAGATCAGGTGGAATTTCCATTTTAATAAGCTCAATGGGACAGCTAATTTGTTTTCTTCAGGTCAAATTTCATGTAAAAGTGATTTTTTTTGTTATTTTCATAAAGTATACTGGCCTTAATTTGATATAGGAATTGCTGGTTTACACTGAACCCGCAAACAGTATCCTATTTGGTTGTCTTTCCTAGCAATGGAATAAATACACTTTAAGCTATAATTGTATTTCAATGCAAATTTAAAACTTTCTTTATACCCTTAGACTTTAATGAGTGCTTTAATAATTTGTGTTCCTTTTTGGTAGCAAAAATTGTTCCTAATCCTGCCTTAATAAGTATTATATAGATTGTGTGTTAAGATACACCTATTTTATATTTTCTTCCTTAATTGAACTGGAGAAGTATTTATTGGTTGTTGGATCCATTCAAAAAGATGACATTTGTATTCTTTTTACTATTACACATTTTAAGATTTTCCATAATAAAACGTTTAAAAAGAAATTGACATCTGAATGACTCATTTCTTATTTTAAAGAGTGGGAAATTGGCTCCAAAGCAAGAAGTATCCAGAGGAATGGGATTACAGAAGATGACAGTCTGTAGAATCTGTAGAAACAGGAACATTTTCCAGGGCTCTTATTTTAGAGACGTTTGTGAATGTGGACAGGTTTGAAAGTCATCACAGAAATTCAGAGGAAGAAAAAGAACACAAATATGATCATTGTGGGAAAAGCTTCATTTACAGCATCAATGGTCTTGGACATCAGAGACTCCACAGAGGGGAACAATATTCAGTGCCAACAGCCCTTTTTAAACACATCATAATTCACACTAGTAAAAAACCTTATTGGTGTAATCAGTGTGGTAAAAACTTTATTAAACATTAGTCTTTATTAAACATTAGAGAAATAACTCTGGGGAGGAACTTTATGAATGCAATGAATGTGGTAAAGCCTTCAATAACAGCACAGAACTCACTCAGCATTGGAGATACCATTATAAAGTGTAACCAGCATAATAGTGGTAGGAAGGCTTTCAGGGAAGGTTCAGACTTCACTAAACATTGGTGAGTTTATAGAGGAGGAAAACCCTGAGAGTGTGATGAAGGTAGAAGAGCCTTCAGTTCTAATTTTATTGGAGATCACAGAAATTACACTGGGAAGGAGGCCAATGAGTGTGGGAGGACCTTCTGCTGAGCTCACATCTCACTGAAGACCGAGAATCCTCATCCAAAAACCCTATATGGGGCCTCCCTGGTAGTGCAAGGGGTTTAAGACACAACCTGTGAAGCTATCCACAGCCACTGCAACATGGGTTTGATCCCCGGCCTGGGAGCAACCCACATAGCACGGCAGACCTCTCCTGTCTTACCCGCTGCTCCCCTCAGCAGTGTATTTCAGTCAATCCACCTGTTCTGCTCCCCATTCCTGTTCTCTGGTGAATTCTCTCACCCCCCATCCCCACGCCTCTGGCCTGTACCCCAGTTCTTGTATGAATAAATAAATCTTAAAAAACAAAACGCTATATGTGTAATAGATTTGGAAAATCCTTTAGAGATCAGGTCTCTTTCAGCATTAAAAAAAATCAAAATCGTTTTGCTTTATTTATTACAGTAAGAATGTTTAGTAGCATTTTTCTGAGAATTCAGAGAAGCCACATGAGTACACTGCAATATCTCACCACCTTGGTCTCCTCCAACATCAGAGTATTCACAGACTGGATTCTCTCCCAGTAAACTAAGCTAGATAATTCACACCCCCAACCCAGGGTTGTGAAAGTACTGTAACATTTTTTGAGTTAATAGCTAAAGGTGTGGTCATTGCTTTTCTTCCTCTTATTGTTCCTTTGCTTTATATATGTGTGATCAGACCTTAACAACTTACCTGAGATGCTGCTTGCAAGAGGGTTGACGTGGGAGAGAGGGAAGTGCTGGGTTCAAGTATCCACTCAACCTCATTACCTTAAGCAAGTTGCCACGCTTTCTGGGCCTTCATCTGTAAAGGAAGGACTATGAGTATCTAACCCCCAAAGGTCCCTTCTACCTACAACTAAGTGATTTTTGTGTATATCACCAACTCTTAATTTCTGAGGATCAAGAACCTCCACATATTTGTCCCCATATTTCCAATGTCACTTTACTATCCTACAGAAGCTTTCTCTATTTTTTGGCCTCTCTTTCCCCAGATACCCCAGTGCCCTCAAACTTACATGTTTTTATCTTCCGTTCTTTCCCCTTCATGCTCTGAATACCCTCTTTATCATTTTTGTTTCCCCACTAAGTATTACACAGCTTTCACTGCAGCCCCATTTAGAATACACAGGCTTTCTGAATGCTAAACTGCCCCAAGGTCGTGTACCCCTAAGGGTCACTAAAAATGAACTTGGGCTGAAGATTAGTGATCCTGTTGGGTATCTATCCTTAAGAGCCCTGGAAGGTTTCTCTGTGCGTTTTTAGTTAGCTTGGTCGCACTTGGGTTTACTTTCTAAAGTAAGGCATTGCCCCTTGAGGAAGAGAACTGGGGAAAAACTAATGTTCCAGAAGCCGTCAGTCAACCTGCTTGAGGAAAAGGGTGCAGTGCCAACCCTGACACAGCTACCTAAGGGCGCTGGAGGACGCAGCTTTCCACAGGTACTCTAGAAATGACTGGTGCCACCGTGCTCTACCCAGGCAGGTAAGATGTCCGTACTGAAAGTACTTGTTCAGGCACCTTTCTTGTTCATTGTAACATTTTGTTGTTGTTGTTGTTAAAATATGGGTAATGAGGGGCCTCCCCGGTGGCGCAGCGGTTGAGCGCTGGGTTGCGAAGCTGCCCGCAGCCTCTGCAGCGCCGGTTCGATCCCCGGCTGCTCCCCGGCCACCGGTGGAGGGTCCCACATGGCGCGCAGACCTCTCCTGCCGCCCGCTGCTCCCCTCAGCAGTGTACTTCGGTCCTTCTGCTTGCTCTGCTCCCCGCTCTGGCTCTGGTGAATTCTCTCACCCTCCTGCGCTTCTGACTGTACCCAGTGCTTGTGTAAATAAATAAATAAATAAATAAATCTCTTAAAAAAAAAAAAAATATGGGTAATGATCCAGATACTGGGACACGGCAACAGACAAATGTGGACGATGGGATGAGCCTCAGTTCCCGAATGTTAGATGGAGGTGACTGTACCCAAAGCACAGATTGTTACGCGGGGAAATGAGGCAACAGGTGTCAAACACCACGTCGGCTGCTGTTCCAGTGCTGCCGGGGGGGAAGAGAGCCGGTCACCCAGCGCCCGTTCTCCAGAGGGCACCCGCTAGGCCACACAGGTGCAGGAACCCTCGCGCTCACTCGCAAGCGCGCGGCGGAAGCGCCGTATCCGGGGCGCGCGGCTGTGACGCACTTCCGGCCTTTGTAGTTATTCTCTGGCCGCGGTTGTCACGGACTCGGAGCTGGTGGGACCTGGGCTGGGTAGCCGCCTCCCACGGACGCCCGGTGAGCTGCGGAGTCGGGCTACAGCCCAGGGCCCCGGAGAGGGCCAGTGCGTGCGCCGCGCCCCGGCTGGTGGGTGTGGGGAGGAGGCGGGGACTGCTCGGCCAAAGCTTGGTGGGACAGATGAGGGGCAGAGGCGGCCCCGGAACCTGGAAGGTCTTGGTGACTCAAAGTGACCAAAAGTCAGCGCCCCCACTCCCCACGGCCCCACCTCCACCCTGTCCGTAACTCTTCAGTCTCTCTCCCCAGGACCTGCCCTCTGGACCGCATTTTAGGATAGAACAGATTCGGGTAGCGAGGAAAAAGTTGGGCTTTCTGACGTCTGTCATTGCTCCTAGACTTATTTGAAACAACCTGCAAGGATGGGTTTATAATCTGCCACGAGTGTAAAGGCTCTTGCCATCTGTTAACTTTAAAAAACAAGAACAAATGAATATTTAAATAGCAGTTATATGTGGCAGCCAGGCACCATTCAAAGCGTTTTCCAAATATTAATGTATTTCCTTCTCATAACTCTATGAGGTAGGCGCTGTTAAAAAATGGGGAAGAAAGTGAGGTTAACTTGCTTGGGGTCATACAGCTGGTAAAGGGTGTAGTCAGGATTCAAATCCGAGCTTCCTGGCAGCAGAGTCCATTTTCTTCTACCCTTCGCTATGCTCACTCCCTTTGTTTCTCTGAATTAGCTTTACAGGCGCAACCCAGGAAGTTACTTTTCTCATTTGAATCTAGTCCCATCCCTTTTCGACCACAGTAGTCCCGGACATTTCCTAAGGGTTTAAGATTAGAAAGAGGTGTTTATATGAGATATAGGAGGTACTGCACCCCGTCAGGGTGTTTCTGCAAACCAGTCATTTTATTTGTGCGTGTGATTGTGTTTCCCCCAACCACCCACCCATGGTGTACGTTGTCCTGGCCCTAAGATTAGGTAGCCGGTATTAAGCCAGGCCTGTACCCCAAATTGTACACAGTCTCATTAAAAGGTGGTTTATTTCCACGTTACTTTGTGCCAGGCTTTGTGTGAAACCACCTTATATGCATTCTCTCTTCTAATATTCTTGACAACTTTGTGAGGTAGTTGTCCTCATATCATACATGAGGAAGTTGGGGCTTAGAAAAATCATTCAAGTAACAGACGCAAGATCAAATTTTAGTGAAAATTCACACACAGATCTGCCCATCTGTGTTCTCTGCTACCTCACACTACCTCCTACTTCTGGGGAATCCTGCCCTGGAGGGAGGGGTGTTTGTAATTGCATAGACAGTATCTGAAAGGATACACTCCGTTCTTTAAGATTGTTTTTTCAGGGGAGTGGAACTTGGTGAAGGAATTCTATATTTTTCTATATTTTTCTGTACCTTTGAATTTTTTTTTTTTAAAGATTTATTTATTTATTTATACAAGCACTGGGTACAGTCAGAAGCAGGAGAGGATGAGCGAATTCACCAGAGCCAGAGCAGGGAGCAGAGCAGGCAGAAAGACCAAAGTACACTGCTAAGGGGAGCAGTGGGCAGCAAGAGAGATCTCCCACGCTATGTGGGACCCTCCTCCATGGGACCCTCCTCCGGTGGCCGGGGAGCAGCCAGGGATCGAACTGGCGCTGCAGAGGCCGCGGGCAGCTTCGCAACCCAGCGCTCAACAGCTGCGCCACCAGGGAGGCCCTGAAATTTTTTTTTTTTTAAGAAGGAAAGTAACTGCAAGATAAACTGTATCTGATGGTAAGAGATGAGGAACCTGTTAAAAGAGCTGGAAGGAGGTAGGTGGACTGGAATGGATGAGAAAGACAGGAGACGATGAGAGATTAGAGATGGGAGATGAGAGGTTTGAATCAAGCTTAAGAATATAAGAGTTTGGGCCTACTTGGTGGTGCAGGGGGTTGGGCACCGCACTATGAAGCAGTCCGCAGCCTCAGCAGTATGGATTCAATCCCCGGGCAACCGGGGAAATACCCACGTGGCGCAGCGGACCTCTCCTCTCTTGCCCGCTGCTCCCCTCAGTGGTATTTTCAGTCGGTCAGCCTGTTCTGTCCCCTGCTCTGTCTCTGGTGAGTCTTCTCACCCCCTGTATCTCTGGCCTGTACCCCAGCTCTTGTGTCCATAAATAAATCTTTAAAAAAATATATAAGAGTTTGGGACCTCCCTGGTGGCGCAGGGCTTAAAGACAGCACTATCAAGCTATTACCAGCCACTGCAGCACAGGTTCAATCTCCGGCCAGGGAGCTACCCACATGGTGCAGCAGACCTCTCCTGTCTCCCTGCTGCTCCCCTCAGCAGTGTATTTCAGTAGATCTGCCTGTTCTGCTCCCCACTCTGTCTCTGGTGAATCCTCTCACCCCCACACATCTGACTTGTGCCCCAGTTCTTGTATGCATAAGTAAATAAATCTTAAAAAAAAAAAAGAATATAAGAGTTTTCATAAATGCAGAAGGCAAGGCCAAGGACATGGAACAGGTGTGAGAAAGACTAGTGAAGAAAAAAACAGGAGTGGAGCTGATAGATTTTGCCTGTGGAATAGTTTGAAAGCCTCCACCTTGAAATGGTGCTTATAAATTACTAGGTCACAGAACTGTTAATTTTTCAGAAAATTACCTTTATTAATTACTATCCTGGTTTATAAACCTTAAGTGATCACAAACATTTGTCTCTTTATTAGCATTAATTTTATTTTACATAGTTGCCCACTCTCCATCTTTAAGGTGTTTCAAAAAGAAACAAATTCCAAGAAGTTAAAGGGTAAGACTTAATTCAGACTCCACCTTTGCTTCAAAACTTTAGAACTAATATTTCCTTCATCTTAATATCTCTGAGTCAAGCCCACTCTAATTGATGCTTCTTCATTGTTTCGCCCTTGTTGTTTTGGTCTTTAGAAGAATCCATTTAATATTTCAACAAAACTTATTAAAATACCAACAGCACTTGCTATTTATAATACTTTAGAATTTACCAAGCGGCCAGCTTCTTTGTGCTTTGTGATCTTATTTTATCATTATAAAATTGTATAAAGATATCAGTCTAGAAAAATGGGCAAGTATCACCAATAAAGGCAGTATACGGGGCCTACCTGGTGGCGCAGGTGGTTGAGCACAGCGCTGTGAAGCTGTCTGCAGCCTCTGCAGTGCTGGTTCCATCCCTGCCGGCTGCAGAGATACACACATGGCAGGGCGGACCTCTCCTGTCTCCCTGCTGCTCCCCTCAGCAGTGTATTTCTGTTGGTCTGCCTATTCTTTTCCCCGCTCTGTCTCGGGTGAATCCTCTCACCCTCCTGCACATCTGGCCTGTGCCCCAGTTCTTGTATAAAAATAAATAAATCTTAAAAAAAAAAAAGGCAGTATGCATTTAACTTTACTTCTAGTGACCAGTGTTCGCTTGTAATTTAAATACCTGTCCTTAGTTTTTTTGGTTTTAGGATTTCACAGATTAAGTGGGCTAACCTCAAAATGTGAAGCCCAAGTGGCAGAAGTAGCTGGAGGACCATCCCAATCCCAGGTCTCTCCCACTCTGCAGAGCTTTCTTCGCATGACTGGAGGGATTCTCACCTCCCCAAGTGTGTCTTTTGCTCCTTATTTTTTTAACCTTTACTTTCCCTTTCCCTCTGTTTTGTTTCACTTTTCTCCATGAATTTTAGTAACCACTTGAGCCCAAAGTACTTTACCTTCATTCAGCGAAAAACTTACTAGGAACCTACTACCTTCCCATTCACATGGAAACTCAGTGTATTCAAGCTGATTTAGTTAGGCTGATCAGAAATGGTCCTCACTGAAATTGCAGGGTTGTTGTTTTTTTTTTTTTGTTCTGTGTTGTTTCTGTTTTCTTTCCTGTAGTGTCTGTCCAAATATTTGCAGTGAATCATGTATTCAGTAATCTTCATAAGACAGAGTGGCTGGTTTGGGAGGAAATCCTCCCAGTGCCTACCAGTAGAAAAAATTTTTTACAGTTTAATTTTTTTTCCTCTGAAAATTATTTTGTAGATTTTGGGATTCCTGAAGACGAGATCAAGGAGGACTTATCAAGAATTGTTTCTTTCTTTTTTTTTTTTAAATCATACTTAAAATGGCCACAACTTTGGCCCTTCAGACTCCAGAGGTACAGGAGCAACTTCCAGCAGTGAAAATAGAAGAGGACGAGGGGAACCGGGCCTGTGGGCAAAAATCTGGCCTATTAGGAGGTGATAACCCACATACCAGAGAGCTCTTCCGGAGACGCTTCCGGCAGTTCTGCTATCAGGAGACACCTGGACCTCGAGAGGCTCTTCGAAGCCTCCGGGAGCTGTGCCATCAATGGCTGAGGCCCGAGACCCACACCAAAGAGCAGATCCTGGAGCTGCTGGTGCTGGAGCAGTTCCTGACCATCCTGCCCGAGGAGCTGCAGGCATGGGTGAGAGACCACCACCCCGTGAGCGGAGAGGAGGCAGTGACTGTACTGGAGGATTTGGAGCGAGAGCTGGATGAACCAGGCGCAAAGGTGGGAAGGTGGGAGAGCAGAGGTTTGTACCTGTAGGAACAGATGGGCTTGCAGTATGAGAGGAAGAGGAGGGGGAGTTGCTTTATGCTTGACTCGATCTGTTACAGGCTCTAACTTCTCTCTTTTCCCTCAGTTAGTTCCTGGGGCCTCCTTTTCCTATCTGGTGGCCCTGAGAAGGCCCTGTTGCAATGTCTTCTCTGATAGTTAGTTCCCAATTATCCTTAATTTCCACCAGGTCCCAGCCCACGCTCATGCAGGGGAAGCGGTGGTACAGGAGAAAGCAGCTCTCGGAGAAGCCCAGGAGTTGTCGGGTGGCAACCGGCAAGCCTTGCAAGAGCAGCATCAGAGTCATCTGGGAGAGGGGTGCCCAGCTCAGGAGACTGGTGAGGATCAGATCTTCCTCATTGCTTGAAAGCCCATCAGGTTAACATATTTAGTTAGTGTCTACTTGTACCAGTGCTGTGCCAGGTCCTAGGGACATGGTGGTCAGCCAGGGCAGCGTGTGCCCTGCACCCTAAAGAATGGTCTGATGGGAGGGCAGCAGTAAAGGAGCATCTTCTCCCTGAAGTCTGGGTGGGCAGGCATACCTGGGAGACCCTGTGGACTGGGTTCCAGACCACCCCCTCAAAGTGACTACTGCAATAAAGCAAGTCACACTCTTTCTGGTTTCCCAGTGCATGTAAGAGTTATGTCTATACTGTACTATAATTTATTAGGTGTGTGATAGTATTATGTCTTTAAGAAAAATCAATGCACATACCTTAATTTGAAAATGATACCTTCTTGCTAAAAAATGCTAACCATTATGCAAGTTGTAGTTCTTTTGGCTGAGGGGGGGTGCTTGCGGCCCTGGTAATGCTGCTGATTGATGGGGCTGCAGCAGTGGGAACACAAACAGCATTTACTAAGTTCACTGTTTTACGTGGGTACCCTGAAACAATTACAAAGGCAATAGCAAAGATCACTGATCACAGATCACCATACCAGACATAATAATTATGACAATTGTTTGAAGTGTGAGAATAACCAAAATAAGACACAGAGATGTGACATGAGCACACTCTGTCAGAGGCGCTGGCTGACACGCTCATGTGACTGTTATTCCAGGTGAAGAGGCTGGGACTTGGAGTGTGGCGTTAGCACCAAGAAAGGCGCTTTCTAAAGAAATGAAATCTCTCGTGGAAGTACCCAGAAGACTGAACGGTGATATTATTCAGATGCTGGAATGTCGAGACACCCATGACCCTGAGGGCAGACTGGAAAGGCAACGGGGAAGCTCTTCAGTGGAGAGGCCCTATATCTGTGGTGAATGTGGGAAAAGCTTCACTCAGAATTCCATTCTTATTGAGCACCAGAGAAGGCACACGGGCGAGAAGCCCTATGAGTGCGATGAATGTGGACGGGCCTTCAGCCAGAGGTCAGGCCTGTTCCAGCACCAGAGACTCCACACGGGGGAAAAGCGTTACCAGTGCAACATTTGTGGGAAAGCTTTCAGCCAGAATGCCGGGCTGTTCCACCACCTCAGGATCCACACTGGGGAAAAACCTTACCAGTGCGATCAGTGCAATAAGAGCTTTAGTCGACGTTCTGTCCTTATTAAGCATCAGAGAATTCACACTGGAGAAAGACCTTATGAATGTGAGGAATGTGGCAAGAACTTCATTTACCATTGCAACCTCATCCAGCATCAGAAAATTCACTCTGTGGCTGACTCCAGCTAGCTCCTTGGAACAGGTAGGGAAGAATTTCCTGATGTCAAGGCAAGGTCTCAAGGGTGGTGCTGCTTTGTCCCTGAGAGAATAGTAGTTTAATCCTCTAGATGGGAAACTCCAAGGAAAACTGTGAAAATGCCCTTATTTTGTGCTGACCGAAGTGTGACAGTATCTTAAAACATCTGTCGAGTTCTCTGCTAGGTGATATTCACGGCTTTGTGTTACTGGATATTGTCAAGTTGGCTTCATCAGCATAGTCACACACACACCAGTACAAAAAATTTTCTAGGTGTACTTACGGAAAACTTCATGTTAGTTTTAAGAAATTATATGTAGCCTGAGATAGTTCACTGAATACTTAAAATTAGCTGCAGTAAAATCTATAAACTACTTGAATATTTTCCATTTTCATAAGCTGTGACAATTTACTTTTTAACAGGAGATGATTCCTCCATAAATATATAAAAGGTTTCTCCCTACAGAGTTTTAGTAACTCAACTTTCAGTTAGGAACTAAGGGATTAAAGCAGCCATATGTTATTAGCAGCTCAGTGGCTAATTATAACAATGTTGCTCATGATTTTAAATTTTTGCAAATACCAAAAAACTTTGCTAAAAATATGGAATCTCACTTCAGATCTCTGTTATAAAAAGAGAGACTTCTTTGCATCTTCACTGTGACATGAGCATTTTCAGGTTTTTGCCTTTTTTCTTCATTTAACCTTGTATGGAAACTTTCAAACAAAGACAATAGGAAAGTGTGATCGATCTTCTATGTTGACTGCTTTTTTTTTTTTCTCTTAAAGATTTATTTATTTATACAAGAACCAGAGTACAGGCCAGATGTGCGGGAGGTTGAGACGATTCACCAGAGACAGAGCGGGGAACAGAACAGGCAGACTGACAAAATACACTGCTGAGGAGAGCAGCAGACAGGAGAGGTCTGCCTTACCATGTGGGCATCTCTGCAGCCACTGGGGATCGAACCGGCACTACAGAGGCTGCAGACAGCTTCACAGCGCTGTGTTCAACCACCTGCACCACCAGGGAGGCCCTGTTGACTGCTTTTTTAACCCCCAGGCTTATTGGGGCCTCCCTGGTGGTGCAAGGGGTTAAGCACCACACTATGAAGCAATCCACAGCCTCTGCAGCACGAGTTCGATCCCCAGTGGGCTAGGGAGCAGCCCACATGGCGAGGCAGACCTCTCCTGTCTCACCTGCTGCTCCCCTCAGCAATGTATTTAAGTCAGCCTGCCTGTTCTATTCCCCACTCTGTCTCTGGTGAATCCTTGCACCCCCCCACATTTCTGGCCTGTACCCCCACTCTTGTATGAATAAATAAATCTTTAAAAAAAAAAAAAACAACCCAGGCTTCTCAAGACTAGCATCAAGTTCACATGTACAGAAACTTCTTCCCCTTAACATTGAGTACCAAGCTTCTGCTAAGTCCAGGAGACAAAAATGGAAAACGGATGGTAGCAGCAATCTGGGTTGGAATACCAAATACCCAGCAGGTGGCATGAGAGTCACAGAAACACTGTGAGGTGCCCTTATTTGACAGAATCTGGAAACAGGCTCTGAGAAAGAACCCTAAAACCATAGTTAGTTCACAGAGCTGGAACTAGAACCCCATCTTCTAATTCGTCTTTGTGTTAAGCCATTGGAAGCATCATATCACCAAATAGAAATTACAAGTAAATGGTGCTTGTAGGATTAATAAGTCATGGAGATTTTGCTTTTTTGCTCCCATCCATATGTTTCAACACATACACGCTCCTCTGTTTACAGTGGAGTTCTGGGCAAGACTCCTCCCACTTATTTCTCATTTGAGGCATTTTATTTATTTTTGTAGTGATCATTACTCTTTTTTTTTTTAAATAAAGAGTTTTTTGGGTTTTTTTAAAAGATTTATTTTTATTTATACAAGCACTGAGTACAGTCAGAAGCACGGGAGGGTGAGAGAATTCACCAGAGCCAGAGTGGGGAGCAGAGCAGGCAGAAGGACCAAAGTACACTGCTGAGGGGAGCAGTGGGCGGCAGGAGAGGTCTGCGCGCCAGGTGGGACCCTCCTCCGGTGGCCGGGGAGCAGATGAGGATCGAACCGGCGCTGCAGAGGCTGCAGGCAGCTTCGCAACCCAGCATGCAACCGCTGCGCCACCGGGGAGGCCCCAGTGATCATTATTCTTTAATATTTGAAATTCAATTTGCTTAAAAGGATTTTTTTTTAAAAAGGTAATTTACCCTTCCCTTGGTTTGAAAACTGAAACAACAAAAAGCAGTCCCTGTTCTCCTTACAGAGAGCCATTTACCAGTTCCTTATGTATCTTTCAGTGTTTATGTAAGAAAATATAAATATGCAATTTTTCCTCCATTACACAGAAAGACAATGTACTATTTATATCTTTTATACTTCGTTGTTTTTGTGAAACAAAATAATCTCTAGATTTTCTCCATCATAACAGTTTCCTCATTCAATTTATAAGTGGATAATATTTCCTGTCTTGGTGCTACATCGTATGTTTAACATACGACAGATGAAAATCACTATTTTAAGATGCTGTCTATCTTATTTCATACTTCTCCCCTCTTTAGTTCAAGTCAAGCTCTTTCTATTTAAAAGTGAATAGCTTTTTTCACTATTTAAAAGTGAACAGCTCCCACATGTGCGAGGAAACAGGCTTTGGGCATATAGAATTGTACATGACTTGTCTATGGGGAAGTGGAGTGGCGATGGGTGGTGGTTTTCTACTTCATGTATGTGGTTCTATTAATATTTTTAGGCTAATGTTTCAACCTTTTCGTGTCATTACTTGTGGCTAATTGTAAGTCTTATCAAAAATCTTAAGTTCTTCCAGAAATGTATTTTATTGTGTCTTAAGGTTACATTATTTCCAAGGGAAATACACATGGATTTTAGCATGAAATTAAGGAAAATATACTCATGTTTGGCATAAAATAAACTTCTCCAGTAAATATATATTCCATATAGCGATATCCATAATATACTACTTATAATCTGCATACATAAGCATCATAAATGCTTTCCCATATGCTGAAACAGCATGTTTGAGTAATTCCATTATATGAACAGATCAGGATTTTAAAGGACATATTTCTAATGTACTGAGCTTTAACTCTGCAATGAAGGTTGAATGTTTTCTGCTTGGCTTTTTTTTCTCAACTCAGAAATTCTCATTTTTCTCAACAACTGGTAAACTAAGAAGTAAGGTGTTATCTGCATTGTAGAGACAGATGTACCATTTAGAATGCAATGCTGCATGACGTGATTAAAATGACTGGCCAGTCTCCAAACTAACTTATTTTCCAATACTAATTGTGCTGACTTTCTTATGTTAATCCTTTTATCTAGGAAGTCTATATATTCTTTATTAGTTTTGAAGCATTTGACTCATAGACAGTGCATGTAGACCATGGATGCTTCTGTGACTGTTTTAGTCTTCCTGGCCAGAAGTTCTTAGTTGTCTCCCTTTCATGTTTCTAAATTTCCTTTACATCCCTCTTTTCTTTTATTTACCCACTGAAGTCTCTAGCCTTGATCTCCTTTCAGTGTTCCCTGCTCTAGTAGTCAAGTTTTATGGCTGAGTAATGTGTAGGAAATATTGATTTTTTTTTAAAGATTTATTTATCATACAAGAGCTGGGGTACAGGTCAGAGGTGCGGGGGGTGAGAGGACTCACCAGAGACACAGTGGGGAGCAGAACAGATGGATCTACTGAAATACACTGCTGAGGGGAGCAGCAGGCGAGACTGGAGAGGTCTGCTGCGCCATGTGGGTCAGCACCCTGGCCGGGGATTGAACTCGTGCTGCAGTGGCTGTGGATAGCTTCACAGGGCTGACGCTTAACCCCTTGTGCCACCGGGGAGGCCCAGAAATATTGGTTTAATTTCAACAATGACAATTGGTTGTTGGGGCTTCCTCTTGCAGAGCACTGTTAGGACAGTGGGCGCTGCTCATATATAAATGGCTGAGAATCTCGCAGCCCAAACCTGTCTAGAGCTGTAGACAGAGCCCTGGGACGAGACATTGTGCCAAACAGTTTCATGAATGATCACACTTAATCTACATAATTCATTATCTGTGGAGACAGCACCCTCTTACCACTGTAGGTACCATGATAAATTGCTGCCATTTGAGCCTGCCCCCTCCAGTTGCCTCCAGATCCTTCAGGAGGGTGAGCGAGGAGGCTGATTTGAAGGCCAGGAGCCAGAAGAATCATGTCCCAGACCATATTTTGTATCTGTTAATGCTCCTACTTTCTTTTTTTTTTTTTTAAAGAGTTATTTATTTATGCATACAAGAACTGGAGACAAGCCAGAGGAGGCCCTAATGACTCCTACTTTATAGCTGACAACTATAGTTCGATATGGTTCTACAGTCTAACATAATTATAATTTATTAATGCAAAACTGTTTAAGGGCCTCCCTGGTGGCACAAGGGGTTAAGTCACAACCTATGAAGCTGTCTGCAGCCACTGCAGCATGAGTTCAATCCCTGACCAGGGAGCTACCCACATGGTGAGGCAGACCTCTCCTGTCCCCTCAGCAGTGTACTTCCGTCAATCTGTCTCTGGTGAATCCTCTCACCGCCCCCCACCCACACACCTGTGGCCTGTACCCCAGTTCTTGTATGAATAAATAAATCTTTTAAAAACAAAAGACTGTTTAAAAGAGTTTTCCAGTAAAATGAAAATTATCTCTAAGGAGATTTTAAAATAAAAGTATATATGAAATAAAAAATATTATAAAATGTGTTTTCTGCAGAGCAATTTTTAAATATAAAATACAGACAAACTTACATGTGTATCATTGGTCCAACACTGAATTAGCAGTTGAGAGAAAAGTTGATTCTGTGTACAGAGAGATGGAGGAGAAAGCAAAGTTTTAGGAGGAGAAAACAGGGTGAGTCCAGGCCCATCTGATATCTGCTCAAGAACCAGGAATTTTCCAGTTAGTCCAGGTCATGGAGTTCCTGCAAGGAAGTAACAGAGTGTCATATGGCAAGTGGGGCACCCTTGAGCGGGGCTTGGACTCTGTCCCAGCATTTGGCCTTTGTATAATGAGCAGTACGGAATCTTAGAAAGTATTTTATTGTGCTATAGCTTTTTTTTTTAATCTGGAATAAGAATTAAAAAACTGGAGAATTAAAAAACTGACACGAATTACCTTTTTTAAAAAAGGTAATTTACCCTTCCCTTGGTTTGAAAACTCAGTCCCTGTTCTCCTTACAGAGAGTACCAGATGTATCTTTCAGTGTTTTTAGATGTCCATTACACAGAAAGACAATGCGTTGTTTTCGTGAAACATCTTGTACACACTTGAGAAAAGTGAAGTTCAAAGTGGTTAAGCACTTGTAGTGATCTATTTTTTTAATTACAATCAAATATTTGTAAAACAAAACTGCAACAATCACTATGAATTCTTTGGAGTTCCACAGACACTTAGACATATTTTAGACATGGAATGTGATAAAGGAGGAACAAAATGTGAGGACATAAAAAAAGGAATTCGAATGCAAAAGTAGACGTTAAAACTCTGGATTAGGCCAACAAATGGTTACCAAAAAGAAGGAAACAGAAAAAGACAGATGTAGAGGCAGAATGAGAAAGAAACATGCTTCATGTTCATAAAACTTATTAGCCATCTCTCCCGCTCTCAGTTGAAAATAGTCTCACTGCCCTTCACTCCTGACTCCTGGTAGTCCTTTCCCTGAAAAGGGGAATAGGGAGAAGAGCAACGTCTATAAATCACCGTGTGATTTTTTTTTTCAGGTCTCTTCTGACCCACACTCAGTTTTCCATGCCAGTGCCTCTGCTTTTTGGTGAAGCCAGTTTCTCAGTGTCTACCTATGTTAGAATTATCTGTGTGAAGTGCAGTGTCCTGGGCCCCACCCCAGACTGACTGAATCAGTTTCTGAAGGCAGGGCCTGGGTATTTGCTAGTTCAGCAGTAGTTTTCAGACATGAGACACCTCTGAGACACACTCTGGGATACTTGAGAATGAATTATACTCTTGCCTATGCTGTCTCATGAAGGCCAAGGCAGAACGTACTTGAAGGAAGGCTGTTGGAGACGTAGGTGTAGCCACCTAAGCCAAGGTAGCTAGCACCTGCCTGGTTTGAAATAATCCCCATTAACAGATCTGTTAGCTTAGGTCAGAAAGGGGTGGGGCAGTGTGTCTACAAAAACTAAACCCCCTGCCAAAATGAAACGAAACAAAAAACCCACTGTTAAAACAGCTGGTTACCACAGATGAACCTAGTGAGAGAATGGATTACTCCACCAGATGAAAGACAGCTTAGAAGCACAGAGGCGCTGCAGGGGCCTGATAGACCCGCTGCCTTGGGGGTGTTCTACTCTAAATGACAGGGCACCAGATCAGAAGTTTGCAAGTATAAGGCAAAGGGTGAATGATATTTAGCAAGAACCCAGAGCAAATGGGGACCAGACATTGTGCCAAAGAGTTTCATAAATGATCACACTTTACATAACTCATTGCGTGTGGAGGCTGCGCCCTCTCACCACTGCAGGTAGGATGATAAAGTGCCACCATTTGAGCCTGGCCCCTCCAGTTGCATCCAGACCCGTCAGGGGGATAAGCAAGGAGGCCGGGCAGAGAATGGGTCCCCCATCACCACCACTGCATTATCGCAGCTTTCTGCTCAGTCCTCGATTAGGGAATCTACAGACCCAGAGGTCGTTAGTGATTAGGGGACTCAGTGGGACCTGAGTTGTGTAAACAGATTTAAAACAGCACAGAGCCAACCAACACATGCCCCCTGGCTGCCCCTTGGTTTAGGTGGGTGTCGGTTTCTGCATCTAGCCCTACGGGCAGAGTGGGCAACACATACCTTAGGAGAGTGTAGGGTAAGTAAAGTATCAGGCTTTTCTGCCCTCCTGCCATTAGGATTGATGATGGAGCTGTAGTCCTGAATGCATGCCTGATGGCAGGCACCTGGAATAGGGTGTGGGCATGCGTAAGTGGGTACACCTGGGCTGAGAGACTGAGCTTTTAAGGGCGGTGTCACAGGGATGCCAGCAGAGAAGAGCCACAAGAGAAGCAGAAGCACAACCATGAGAGGAGCAGAGAACAAGGCCACCAGAGAACGCCAGAGAGCCCAGAGTGAAGACTTGCCAGCCTCCTGGCCCTTCAGCACCCCTGCCAGCCGTGTTCCTGGTAAATCCCAATAAAAGCCTGCAAAAGCCACTGAGGGCTCCAGGACTCCTCCTTCACTCCTGCTCGGGTGATAAAGAACCTGCTCCGTGCCCTCCTGCTCCTACAGAGAGCCTGCCTGAGAGGCCAGACCTCTCCAGTTCCCTAGGGTCTGGGGAGCACAGGGCCACGCACATCCGGGAAGATAGGCCAAGCGACCTCAGCCAGCGGGTATGAGCCGGCCGGCGGCCACAGCCTCACCAAGCACTGCCTGAGCGCTGGCCCGAGGCCTCTGAGCGCCCGCGTGGGTCTGGCGGTGCGGGCGGACCAACTATTGAGACGACAGTCCCTCCTCCTTCCCTAGAGAGGTCCCAGAGGGGCCGATGCACTTCGGTCCCGTGGGTGCACGTGGCTCATACGTTTCGCTCTCCCTGTTCACCGGCCCTGCTGTACCGAGATGCTGCCGGGTCCTGACCAGTGCTCTCAGCTCCCGCTTTTCCCAGGCCGGCCCAGTGGGAAATGGCATTTCAAGAACCAAAATAAGGTACTACAGGTGCTCACTGCTTAGGCCTTTTCAGTGCTCAGAGCTAGGTAAAAATGAGATCAAGTATGGGTTTTATGCACACATTAGTAGTTCTAATTCAGATCCCAAATATTTTCCGGGTTTACTCTATCTTCCATCTGTATCTCCTTTTAGAGAATTCTCAAAGACACCAGGAAAGACAACATCAAATACTCACTTGCTTTATCCCACAGCATGTATACAATAGCCTCAGAATAAAAAACTTTAGCATTACCATCAACAAATATGATTATTATAAAGTCTTAATTTGTTGTGGGTTTTTTTTTTCCATTTTTGTGTTTAAGATTTTATCATTGGGAATAACAAAAAATTGCTGTTTTGGTTTTCTTTGGTGGGACAGGGGGCTACAGTGTGTGCCTCATTGGTGGCACATGACAAGACAGGGCTCCCTAAGCCCCTCTCCTCCAAGGGCCTGGGATGAAACTGTGGTGGGTCTGGGATTCTCAGTATGAATGAGTTGGGGAAGAACTCCCCAGCAGCTGAGGGCGCCTCTCTCCGGGGCTTACTCCTTGGAGGCCATGTGGACCCTGAAGGCCACCACCCTGTTGCTGTAGCTAGAGTCATCGTCAGACCAGGAAATGTGCTTGACAAAGTGGTCACTGAGGGCACCACCAGGCCAGCACTGAAGGTGGAGGAGAGGGTGTCACTGTTAAAATCACAGGAAACAACCTGGTCCTCAGTGTTGCCCAGGGTGCTCTTGAGGGGGCCCTGTGACGTCTGCTCGACTGCTTTCTTAATGGCTTTTCAGGTGGTTAAGTCAGATCCACAGTCAGATCTGACATGTTGGGAGTGGAGACACGAAAGGCCATGCCAGTTGGCTTCCTGTTCAGCTTTTTGTTAGATGAGTTTGCCCAATTACAGGCTTACGTAAGTGTTCTGAGGACGCTAAAGTTAGGTTATGCAAGTTCTGTAGGTTGAGGTATATTAAATCACTTCCAACTTTAAATAGTTTCAACTTAGAATGCATTTATCAGGAGAAAAAATTCTAAGTCGAGGAAGATCTGTAAATTAGTATCATGGGGTGATTGATAGATGATAAGACTACCACCTATGATAGGTAGAATAATGATCCCCTAAGGATGTCTACTCCTGCTCCCCAGAACCTGTGATATTTTGTTACAAGTTCAAGGGAATTATGTTTGCAGACAGAATTAAGGTTGCTAATCAATTGACCAGAAGATAAGTTTCTTAGTTTGGGACCAACTTTTACTTCTTCCAATAAAAGTTGATTTATGGACACTGAAATTAGAATTCAATTATCATTTTCCCCTATCAAAATTATTTCTTTTAATTTTAAAATTAAAATTTTAATCTTAATATACTGTAGATTCACATACTTTCTAAGAATGAGTGCAGAGAAATCCATTTACTCTTTACCAACTTGCCATGATTGGTAGCATCTTACAGAATATAGCAGGGTCATAACCAGAATATTTACATCGGTGCAGTCAAACTCATAACTTTTCCATCACTACAAAAATCTCTTCTATCAACACACCCACTTCCCTCTCATCCACATCTTTTCACAAACTCCTGGTAACCAGGACGCGGTTTTCCACATCTATATTTTGCCATTTGAAGAATGTCATATAACTGGACTCAGACTGACTTTTCCCACTCATCATCCTTGTCTGAGGAATCACCGGCGATTTGTGCATAGGAAGGCTACTAGCTTAGTAGGTTACTTTCATATTTTGTTTCTTTACTAAATGATCTTTTGTTGTCTGCCCACTGAACTCCATGAGGTTTCAAATGTGTAATCAATCGTATTACAGCAAAGACGAGAACATCAAGAGAACCCGGGGGATTGAAAACGCTGGCAGGAGGCCCAGGCCGGCCCTGGACGGCGCAGGCTGAAGAGGCCTGTGGGGTGCGGCGGCGCGTCTGGAGCTCTGGGAGAACACCACCAGGTCGTGGCCTCTCCAACCTCAAAATCTACGAAAGAGAGGCTCACCGAAGCTCGACGCTCATCTAGTTGGGGGCATGATACAAATCTTCAGCCGGGCGAAGGGGCAGAGAAAGGGAAAAAATAAATCCGTGGGACAAAAGCACCAAGCAATCGCGGACGCGCGGGAAGACCAGCGAGTGCCCCCCCATCCTAGAGCGGCGGCGGAAGTGGTACCGGGTCGCGGGGCACGCGGGTCCGCTCCCTCAGCGGCCCCTTCCGGCCTTTGTGGGCCGCAGTCTTTGGGTTCCGGCTGCCGAGGAGGTGCGAGGTGTACGCGCGTCACCCCGGGTAGGGACCGGTCGGCTGGCCGGCTGGAGCCGCGGTGAACGAGGCTGTGCCCCGGACGCGGCGCGGGACGCGTGACCGCCTACGCGCTGCCTGGACGCTGAGTCGAGCCCGGGCCGGAGCCGGGCGGCTTCGGCTCCCCCTCGCGCAGGTGGTTCCGTGAGAAGCGCCCTGACACACTCCCCCACGCTGGGAAACTGGGTCGGAACCTGGGGATCCGCCCCGCCCCGCAGAGGCCCGCCCGGGCACCGCGCTCCTGCGGGGCTGGTCTGGGGCCTGGACCCCTCCTTGCGCTCGGCGCGTCCTGACAGCTCTGGGCACTCATAGATCGCAGGCCTCGACCGACGCCCCCTTTTTCCGGGGTGGCCTTACCTTAGGGCTAGAGTCACGGACGCGACAGTAGAAGAGGGTCTTTGAGACATTGGAAGACCAGTGTCGTCAGCATTTTCGTTTTATAAAAGAATGAGGAGCCAAGAGATTTAAGTTGCCGAGAGAATAAACTCATGTGATTTTGTATCTTTTATGAGCTCATGATTTCTACCAGGCATAGGAGCATTTAAGAAGTAAAAGATAACTAATCAGGAGTTTCTCAATCCTTTTCGTTACTTATTTGATCTAAATGTTGCTTTTATTTCATCTAATTGTCCCTTATTCTAGGACTAAGTTGGACTAAGTGGGAATACTTCCTACCAAGTCTTCCTCTTCTGTCTGAAAGTCATGAAACAATTGACCACCTTTTACATAATATTTCTCTTTAAATTATGTATTCTTAATCCTTTTTTAAAAAATCAAAGTATTTCTCTGAGCTTAGTAAATCATCCTGGAAGCGGTGGCTTTCAAAGCGCATGTTTAAATTCTAAGAATTTGCAGGTTTTGTTTCTGGTGTAGCTTGTGTTAATAACGATGACTTCTTCCTCAGGTCTTTCCAAGAAGATAATCTGATCTTGCCTGAAGCACTGATAAAGCCTTTGCTCAGTTATGATGGCATGTACTTGGGCTAGCCAAGCCCACAAGGACCAGGATGAACTATTGAAAGTCAAAATAGAGAAGGAGGAAGAAGAGGAAGAGCGTAAGTATACTATCACTCAGGATCAGAACCTGCAGATGACCAGCACCCCTAGCCGGGAGGTCTTCCGGCAGTACTTCAGACACTTCTGCTACCAGGAAACATCAGGACCCCGTGAGGCTTTGAGCCGACTCCGGGAGCTGTGCCACCAGTGGCTGAGGCCAGAGACCCACACCAAGGAGCAGATCCTGGAGCTGCTAGTGCTGGAGCAGTTCCTGACCATCCTGCCTGAGGAGCTGCAGGCCTGGGTGCGGGAGCAGCATCCAGAGAGCGGGGAGGAGGTGGTCACTGTGCTGGAGGATTTAGAGAGAGAGTTTGATGAGCCAGGTTACCAGGTGAGAAATAAGATGCGGTTTCTGTTTAAGAAAAGATGAATTATGGATATATAGGCCAGAGAGATGTGTAGCATTAATTCATAAAATGTGTTCCTGAGACTTTGGTGCCTTACAGAGGGGCCTGAGTTTTGGGAAGTTGGTTACTGTATCCTGGCATATTTAGCCCTCCTGCCTTTTCTGCAGAAGGGTGATGAGTTTGTGGACTTAGCTACAATGTTCTATTGAATGAAATGCTGCTGAGAAACACTAGAAACAGGGTTTGCAGGACAGAGGGGCCAGTAGGGGTGGTGGCGTGATAAGCAGCCTCTTGAAAGGGCGTCACGTCTGCTGCACAATTCTGATGTCTAATAAATAAGGCTTTGCAGATAAGGGCACTGCCCTCTGCCCTATAAAGGATTAAAAGATGGAGAACTCGGGCCTCCCTGGTTGAGTACCGCACTGCGAAGCTGTCTGCGGCCTCTGCAGCGCAGGTTCGATCGCGGCCGGCCGGCAAGAATCCCACATGGTGAAGCAGACCTCTTCTGTCTCGCCCACTGCTCCCCTCAGCAGTGTATTTCTTCAGTCTGCCTGTTCTGTTCCCCACTCTGTCTCTGGTGAATCCTCTCACCCTCCCGCACACCTGGCCTGTACCCGGCTCTGTATAAAAATAAATAAATCTTAAAAAAAAAAAAGGAGAATGCAAAGTTACCACCTCACTAAAATGAGTTGTAGCAGCAGAGTGGAAAATGGGGAGGAAGGACCTGGGCAGAGGGCCCAGGTTTCTGGTGGTTTAGAAAGACCAGTGAGGTTGCAAAGATAGTGTGGAAGAGAATTTAGAGAAAGAGTTGGATGAGCCAGGTTACCAGGTGAGAAATAAGATGCGGTTTCTGTTTTAAAGAAGATGAATTATGGATTTCTAGGCCAGAGAGATGTGTAGATACCAGAGATCTCCACGATCAAGCTGCGCAGTTTAGATTTTATTCTGTAGGATGGAAACTCCTAGCCTTTTCTTTTCGAGTCCAAATGAGCTTCTTAACCTTGACCTGTAAAAGGGAAACAAATCACATAGGATCTAGTTTTGTTTTAACATTGATAAAAAAGACAGTGGCTCTCACCTCAGGGCGGTGCGCCCCAGTGGGCATTTAGCCATGTCTTGAGACATTTTTGGTTGTCCCAAGGGAAGGTGCTATTAGCATCTAGTGGCTCAGGAGCCGGGATGGCTGCTAAATAGCTTACACTGCATACAACAGCCTCTTGCAACAAAGAATTACCTATACCAATATTTCCGTAGAGCCAAGGCTGGGAAATTATAAGAATTATAAAACAGTGAAATAATAAAACAGAATTTGTAATCTTCAGCACACAGACTAGAGCGGGAGGAAGATCTGGCAAAAACCATCTAAGTTCGATCATGAAACTTGAGTCATGAAGCTGTGGTTGCAAAGGATAAGACATGTCTTGGGTAAGAATTAATGGGAAATGATGATAGATGGTGGTTTAGAAAGACCAGTGAGGTTGCAAAGATAGTGTGGAAGAGGATTTAGAGAAAGAGTTGGATGAGCCAGATTACCAGGTGAGAAATAAGATGCAGTTTCTTTACAGAAGGAATGAGTGGAAAACCTCACTGAGCAATCTCTTCCAGACTAAGCAGTAAGGATTTCAAGCTTGAAAGACTGACTGATGAGATGGAGACAGCCCTAAAAGAGTTCAGACTGCAGGGAAGGTGCGCTGTGTAGTTAGGATGAGACACCACCTTGGGCACTGGGAATGCAGCACGGGAGGTTGCTGCTCTTATGTATAATAGATAATTCTAGTCTACTGAGAGGAGGCAGAAGTAAAAGAGAAACATAATATGTCAGGTGGTGGTAAATTCCAATTTTTAAAAAAATGAAGCAGAGAAAATGAATAGTGACGGAAGTGAAGATTGTGCTATTTTTGATAGACTGGTCAGGGGAGGCCTTTGAGCTCAGGTGACCTTTAGAGGAGAGATCTGAACTAAGCCAGCCATGCAGCCCTCTAGGGCAGGGGCATTCCAGCAGAGGCAGTGGTAGAGGAGCCATCTTAAGCAAGAATGTGCCTGTAATAGTGGGAGGCATTTGTCAGGGAGGAGATGATAGAAATCAGGTAGTTACATGGAGATTGAATCATGTAAGGACTTGTGTGCCGTAATAAGGTCTTTGGATTTTATTCGAAGATGGAAAGTCATTGGGGAATTTTGAACAGAAAAGAGGTTTAATCTGACTTAAATTTTAAAATAATCTCTGTGGCTGCTATGTTGGGAAAATTGAACATTGGGCCTGGGAAGGGAGAGGGGAGGCAGTAGGGTCAGCAGTAGAAGCAGGGACACAGGAAGCTGGAGCGGTCAGCATAGTCCAGGCAGAAAATGCTGGGGCTTGAACTAGGAGCACAACAGAGGAAGTGGTGAGAGGTGACTGGATGCTGTGCTGGATGCACTTTGATGGTAGAACTCGATAGAGTTTCTTTATATAAAAACAAACACACTATAAAGCAGGTGGTTATGGGAGCAAGTTAATGGTTATGCCAAGGGTTTTGGTCTGAGCATCAGGCAAAATAGATCTGTCATTCCCTGACATGGTAAGGAGTGGAAGAGAGGGAGGTTTGGAATAGAGGAACAGGAACCCAGTGTTTGATTTTAGACATATGAATTTTGAGACTCTTGTTGGAATCCCAATGGGGAAGTGAACAAGCAGCTGGATAATCTGCACTGGAGCTATCAAGTGGGCACTGCCAGAATATGGTTGACGCTTAAAGCCACGAGACAGAGGGAGCTCGTCAGGGAGCAGCCAGCAGCCAAGACCGAGGGGCGGCCAGGCAGGCAGGCAGAGAACCAAAACAGAATTGCTTTCCAAGCAAACGTAATTCGCCTTTAACAAGATGAGTTTGTAGCCAGCCAGGCCTTTCTCTGAAGTCATCTGGGGGCAGCTAGTGGAGTGTGCAGCTTTCTGAGCCCTGAGGTACAGAGTTAGGTGGCTCATGGTGCTAACCTCCCCCCACCCGCCCCACCCTCCAGAATTTGAAGTATCAGAACATCTTTTACTAGATGTCTTAGCTAGTATTCTGCTGATTGGGTCCCTATTCTGGAGGCAGGGGTTACAAGGTACAACTGTCAGGGAACTAGAGATACTGTGTAGTGATTTCTTGCCTACAGAATTTCGCCCTGACAGGGATAGGGGGGCCCATATAATATAAGGGCCTGTTGTGTGCCAGTGCCCTGACGTCCAGTATGTCATGTGCTCTCAGAGTATGTAATCAGATCAAGGTCACAGCTAGTGAGCTCAGACAACAAGCGGAAGGGTTCTGAGTCCCTGATGTTACAGTACCGGCCAGGGAAGCCTGTTATTTTTAAATGCAAGAGGGAATGGACCCGTGGAGCCAAAGAAGCGAAGAGTGACTGAAATTCCTGATTAAATCATTGAAATAAGGGAACAAGAGTCAGAAGGAAGCAGAAAGAGATGGAGTTGAAGGCCAAGGTTGAGATAAGAGCCTTGACAAAGAAAAGACAGGAGCCTCCATGGTGGCACAAGGGGTTAAGATGCAACTTATGAAGCTGTCTGCAGCCACCACAGGAGTTCAATTCCCTGGCCAGTCAGGGAGCTACCCACATGGCACAGCAGACCTCTCCTGTCTTACCCACTGCTCCCCTCAGCAGTGTATTTCAGTAGATCTGCCTTGTCTGCTCCCCACTCTGTCTCTGGTGAATCCTCTCACTGCCTGTACCCCAGTTCTTGTGTGATTAAATAAACCTTTAAGAAAAAGAAAAGGCATTCTCTAAAATAGTGGGGAGGGAAGAGTCAGGGTGGAGATGGCTAGAGGGAACAGGAGATGGTTTTTGAGATTGTGATCTTACATAAACAGAAAATAAGATCATCGGGCTTCCCTAGTGGTGCAAGGGGTTAAGACACAACCTATGAAGCTCACCACAGCCACTGCAGCACGAGTGGATCCCAGGCCAGGAAGCTACCAGCAGACCTCTCCTGTCTCCCCTCTGCTCCCCTCAGCAGTATATTTCAGTAGATCCTCCTGTTCCCCTCTCTGTCTCTGGTGAATCCTCTCACCCCCCACACCTCTGGCTGTACCCCAGTTCTTGTATGCATAAATAAATAATCTTTTTTTTAAAAAAGGAAAATAAGATCATTTTTCAGAAAAAAAGTGGAGTGGGGACCTCAGAAGCGGAGTCTCCTGGGAACAGCTCTTGGATGAATACGGAAGAGATTTTTCTATTCTCTTGCATCCCCTTCTTTCTCCGTCCTTCTCTCACCCTCTTTTCTTCCTCTTTCTCCTCTGGTCCCCTCTCTTTCTTCTTCATTTCTCTTCATTATTTCCCTCTCCTTCCATTTCTTTGTGCTCTCTTCTGTTTGGCTTTCCCTGAAGTTCTTTTTCCTCCTTTCTGTCTCTTTTCATCTTCTTTTCCTTCTCTCCTCTTTTTTTTTCCTCTCTCCCTTCTCTACTTCTTTGAGCATAAGACAAAGAAGTGAAAGTGGCACAGCCAGGGATGAGGAGGTTTCTTAGAAGAGAAGCAGTTACAGTGGCCCTGAAGAAAGGGCAGGGTGACGGCAGGCAGGTAGCCGGAGAGCAGCTCATTGCAAGTTGCAGAGAGCAGCTGCCTCTGCCACAAATAGTTTACACTCTTGTTTTCTGCTGTCAGAGCGAGTGTGTCAGCTACATCTCATTCGTCTCAGATCTCAGTCCATGCCGAAGGACAGGAAGCACCCTTGCAGGAGAGGGGGCCTGTCGGGACCAAACAAGGATCCATTGTGCTCTTCCCCTCCGTGAAGGCCCAGCTGAAGCGTGAATCTCCAGGACCTGACACCCATCAGGTGCAAGGTAAACAAGAAAGCCCCGTCTGGGGAGGATGGGGACAAGGCTCACACAGCACATTTGGGGTCTTTTTTCCTTTGTGTTCTTTTTGGTCATTTGCGTGAGGAAGGTCTCTTCCAGAGTCTGCTCACTGTGCACAGACTGCCTTGTCACTCTGAGTTCTCTTTTTCCCTTTATGTTAATATCTTTCCAAATTCCGATTATATAAGGCCTGCCGAGGACTGTCTTCTTTTGTACTGACCTCGCTATTGGTCTTGCCTTTGTCCTGAGACACGTGCCCGCTCTTCTGCTTTGACTGTCTTTCCCCAGGAAATGGACCTGCAAGTCTCAGATGAGCCAGGAGACCATGTGTGTGTGTGAATGTGTGTGTGTGTGTTCTCTTACACAGAGGCACAGCGAGCAGAGTGACAGCATGTTAAGTTATGAGTGGGTGAGGCACCCTGTGTCTTCCTTATCTCTGCTTTTGCTGTATTTTTTCTTTCTCATTTAATTTTTTTAAATAGGTAAAAATTCACATGGTCAAAAATAAAAAGTCTTGATTATCCAAATGAAAAGTGTTCATTCCAATCTATTCCCCCAGCCACTTGGTCTCTTCCTCCCTACCCTGAAATACGTTGTCACTGTTACTAGTTTCTTAGGTATCATTTTCCTCTTTTTCTCACTGAGAAGGTAGAATCTCACAGTTTATTTCTTTTTTCTTTTTTTTTTTTTTTTTTTTTTGTGGGACCCTCGCTGGTGGCCAGGGATCGAACTGGTGCTGCGAGGCTGCAGGCAGCCTCGCAACCCAGCACTCAACTGCTGCCCCACCAGGGGAGGCCCTAGTTTATTTCTTAACAGTTGCTTAATATTAAAATATATGGCTGTCCCACATAATTAACTTTTCCACTCCCCTGATAATGACATTTAAGTTGTTCACAATATTTTATTATAACAAATAGCACTATGATAAATAACCAGATATGAACATATATCTATAGCATAAATTCCTGTATGTGGAATTACTAGATCAGTGGTTACAAACATTTGTAATCTTGATAAATATTGTCAAATTGCCCTCTGAGGCCTGCATTAATTTACACTCCCACTGGCAATGTGTGATGTTTCTGTGAACACGGCACATATTGAATTGATGGGCGAAAATCATATTTCACTATTGCTTTTTCTCTTATGTTATGGTAGAACATCTTGTGTTTAAGAGCTGTTGCATTTCCTTTTCTGGAAACCATCACTTTCTCCTCTGCCCAGTTTCTATTGGGTTATTCTTTTTTCCTTAACAGTTTTCAGAGTGTTTCATCCTTATCCCATTTTATAGTCATGCAGAAACTCTAGATTCTTATGTGGTTTTCATTTGAGTCATTTTATGTCACTTAGCGAAGTTGCTGTTTGCCATCACAGGAAACTAGTGAACATTGTCATCCATTTGTAGTTTCAGATGTCAAGACTGGAAATGAGTACAAAAATTTAACACTGAAGCAAGAAATTTCTGAAGAAATGGAGCCATGTGGGAATATATCTAACAGAGTTGAAAATGAAGTGTCCCAGTCAGCGAGGTATGAAAAATCTCCTGAACCTGAAGAAAAAACAGAAGCGCCCGCTAGATACTCCAGGGAAGAAAATCAACACGCAGGTGATAAAAACGGAGTAAGTTTGACCGAGAACTCAGACCTTGCTGAACAGCAGCAAGTCTGTCCTGGAGGAAAACTGTACGAATGTGATGACTGTGGGAAAGCCTTTCGGCAGCACTCACACCTCCTAGAGCACCAGAGGGTTCACACTGGAGACAGGCCCTACAAATGCGAAGAATGCGGGAAAACTTTCCGCGGGAGAACTGTGCTTATCCGACACAGAATCATTCACACTGGAGAGAAGCCGTACAAGTGTAACGAGTGCGGCAAAGCCTTCGGCCGCTGGTCAGCTCTTAACCAGCATCAGAGACTTCACACTGGCGAGAAGCACTACCACTGCAGTGAGTGTGGCAAAGCCTTCAGCCAGAAAGCAGGCCTCTTCCACCATCTCAAGATCCACACGAGAGACAAGCCCTACCACTGTGCTCAGTGCAACAAGAGTTTCAGCCGGCGTTCCATCCTCACCCAGCACCAGGGAGTGCACACAGGGGCAAAGCCCTATGAGTGCAGTGAGTGTGGAAAAGCCTTTGTTTACAACTCCTCCCTTGTTTCCCATCAAGAGATCCACCATAAGGAAAAGTGTTACCAGTGTAAGGAATGTGGGAAATTCTTCAGTCAGAGTGGCCTTATTCAGCACCAGAAAATCCACACTGGGGAGAAGCCCTACAAGTGTGACGTGTGTGGAAAAGCCTTTATCCAGAGGACCAGTCTTACAGAACATCAGCGAATTCACACTGGAGAGAGACCCTACAAATGTGATAAATGTGGGAAGGCTTTCACTCAGCGATCAGTCCTCACGGAGCATCAGAGGATCCACACTGGAGAGAGGCCCTACAAGTGCTACGAGTGTGGGAATGCCTTCCGAGGCATCACCAGCCTCATCCAGCATCAGAGAATCCACACAGGGGAGAAGCCCTACCAATGCGACGAGTGTGGCAAGGCCTTCAGACAGAGGTCAGACCTTAGTAAGCACCGGAGAATCCACAATAGAGGTGGCGCCTATAAATGTGAGGAGTGTGGGGAAACATTCAGGCAGAACTCGGCTCTCACTCAACACCAGACTGTCCACTAAGGAGGAAAACCTGTTGCTGTGTGATGACTGCAGGGCAGCTACTGCAGAGGGCAGGCTGCAGAGAAGCACTAGCTTTGAAATGATTCAGGGCAAAGCATCAGTCATGGTTGCTGTGAGGAAACGCAGATAAGCGGCCACCGGGTACAGCCCGGTGCGTGGGGGGCTGTGGAGAACATGGAGCATCACACTGCCTGCCGTTGCTCGGTGTACAGCCGGGGTGGGGCATGTGAGAGCCACGTGTTGAGCTGCATGGACTGCAGCCAGCATAGTCATGTAGAGTTCCTCGGCCCCAGGCAGACAGAAGTGCTGTAGCTCCTGACAGATCGCTCTGCCCAAAGTCAGGCAAGATTATACTGAGGATGAGGGTTCCATGGGCAGATTTGGAAGTTGAAAGGGAGAAATATCTAGAGTAAACAAATGTGAGCAGAGGCAGAGAGGCCTATGGTGGGAAAGCATCGGTGACGAGACAGGCCGATCCAAAGTAGAGGCTGAAAGGGGGTAGCTGATGGCTGGAGCCAAAGCAGCGGGGATCTAGACAGTGAGGCTGAGAGGCCAGTGGTTTCACCCGGGCCTTTATAACACTGACCAGAGCACTTTTCTCATTTAATTCCTAAAATGTGTCTAAAACCACTCTCCATTTAAAAACAAGCTGTCTTGCACGTGGAGAACCTGACTTAGCTACAGTATCTCACAGAGAAAGAGCTCGGCTGCCTCACGTTCCAGTCTGGTCTCTGACGTCACCCTGACCCGTAGAGACTCCTCAACCTCAGTGAGCGCCAGAACCACTCACGGGGCTTGGCCACGTGCCCGAGTCCGCTCAGAGATGTTCTGCTCTGCTCAGTCAGGGGGTTGAGAATTCATGCTGTAGCCCCACACTCACCTGGTGTCTGCTGAAATTTGAGGGATGTTGCGTTGAAACCCCAACTGCCTTTGTGGTTGCCTGTGAAGCAGGGAAGCCTGAACAGGCCTGTAAGGCAGGCAGAGCTGCAGACTATAGTGCAAGAAGAGCCTGCAGGGTTGTGTGCCCCCTCCCCCAGCCCTTCACAGCGGGGGGTCAGACCTCTGGTGCCCAAACTCTGGGACCACAGGGTGGCCCCTCCACCCCTTCATATGTCAGTGTCTAGAGAGTGTTCTGAGTCACACCTGGGAGGGGATAGGTCCAGGCAGGGGAGGGGTGCGGTGCTCGTCTCCGCTTTAACCCCCCTTTACCCCAGCTCTGTGCCAAAGGCTTGGGACATCTGAAAAAAATATGAACAACTGGTTGGCACTGCCCCGCATTACTGAGTGAACAGTTCTGTGCTGGGAGGGTCAAGGGGAAGGGGAGGGAAGGGGACCACCATTCTTTACTCCTGTCTTTGTCCCCAGGTTGGTTTCTTTTTAAAAAAATATATATATATATTAATTTATGCATACAAGAGCTGGGGTACAGGCCAGAGATGCAAGGAGTGAGAGTATTCACCAGACACAGTGTGGGGAACAGAACAGGCAGACTGACTGAAATACACTGCTGAGGGGAGCAGTGGGAAAGAGAGGAGAGGTCTGCCTCACCATGTGGGTTGCTCCCTGACCGGCTGGGGATCGAAGTCGTGCCACAGAGGCTGCAGGCAGCTTTATAGTGCGGTGCTTAACCCATTGCGCCAGTAGGGAGGCCCCCAGGTTGGTTTCTTTATCCAGTCTTCCCGCTTCTGCCATCTGCTATGCCCGTTTGCCTAGTGCCCCTCAGCTCCTGCTCCGTCCATAACCCCTATACAGGTGGAAGAGTATCAGCCCTGGCTTGGAATCAGAAGAGTCCCTAGACCTATAGAAACTCATATGGGCCTCCCTGGTGGCTCAAGTGATTAAGACGCAACCTATGAAGCTGTACACAGCCTCTGCAGCATGAGTTCAATCCTGGGCCAGCCAGGGAGCAACCCACATGGCGCAGCAGACCTCTCCTGACTCACCTGCTGCTCCCCTCAGCAGTGGATTTCAGTCAGTCTGCCTGTTCTGTTCCCCACTCTGTCTCTGGTGGGTCCTCTCACCTCCCACACCTCTGGCCTGTACCCCAGTTCTTGTATGCATAAATAAATAAATCTTAAAAAAAAAAAAAAAAGAAACATGTCCCCAGCTTGCCAGGGCACAAGTACGAACACGAAGATGATAATGGTGGTGACACTCTAATTAGGGCACATTATGTAGCTTTTGAGATTGGAATTTACATGACCCTGGGAACACACAGGTCATGGCAGAGGAAAGCAAATGAACATGTGAGAAACAGCTCATCCTCGAAGACTGGTGTTTTCACAACGCCAGCGCTGGGGTTGCACACACAGCACCACGGCAGCCAGAACTGGGAACCTGGTTTTACATCCAGAAGCAAGCAAGGATCCCAGTGTGAGCCCGAGGGCTCTCTGGCTCTGTCCCAGCTGAGCCTTGCACTGATGCAACTACTTAGTGACAAGAACCTTTACGACAACAGCCTCTTTTCCAGACATCATGCTCACATCTAATCTGATATCCAACTGATGTGACTCTTCACAGTAACTTCAGAGCTGCTCTTTAATTTGCTCACTGGAATGTGGTTCTTAGTTTCAGTTTGCTTTTGACTCTTGTTACTTGCATTCTCTCCAGTTCATCTTCTGCTTAACATGTTCTCTCAATGTACACATATTCCTCCATCTATCTATAACTAATATCACAAAGGAAATATAAACAAAGACCCATGTCTACCGTGTAGGATACTGTTCATAATTTACTTAAAAACAAAGGGAGGAGGGGTGGTTCTCGTGGTTTCCTGTGCTCAAAAACAATTGTACCCCCAAAAGTGGGATGGCATGGAATTTCCAGCTAGGCTTCACAGCTCTTATTATTGGCAATCTTTCAGAGTAGAAAAACGGACTTACCAATACATACCATTAACATTTCACTGAGGGCTGGATTTTACTAAATGCTTGTACTTAAATTATTTCATGTTTCGCTGGGGAAATGAAATTGATGAATTATAACTGCTCAAGATCACAAAGTTAATACCTTGTGGGGCCAGGATTTGTGCTCAGGCAACCCAGTCCCAGAGCCCACACTTCCTCTGTTCCAGGTGAACATGCCAAGTATGCCCTGGTAGTGCTTCTTGAGTAATTATCTGTAGAAAAAATTTTAATAGCTATCACTATTCTGGAAAATATTTCAGAAATCCCAGAGTCCTGGGTTCAAACACCAAGAAAATACTAAAACTGCCCTCTGTTAACAAATCTTAAGAGGAAGTTTGGCTACCACAAATATCAGCGCTAATTCTCACTTCCTGCGCTTGTAAGGAGCAGGAGACATTTCACTTTAAAAAATGGGCTCTTTGGGAAAGAATTGCCCCTGTCTTAGCACCATATTATTCTGACAGCACAGGAACTATTGATTGTCTTCTAATACAAACAAGATTTAGATTTCCCCTTTATGGGTCTACCTTTGATGAGGTAAATATTGTATACAGTGTGTGTGTATATATTTGAATACTTTCGATGTAATTAATTTTGACAAAGTATTATAAACTCAGTTGCTCAGCTCCCTAGTTCACACTGTAAGACCAGTGTTGGGAGCCACTAGTTTTTCTGGAAGTAGATTCTCTTCACATATATCATAAAACACTTTCCAGGTCTGAAAACCCATCTCCCAGGTCTTCCACCCAGCTCAGTTCAAGGTGATCTTGCTTCCTAAGCCTGAGTGGCCTGGTCCTGGGTGTTCCAGGAAGGACCCCTCAGTGGAGGCCATCTGTGGCCTGATTCAGGACTTGATGGGCTATCCACAGATCTAGTGAGTGCCTCAATTCTCCCACTTCAACGAAGTAGCAGGCGTCTCACTATGTCATCCCTGGAGACAATTTAGAAATTCTACAGTTACTGTAGCCAGCATCTGAGTGATTTCGGGCAAGGGATTTGATCTTTGTCTTGGATTCCTCCCATGTGAAGGGGCGGTACCAACGGTGCCCAAGCCGCTGGGGATCGTGCGGGTGAAGTGCTCGGAGCGAGCATATCCGCTCTGGCCCCGGCCGCGGGCTCGTCTCGCGTCACGCGGGCTGTCAGGTGCCTGGGCTCCGGGTGCGGCAGTCCTGGCCACCTGTCACCAGCGCCGGTTTCCCGGGACGGTGACCCGGTCCTCCCCGCTGACAGAGGTGCTCCCACCGGAGCTTCTCCACTTTGACTCAGGGACGGATGAGCGGTGGCCCGCGGGCGACACGTCGCCGCCTGGGCTGACCAGGAGCGGGGTCCGGGACCTAGGTCCCCGTGCAGCCCCGGAGATGACCAGCGCCCGCGCATCTCAAGGGGCGTCTTTGCAGCGGTACCGCGAGCTGGCGGGACCCTGGCAGTGTTGGCCTCAGGGCGCCGCGGGCAGGGGCAGGGGGCGCGGCCCCCACGGAGGAGAACCCGGCCCTTCCCGGAGGAGCCTGGCGCGGGGCCGGGGTGATTGCGCTGCCCGCCTCTCCGCGCCCCGCAGGGCGGGCTCGGCTACACGCATCGGATTCCATGCGGGAGCTGGGCCTGGGACAGGGCGGCGGGGTCAGGCTTCCCAGTCCCACCTACGTGATCCCGGGCTAAACGGGAGGTCGGGTCACTGGGGAAGGTGACCCACACAGGACGGTCCCATTCCGCTTCGGCCCATGCCTCCCAGCCAGGCACGCAGCGGCCACTTCCAAGGTGGGTCTTTTTTTTTTTTTTTTTCAAGATTTATTTTATGGGCCTCCCCGGTGGTGCAGCGGTTGAGCGCTGGGTTGCGAAGCTGCCCGCGGCCTCTGTGGCGCCGGTTCGAACCCCGGCTGCTCCCAGGCCACCGGAGGAGGGTCCCACACGGCGCGCAGACCTCTCCTGCCGCCCGCTGCTCCCCTCAGCAGTGTACTTCGGTCCTTCTGCCTGCTCTGCTCCCCGCTCTGGCTCTGGTGAATTCTCTCACTCACCCTTCACAGTCTTCTGACTGTACCCAGTGCTTGTATAAATAAATAAATAAATAAATCTTAAATAAATAAAAAAGATTTATTTTATACAAGAACTGGGGTACAGGCCAGAAGTGCGGGAGGGTGAGAGGATTCACCAGAGACAGAGCGGGGGGCAGAACAGGCAGAATGACCAAAATACACTGATGAGGGAAGCAGCCGAGAGACAGGAGAGGTCTGCTGGGCCATGTGGGTCTCTCCCTGGCCAGCCGGGAATCAAACCCATGCTGCAGAGTCTGCGGACAGCTTCACAGGGCTGCACTCAACCCCCTGCACCAGTGGGGAGGCCCCCAAGGTGGTTCTTTTAACAAATGACCTGTGTCCACCGTGCGGCAGCACCTTCGTCAACCAGTGGGATGAAATAGTATCCATCTGAGAAAATAGTCGATTTTTATTTTTTTAATTTTTTTTGAGGTAACGGTTTATAACACTGTACATAGCTTAGTGGTGTCAGTTCATACCTTCATAAGCAACTTTAAATATTAGCTGTTGTATTTTTTCATTTCTGATGTTCTTTTCTCTGCCTTTTTCTGGGATTCTCTGAGGGGAAGAACCACAGGAAAGAGGATCTTGGTCTTTCAGGCTTTATTATCCTAAACATTTAGGATACTGATTAGCAAAGTCACTCCACTCTTCCAATTTATTTAGCTTTCTGATGGGGATCCTTTCTCGTTCAGTGCATTGTCCAGGTGATTGTTAGGTTCCTGTTAACTGTGTTATGCTGTGCCTCAGGAAGAAGACCGAATACAAGGAAATACTTCTGAAAAATCAGTCTGAAGCCCAAGCTGGAGTTAATCTTTTGCTGAACTTGCTCATTCCAGAATGGCAGTCCTCTTGCAAGAAAGATCTCCAGTATGTACTGAGGGCTGTGCCTGGCATCAAGAATCAGACTAGCAAAGAAATCATTATCACTGGTGTAAGATCTCATTGTAGTTTTGTATCTCATTGTATTTTTAATTTGCATTTCCCTGATTACAAGTGATGTTGAACATTTTTTCATATGCCTGTTGGCCATTTGCATCTCCTCTTTGGAGAAGTTTCTTTTTAGCTCTTCTGCCCATTTTTTGACTGGATTATTTACTTTGTTTTTGTTGAGTCTCATCAGCTTTTTGTAGATTTTTGTGATCAGTCCTTTATCATTAGTGTTGTGTGCAAACATTTTCTCCCAATCGGTGGGGTGTCTCTGTTTTGGTTACTGTCTCTTTTGCTGTAAAGTTCCTTAATTTGATGTAGTCCCAGCTGTTTATCTTTGCCTTCACTATCACTGCTTTGGGTGATGTGTCTTTAAACATGTTACTGAGGTGTATGTCATGTAGTGTTTTGCCTATATTTCCTTCTATGTATTTTATGGTTTCAGGTCTTATATCTAATTCTTTAATTGATTTTGAGTTGGTTTTTGTGCATTGTGTGAGGTAGTGGTCAAGCTTCATCCTTTTGCATGTAGTGACCTAGTTTTCCCAGCACCATTTATTGAACAAACTTTTTTTGCTCCATTGCATATTCTTTGCTCCTTTGTCAAAGATTAGTTGACCGTAAATCTGTGGGTTTATTTCTGGATTTTCTATTTGGTTCCATTGGTTTGTGTGTCTGTCCTTGTTCCAATACTATGCAGTTTTGATTACTATGGCTTTGTAGTATAGTTTGAAATCTGGGAGTGTGATGCCTCCATTCCTTTTTTTTTTTTTTTTCCAGAGCTTTGGCTCTTCAGGGTTTTTGGTGGTTCCATATGAATTTCATCAATATTTGTTCTATTTCTTTGAAGAATGCCATTGACATTTTTATTGGGCTAGCACTGAATCTGTAAGTTGCTTTTGGTAGGATGGCCATTTTGAGGTTAATTCTTCCAATCCATGAGCAGGGGATGTCTTTCTTTTCACAAAGAAATCATTAACTTGAAGTTAATGCCAGGAGCCAGCTATGTGGACCTCAGATGACTGTCATCAGAAGACTCAAGGGCTCTGTCCACAGTGGCTGTGAAAAGCACAGACCAAGGGGCAGCTATGTCAGAGACCTGAAGACCTACTTAATATCCAGAATGTGGAGAAGGGTCAGTTTATACTGGAGAAGTTGCAGACTACTTGCAGCCCATAGGTGGGAAGAGTTGGGATAAGCATTTATGACTTGACAACAGAAAAGACTTCTGGAAAAGCACAGAAAGCAGTAAACTGAATGTTAGGATTCACCAGATGGCTCTGGAGTTGTAACTCAGCATCTCCCTCAAGGGCTTTTATTCCCCTGGTATTCATATATATACTTCTGGAAACTTCTCTTTCGATATTGGGTCATCGTGGTGCTTTGGGTATATTTACTAAAGTTTAGCTTCAACATCAGTTTTCCAAGCTCAACTTCATCCAAAGGATGAAGGACAGGACAAGGTATGTTTATGGTAGAGATAATACCGAGGAACCAAAGGTTTCAAGTCCATCCTTTTGAGACCCTATCTGAGTTTAACTCAACAGCATTGTTTTTTGAAATGGAAAAATGAGAAAGGATGTTTGCAGAAAGAGATTCTTGAAGGCAGCTTTCTGGAGCTCTTAATTACTAATGTCCTTTCCCTGAAACTTACCTTTATCCATCTCCATCTCATCTTCCCAGTGTTTTTTTTTTTTTTTAAGATTTATTTATTTATACAAGAACTGGGTACAGGCAGAAGCGCGGGAGGGTGAGAGGATTCACCAGAGCCAGAGCAGGGAACAGAACAGGCAGAGTGATGAAATACACTGCAGAGGGGAGCAGTGGGCGCAACAGGAGAGGTCTGCGCGCCATGTGGGACCCTCACCAGTGGCTGGGGAATGAACTGGCGCTGCAGAGGCTGCGGGCAGCTTCACAGCCCAGCGCTCAACCACTGCGCCACCAGGGGAGGCCCTTCCCAGTGCTTTTTTCCTTTATTCATGCATACAAGAACTGGGGTCTAGGCCAGAGTTGCAGGGGTGAGAGGATTCACCAGAGACAGAGTGGGGAACAGAACAGGCAGATTGAACAAAGTATACTGCTAAGGGGAGCAGCAGGCAGAACAGGAAAGGTCTGCTGCGCCATGTGGGTCAGCTCACTGGTCAGGGATCAAATTCTAGCCCTAGTGGTAATGGCACTGAGACTTAACCCCTAGGCCACCAGGGAGGCCCCCAATCCGTCCATTTTGCTGTGAATGGAAACATTTATATCTTTCCTCATGGCTGTGTGGCAACACCACATCTTCCTAGTCCAGTCCTCTCGTTGGGCAAATAGGCTGTTTCCATGTCCTAGCTATTGTAAATAATGCTGCAGCGGACACTGTAGGACATGCAATTTCTTCAGCTGGTAGTACCATGTTCTTTGGACAGATGTCCAAGAGTGGGATTGCTGGGTTACACTGCTTTTTCAAATTTAGTTTTTTAAGGTAAATCCAGATTGCTTTATAAAATATCAGCACCATCGGTGTAATAGGGCTTCTCTTTGTCCACATGCTCTCCAGGGCTCCTGGAGTACTTTTTTTAAACAGGTGCTATTCTCACAGGTGTAAGATAACAGTGGTTTTGACCTGCATCTCCCTTATTAAAAGCAATAATGAACATTTTCCATATATCTGTTAGCTTCTGGATAGCCTTCCTGGTGAACTGTCTGTCTGGATCTGCTGCCCATTAATTGAGTTTTTTAATTGTTAACTTGATTCTTTAGGTGGAATGAATCTGCTGCCCTGGAGAAGTTTGAATTTAACAGGCCTAAGTGTTGTTTTTTTTTTTTTTAAAAGACTTATTTATTTATTTATACAAGCACTGGGTACAGTAAGAAGCACGGGAGGGTAAGAGAATTCACCAGAGCTAGAGCAGGGAACAGAACAGGCAGACTGATGAAATACACTGCTGAGGGGAGCAGCGGACGCGGCGAGAGGTCTGTTGCGCCATGTGGGGCCCTTGCCTGGGGGCTGGGGATGGAACCGGTGCTGTAGAGGCTGCGGGCAGCTTCGCAGCTCAGCGCTCAACCACTGTACCACCAGGAGAGGCCCAGGCCTAAGTGTTGATGCACAATCTACAATACATTTGGGCTTGGAGGGTTGTGGGCAGGACAAAGTCTGTTGCTTTAGGGAGCACTTGGTTAGGCCCAAGTGAAATAAAAGGCAAGAACCAAGCTGCAAAGCTTTAGAGAATTCACCATATTTGCTAAAAAGTAGTAAAATGCAGAGTGGAACTTCGTGGAGGGCCCACATTCACAATGACATGGTGGTAAAGAAGCTGTCTAAGGCATCCCCATTAGAACTCACCTGGCCAAGAAAGTAGATCCTATCCAGCACAGGATACCCCATCCACACCCCACTCTGACAGTCTATGTGCTTGACAAAAATGTACTCGCACAAATTACAACCTGGACCCTCAGAATGAGACACAGGCACAAACAGCTTTGGCGAGAAATCCCTCAGAATCTAGACATCAGATTTCAGAGCTACAAAGGTCGTCTCACCAGTAAATATAATACAGCACTGTGTATGAGGCACGGGGATGTGGGTAGGCAGAAGCCCCCAAGAAATTGATGACTGTGCAGGATTCTCTCAGGCAACACTGGGCTCAGAGCAGCAACCCCACAGGAGAGCACCTGCCCAGCGGGCAGAAAGTGCTGGCTGAGGGTACCAGCCAGCCTGGAGCATGTCCAACAGGTGAGAACCAACCATTCCAGGTCCCACCTCTTCCAGACAGTTCTCCCACAGCCTCCTGGTAAGCCAGGTGTTTCCGATCACCTTCTAGAATGTGGAAGATAAATCATCTCAGGTAGACACATTTTCTGACAAACAGCTGAGGCTGTCCAAGGCGGATTAAGCCACGGCCCGGGTCTGCAGCAGGAAGGGCTCTGGGCGGCTGCAGAGGGTGGGCCTGTTCTCCCAGAGCCTGAGGAGCTGGAGCTGGTGAGAGGCGCCCGACACCCAAGAGGAGACATCACCTGCAGAGTCCTGCAGAGGTCGACCTGGGAGAGGCAAGGTCACTGGGACGGGATTCTCTCTTTTTTAAAAAGATTTATTTATTCATGCATACAAGAACCAGGGTACAGGCCAGATGTGCATAAGGGTGAGGGGATTCACCAGAGACAGAAAAGCAAAAGTGAAATTAGGATCTTTGACAGGAAGAAAGTGCAGGCAGAAGCCTTAAGTACAAAACAGGGATTAGGTCACTGCCCTAGAACACAGTGCAAAGAATTCTTTCCATGATCTAGAAGTGGGCGATTAGACCGCCTTTATTTTTTTTAAGACTCTTCCATTTTTTACCTTTTTTTTTTTTATAAGATTTATTTATTTATGCATACAAGACCTGGGGTACAGGCCTAAGGTGTGGGGGTGAGAGGCTTCACCAGAGACAGAGTGGGGAACAGAACAGGCAGATGGACCAAAGTACACTGCTAAAGGGAGCAGTGGGCGAGACAGGAGAGGTCTGCTGCGCCATGTGGGTAGCATCCTGGCAGGGGTTTGAACTCATGCTGCAGAGGCTGCGGACAGCTTCATAAGCTGCATCTTAACCCCTTGTGTCACCAGAGAGGCCCTGGGATGGGATTCTTTTTCCCACATGGCTCCTCTGGTGTTGGACCAGTTATGATGTCCAGGTGAAGCCTCTGCTGCACAAATCACACTGATGGGACTTCTCCCAGGTGTGGATCTTGGCGATGCTCAACAAGGCTTCTATGTCTCCGGCTCAGGGGGGTGTGGTGCGGGCTTATCGTTGTGGATCCGCTGGTGCCGCAGGAGGTGGGAATTCCGCCGGAAGGCCTTGCCGCACACGACGCACCGGTATGGCTTCTCCCCAGTATGGATTTTGTGATGCTCCAGAAGGCTGGAGCTCTGGCTGAAGGTCTTGCCGCAGTACTCACACTCAAAGGGCTTCTCCCCGGTGTGCGTCCTCTGGTGTTTGATGAGGTCTGAGCTGTTACCGAAGGCCTTGCCACATTCCTCGCACTCATAGGGCTTCAACCCCGTGTGGATGCGCTGGTGGATGACCAGGTCCGAGCGCCGGATGAAGGTCTTCCCACAATCCTCGCACTCATAGGGCTTTTCCCCGGTGTGGACGCGTTGATGGATGACCAGGTCCCAGCGCCGGGTGAAGGTCTTCCCACAGTCCTCGCACTCATATAGCTTCTCTCCCGTGTGGACGCGCTGATGGATGACCAGGGCCGAGTTTCGGATGAAGGCCTTCCCGCAGTCCTCACACTCATAGGGCTTCTCTCCCGTGTGGACGCGCTGATGGATGACCAGGTCCCAGCGCCGGATGAAGGTCTTCCCACAGTCCTCACACCAGTAGGGCTTCTCTCCCGTGTGGACGTGCTGATGGATGACCAGGGCCGAGCTTCCAATGAAGGTCTTCCCGCAGTACTCGCACTCATAGGGCCTCTCCCCGGTGTGGATCCGCCTGTGCTTACTCAGCCCCGAGCTCTGAGCAAAGCTCTTGCCACACTCGTGGCAAATGCGCCGCCTGCTCCCAAGGGCACGTTTCTGCCTTCTTTGGAACCCGCCCTCTTTTTCACCAACTTCTGCGCAGGGAGACATCTGGCCCGCGGCTCCCCCTGGGGGGCACAGGCTCTGGCCGGCCTCCTGCTCCAGTGGGTCCTCGTCCCCAGGTGAGCCCCTTAGCTTAGTGCACACGTCCCCACCTGAAACTACAAATGGCAGCAGCTGTCACCACGTCCCGGGACGGCCCTTGGTGAGGGCCAGGGAGGCAGTGGACAGAGGTCATGGATGCCAATGGGGAGGGTTTCAGGCAGGAACAAGGAGAGGAGTAAGGAGTGAGAATGGGGGTGCTGGGGAAGAAGGAGGCCTGAGAATAAAGGTGCAAAGTGGGAAGGAGAGAGTGGAGTGGGGGGAGGGAGGACCGAGTCTGTGCTGGGCAGACACTCAGAGGCTCTGAGCTCTAAGACGGGGAGGCAGCCCATGTCCCCCAGATTCCACACTGAAGGACTGGGCAGAGATCACAGTGAACAAGGCAAGTGGAGGGACTTCTGGAGTGTTCTGGAAGCAACAGCCAAGTGAACACCCAGGACTGAGTGTTCACCAGTGCCAAAGACTGCCACCCTTGCTCTTGTCCCAGTCAGGTGGGTCCCCAAACAACGGGCTTTGGTGGGGACAGCCTAAGCGGGAGGGCCCACTGGGCCCAGGGGGCTGTGTGACCCCAGACCTCAGTTGGTGACCTGTGTGTACGCCCTCCTCGCTGAGCTCCAACACCGCGCTTGGGAACCGAGGTGACCGTCAGCTACACACTGTCGCCCACCAACATTCCCCGAGGAGACCCCGCAATGTGCACTGTCAGGCCGGCCGCAGAAAGGGAGTGGACAAGCACGGGCACCTACTATGCACCAGACCCACATCTCCTATGAGCTGGATCTGCTTCACTGACCCCTCAACCGTCAGGAATGCTGGGAGGAGAGACGAGCAGAAGTGAGACTCAATGGTTACAAAGCTAGTCACAGACTGGTTAATCTCTGCACTTCAGAAACTGTTCTGAACCCAGTGAAAACTGCAATAGCTTCTAGCAGCCCAGGAGGCATGAATACCCAGAGGACATCAGAAAGCACGAGAGAGCAGGGCCCGCCTTACCGGGGGAGACCAGGCTGTCGCAGTCCTGCCTTGCATCCCGGCAGAAGTTCACCTGAGGCGAGTCCAGCTGTGTCCATCTGGGGGCAAGTCCAGGAACCTGGAGAACTAAGGAGGAAAATCTCTGGGTGAGATCTGCCCTGGCATTCGGCCTCTCTGCCCTGTGGAGTCCAAGTTCAAAAACTGGAATATAAATTCCTGCAAGAAATTTATAGAGTGTGCTCCCTCCCTAAACCTGACTCCCTGCAGCTCCAGCCCTGAGAGGTGCGTGCTCTGCAGACACGGAGCCACACACCAAGGCAGGATCCTTGGTCAGATATATCATGGGAGCCACATAAAACAAGCTTCTCATCTGAAGAGCCTTTGGACTTTGCTAAATTTTGGCTAAAATGTTTTTAGCTGTTGGGGGCATTCTGCTGTGGTTTTGAAAAACGAAGAGTCAGACAGGGCTGATTTAGGAAGGCAGCCACGGGTGTCTGGTTATGGAACTTGCTCAGATTCAATAGAGAAAGTAAAAGGACATTTCGGGGTTCCCTATAGGCAACAAACTCCGAAAGGGGCATGAAACAGTGTATGTGGGCCAGACTCTTCTTGACTGGGAAATAAAGATTACATGTGGCTGCTGTGTCCTTGCGGTGGGTCTTGGGTCTGCGCACCTGCTTAGGACATGTACAGCCACATCCTGTGGGGGGAGTTTCGTGTTATTAACAACAGCTCTAGGGCTTGGGAGATTGATACTCTTAATTAGCAATAATCCTCCCATCTGTGGCTCTTCTGACTGGCTTGACAGATTCTGTCCTCCCTGACACCACCGCCTAAGGCTGTACTATGAGTGTGTCCATCTGCATCTCCCTGCAGGATGCAGGGCTGCACAGCAGCAGGACTTGGGTCACTGCCGGCGCGGACTGCATGCAGGAGGCCGCCATAATCTGTGTTACATGCTGGAGAACCAATTCTTTCCAAACCCAAATTTTTTTAAAACTTATTTTTGTTGGGGCCTCCCTGGTGGTGCAGGGGTTAAAGACAGAGCTTTCAAGCTATCACCAGCCACTGCAACACAAATTCAATCCCCAGCCAGGGAGCTACCCACATGGCGCAGCAGACCTGTCTCCCTGCTGCTCCCCTCAGCAGTATATTTCAGTAGATCTGCCTGTTCTGCTCCCCACTCTCTCTGGTGACTCCTCTCACGCACCACACATCTGGCCTGTACCCCAGCTCTTACATGCATAAATAAATAAATCTTTAAAAAAAAAAACACAGCTAATTTTTGTCCGGTCTTGGTTGGGAAAGTGTTCCACCACTGTTTGAAATTTGTCTTTTACTTTCCATCTCAGTGTAAGTCCATCAGTGACGGGGTTATAAAAGAACTGTCAATGGATCTGTTAGGGGCCCGCCCCTTAAATAACGCTGGATGAGGCATGAGGAACTCACTGCCCAGAAGGTCCTCCTCACTTCCATGTGGTAAGGGCTGGGATCCCAGAGGTTCATACTCGAGCAGAGCCTTCGCCGACTGGAACTGGCCACTCTGGGACCCTCGAGATGGTGTCCACATGGCCATCTCGCAATGTAGCAGCTCTTGCCCCTGGTGACTGTCGGGGACCTGGAAGTCACCATTAACTGTTATTTCCATGTATTCATCAAACATTGCAGTGCACCTGGCACTGTTTCCACTAAAAGATTATCTTATTTAACAGATAACAACCTTCAAGCTAGTACAATTATCCCCATTTTAGTAGTGGGGAAACTGAGGCATAGAGCTTCAGCAGGGGATCCAAGCTCTCCAGCTAGTACACTGTATGCCAGGACCTGCATGCCAGGATGAGGCTCAAGCAGAAGGGCTCCAGGGCCCACGCTCCCAGCCATCACTCTGCTCCCTTCTCACACACTGCGCTTTTATGGAAACTCTGGGAATTGGCGCTCAGTTCTCAGGAATACTGAGATCTTTCCTTACCTGAAAATTGAGGATATTAACTTCTAGCTTAATGGGCTTGGGGAGTTTCACAACGCAGGCCGTGACATATGGTACATCCTTATAAAATTCAGTTTTCCTTCCAGATCTTAATAGTGAAATTATAACATTTAAGGTCCTTTCTCAAGGGTGGCTCGGAGTTCCCCACGTCCTCTGGAAAGAATGAAGAGCCTGGTGCTAAGACCTGACACAACTTGGCGCTGTTGCAGGCTGGGTGTGGTGGATCTGAGTTGAGCACCTGACCTCCTGACTGTGGGTTAGGGGTCTCTGGCCACAGGGCCTCTGAAGGATAGAGCGCAGGGCAAAGCTAACGCAAAGGGGGAACACTCCCACAGACAGGCAAGAAGATGCGCGTGAAAGCTCACTTTCCACCAGAGGTTTTGAACCTGTGATTTCCCCCAAAATGAACTACTGATTATGAATTATAGAAAAACTATTTTTACTAGGCTCTCAAAAGATTGAGTATTTCCTTCCTTTAGGAGTGGAAACAACAAACAATGTGGCGTAAGCACACCCAGAACTCTGTCAGCAATAGAAACTGCAGATGTTTTCCTGACACATGGCAGCCAGGCAAATACCATCAGTCACTCACCACTCTGACACCCCAGGGATTAGGCCAGTCCCGAGCTCTTACTCTTTCCTGCATTCATTTCAAAAAGCATGTGACTTTATCACAGATTTGCCTAGTGCTTTGCTAACCATATCTCAATATAACTAAGTTTCCCCATAACCCTTTGTACTTTCCTTTGTGTGTTGGAAAATGCTATTATGACACAGGGTCCGGGGCCTCCACCTTGCTGCCCAAGAGAGCCTGAAAACTTCTGGATCACGAGGCACTGCCTCCATGGGACCCGGAGGCTTAGGAAGGGGCAGACCCGCTGCCAGACACTACACCTGCCTCTACCTGCGGCCTGGGCGGGCCCAGCTGGCTCTCCAGATGCTCCAGCAGCAGCACCGCCTCCTCCCCGCTCTCGGGGTGCTGCTCCCGCACCCAGCACTGCAGCTCCCCGGGGAGGATGGTCAGGAACTGCTCCAGCACCAGCAGCTCCAGGATCTGCTCCTTGCTGTGCGTCTCGGGCTGCAGCCACCGTCGGCAGAGCTCCCGAAGCTGGCTCAGCGCCTCACGGGGGCCCTCGGCCTCAGGGTAGCTGAACCCTCGAAAGCGCTGGCGGGAGCGCTCAGGACCAGGAGGGAGGCCGCCTCCTAAAGCAGCCATCTCTGCTAAGGCAGCGGCTTCTTCCTCCTCCCCCTTTATGATCAGGAACCCCATCGCGTCCTGTGCACACTGGGCATCCAGGCCTGTGCCTTCCTGGAGTTCTCTGGCCATCCTGGGCCAAGGCAGTGCTCAGTCTCACTCCAGCTGGGTGCTATATTTCTGCAGAAGATTCCTAGAAGTGGGAAATCACGATTAACCAGTGAAATCTCAAGCAGTTCCCTCCTCGTCTACCCAGGAGCCCATGGACAACGCTGGGGAGCAGCTGCAAAGATTTCATCCTTGCCTTTAAGTGCCTCTGCAGCTTCATCTTTAACATGACTCCAAACTTGCTGCCCTCAACAAACTCCCACCACAGATACCATGGGCCTGGGCCCGGCTACACGCAGCGTACCCCCAGATGTCCAGGCTAGTCAGGAGAGAAATTGCAGGCAGCTGTGTCAGAGGAAACACCTCAGTCTTTGAGGGCCGTCTCCATGTCTCACCCACTTCTGAGTGACCCCAAGATCCCTGCCTTACCCCTCAGGACTCTCAGCATGAGGTGGCGGCCCATGCCTGGACTGACTGCAGAGAACTGATTTCTACGAACAACCACAATGAGCTTGTCAGCTCCCCCTCCCCAGTGCCTCCAGGCCAGAGCCCGCCGGGCCAACGCCTTGACTTTAACCCACAGCTGAGAACTCAGCTGAGCTGGCCTGGCCTTCTGACCCACAAACTGGGATATAAGAAAGAGCTTGTTTTAAGCTAATGAATTTGTGGTAAGCTGTCTGGCAGCAATAGACATGAACAGCAGGTCCTTAACCACTCAGAAGGCACTGCAATGAGGGAGGGGGAAAGACAGGACAGCAGGCCCGGGATGAGAGGAATCAGACTGAACATTTTTAAGGCCTGGACACCTGGTGGGTGAGGCTCCCAGTTTGCTCTGATGTGAGGCTTGTCCCAAAACTCACATCAAAAACCATTCATGGGGGGCCTCCCCGGTGGCGCAGCGGTTGAGCGCTGGGTTGCGAAGCTGCCCGCGGCCTCTGCGGCGCTGGTTCGATCCCCGGCTGCTCCCCGGCCACCACAGGAGGGTCCCACATGGCGCGCAGACCTCTCCTGCCGCCCGCTGCTCCCCTCAGCAGTGTACTTCGGTCCTTCTGCCTGCTCTGCTCCCTGCTCTGGCTCTGGTGAATTCTCTCACCCTCCCGCGCTTCTGACTGTACCCAATGCATGTATAAACAAACAAATAAATAAATAAATACATAAATAAAAATACATGCCTCTTAAAAAAAAAAAAAAAAAAAAACCATTCATGGGGCATCCCCTGGTGGCGCAGAGGTTGAGCGCTGGGCTGCGAAACTGCCCGCAGCCTCTGCAGCATCAGTTCAATCCCCAGCCGCCGGGGAGGGTCCCACATGGCATGCAGACCTCTCCTGCCGCCCGCTGCTCCCCTCAGCAGTGTACTTTGGTCCTTCTGCCTGCTCTGCTCCCCTCTCTGGCTCTGGTGAATTCTCTCACCCTTCCACACTTCTGACTGTACCCAGTGCTTGTATAAATAAATAAATAAATCTTTAAAAAAAAACCCAAAACCATTCATATCCAGATGAAAGGAAGCCTCCCCAGGCCTCTGAGCTTTGAGCTGAGGGGGATCCGTACCTTCTGCCTCAAAAACATGAAAGAAGCAGAAAACATCACCACATCTCAGCCTGCAGAAAGCTCCTGGTCCTGTCCACCCCCTCACTCCAAGGCTCTCCTCCCCTTCAAGGCCAAGCTTCCTGAAAGGAAGTCCAGGGGACCCCAACTCTCGCCTCACCCCCACTACCCTCCGCACACTGAGCACGGCCAGTAGCCACATGGGCTCCGGCAGAATTCACCACACACGCCTCCTCCCAACTTCCGGTCCCCATGGCTTCCTCTCAGGCAGTGGATACTGCTGTCCACTTTCCGAAATGGTCTTGTCCCTAGATGAAAGGGCCCCCTTCTCTCCTGCTTTGCCCTCCTGTTTCTTAAGCCCCTCTCACAGTAGGGTAGGTACAGACTCTCAAGTCACCGTCCTGGGCTTCATGACTAATGCACTGGGTGGCCTGGTAAGCTACTCAAGGCTTCGCACCTTTGACAGGGACAGTGACAGCAGATGGGACGCTGTGAGGATCCAGTAAATTTGTATATTAAGTTCTCACCATGCAGCCTGGCTGTGGGGAGTACAATGTAACTAGCAGCAATGGTATGATTCTCTGGTCTTTCTTTTTTAAAGATTTATTTATTTATTTATACAAGCACTGGGTACAGTCAGAAGCGCGGGAGGGTGAGAGAATCCACCAGAGCCAGAGTGGGGAGCAGAGCAGGCAGAAGGACCGAAGTACACTGCTGAGGGGAGCAGCGGGCAGCAGGAGAGGTCTGCGCGCCATGTGGGACCCTCCTCTGGTGGCTGGAGAGCAGCCGGGGGATTGAACCGGTGCTGCGGAGGCCGCGTGGCAGCTTTGCAACCCAGCGCTCAATCGCTGCGCCACCGGGGAGGCTCTGGTCTTTCTTCTTGTCCTTTTTCTCTGCCTACCTTCTTCCTCAAAGCTGTCTTTAGTGTTTACTAAATTTTAATTCTCATTTCCAGGACTGAAGACTGCTGGCCCCTCTCCAGGGCTTCCTCCCAGACAGTTCTATCTAAAATCTTATAAACAAGTCAAAATCAACACATCCCAAACCAAACTGGGCTCTTCCCCAGCACCCATCTGCCCCCCTCCCCAGCAGGATACATCACCCACTGGATAGTCTCACTTTCATCTCTGACTTGCCGCACTGGAACGAGAGCACTTGATAACTATGGCAGGAAATGCACACGAATACACCACCACCATCTGTGCTACAGACTCCATTCAATTTTCAGCACCTGCCATCTTTGGGGCACCTGTAGTGGGCCCCAACCTGTACAGAGTTCCCACCTGTGTGGGAACACCTGACACCTTTAGGTCAGGCAACAGCGTTCAGGCTCCAGCTGAGCAGAATGAGAGGTGTTGAACTGGGAGATCAGTTCCAAACTGGAAGAGCTGATCAAATAAGTAAATATATCAACGATTGTTCATCTTTGTTCTCATCATTGTGGAAAAGAGTTAAAATATGGAAAGGGGAAATCTAGAGTGAACCCCAGAATGTGGGAGTGGAACGAAAGCTGTCAGTACGAACTCCATTTCCACTATTCATTGTGACAAATAGAAAAATAGAAGTTGCAGGGCCTCCCAGGTGGTGCAGCGGTTGAGCGCTGGGTTGCGAAGCTGCCCGCAGCCTCTGCAGCATCGGTTCAATTCCCGCTGCTCCCCAGCCACCGGAGGAGGGTCCCACATGGTGCGCAGACCTCTCCTGCCTCCCGCTGCTCCCCTCAGCAGTGTACTTCGGTCCTTCTGCCTGCTCTGCTCCCCGCTCTGGCTCTGGTGAATTCTCTCACCCTCCCCCGCTTCTGACTGTACCCAATGCTTGTATAAATAAATAAATAAATAAATCTTAAAAAAAAGAAAAATAGAAGTTGCATATGTATCTGATACCCACTCAGGCTCGGAATAAGGACCTTTCTGGAGGCTCAAAAAACTGTCAGCTGTCCAGCACTGAGGAAGACCCAAGGTTTCTTCTGGACACCAAGGGCCCCAGACCATCTTCAATGCATAAAAGCCTTTCTTGCTCCTGGTAAATCTAGGCAACCAAGGAAAAGGCATCCCCAAGTCTTAGGGTCTTGGGAGTCTGAAGAGCACAGCACACAACACAAAGCAATTTGGGCCTCTGCTTTGGGATAGGCTCTTCTTCAGAATAGCTTAGATTTCTCTCCTAAGTGATAGAAACCGTTCATTATAAAGATAATTGAGGAATGACACTAACACTCAAAGAAATAGTAAGAAAAGCCGGTTCCCGAGATCGCTCACTAAAGATGATACGTCATCAAGAAATAATGCTAACAACAGTAGCAATAATAGAAAATCCCTAAATTGGTTTACCCTGTGCTCTGCCATTTTAAGTGCCTTTATGCATATTAAGTCATTTAAACCTCACAAAATAGCCAATGAAGTGACAGCACGAGCCCATTTTGTGAAACGATAAAATGACGCCCAGAGAGGTTAAGGACTGGCCAAAAGTCACGTGGCTAAGAATCAGTGGCAAGAATCAAACCACGGAGTATGACTCCGAAGTCCAGGCCGCCTCCAGTACCACCGAGTTATGTAAACTTCCTAAAGAAATCCCATACACATTCCCACCCCACCCCCACCCTCTCCCACATACACCCCCACACCCCACCCCACACCCCCCACACCCCCACACACACACACACACGAACGCGGGGACAAAAGAACGGCGCAACAGGTGGAGGAGAGTTACCAAAGGAGATCTTAACCCGCACCAGGGACTCGGCACCCAAAGCGTGACCCCGACTCACCACGCGCTCCCCGAGTTCCGGAACCTAGCAACTCCGGCGGGGCGGGGCGGGGCGGGGCGGCGCCGGGCGACTTCCGGCCTCTCTAGCCGCCCCCCGCGCTCGCTCGTCTGCTCCTCCCCGCGCGGCCCCGCCCCCGTCCGGAGGGCCGCCTTCGAACGCGCATTTCCCAGCAGGGACGCCCGAGAAAGCGGGGTGCAGACTCGAGCTCCCCTGGCCTCATTTGCGAATCGAAGGAAGTACAAAGGATTCAAATGATATTTTCGTGTGAAGTCAGAAACCCTTCTACGCTGACATTCCTACTGCTTCTGTCCTGCTCCAATATTCCTCGCTTTCCAGCCACTAATCCCGCCTAGCACGTACGTTTATTGCCTAGTTCTGGTCACGGCATCTACCACGTCCCAGGGACCAGCCTAATAGATTTACAAACACCCGCGGTCTGATTTCAGTTCACAAGCAAATCACCTTTTACGTAGTGTACATGCCCACGTCTCCCAGACTCGGAGAGGCCAGAAAACAAAACTTGGAGAGTAAAAAGCGAGCAGCAGCCGCAGACCTTCGCGCTCTCACCGCCTGCCCCCCCACCCCCACCTCCCCTTTGTGGAAGGAGACGCCAGGGCAAGAGGACGGATTCGGGAAGGAATGGGTGAGGTGGGGACAGGCCCTTCCAGCCCTGACGTTCAGCGTTTCTGTGACCACCAGACTCCCGAGGCCACAAATCCTCTGCCCTCGCGCCCATTCTGGCCGACTTCGGGCTCCGAGCTTGGGAACGAGGTGGACACCAAGACGCAGCGGCCTCCGGAGCTCCTAGAGAGGACCAGAGGGCGCCTAGAGGGGCAGGGCTTGCTGGGCGACTGGGCTCAGGACGGTGACGCACTTCCGGCCTTTGTGGTTTGTCGGTTGTCGGGGTGATTGGATGCCGCTACGGGTCTCGAGCGGCCTGAACCCTGGAGGTGAGTGTCAGACCATGGTCCCGACCCGCCACGCCGTGGGGTTGGCGTGGCGGGTCTTCTGCGCATTCATGGCGCCCGGACACGGGCGAGGGAGTGGGAGGTCCCGCCCCTGCCCCTGTTGGGGTCTTGGGGAGACCCCTGGAGGGGGCGGACCTTTATAAGGAGCCGGAGGTGAGGCGGTACCAGAGGGCGTCCTACTGCGGGTCTGGCGTTTTGCCAATAAGCCTATCACTTTAATTTAACTAGTGTTCAAAGTACGCAGTATTTGTCGCATCCATTTATTTTCTTAATATTTGCGAATCGCAGCATCATGACTTGTCACCCCTAAGCTCTAAATAGTTCTGTTATGAGCATCTCTAGCTCTAGACACCTTATAACAAAAGGCCTGGAAGACTCAACATTGGGACTTGCCACAGATTTATGGATGTACCTTTCTTCAATATTGTATTGACCCGGTTAATTCAGTTACATTCCCTGATTTTTTTTTTTTTTCCAATGTTGTGCAATTTGGTGATAGCTGATTTCCTAAAAGGGAACAGGCAAGTACTCTATCTCATCTCATGTGTGAATGGAGTGAGTTCTTTAACGTCACCTTTGGGAAACACCACAGCATATAGCAGATAATGTTCACTAACGTGGTCCAACTCAATGTCCCTGATTCTAAGTCATTCTTTTTTGGCCCCATACCTAGGACTGATTTTTTCCTGCTCTTTGCTCCCTGGATATGCAGTTGAAGCCTCTATTATAGCACTCATCATTTGATATTTTAACTGGTTTTGTATGTCCTGTTCTTCACCTAAAGTTACTATATATTGACTATCTACCCATCTGTGAAATCACTTCGTTGTTTTTTTTTTTTCTTGGAATCAATACTTTATTTCAAAAGGTACAACAGTCAGGAAAAGTACTGAGGGTAGTCTGTGAAAAGTTTCCTTTCTTGTCCTGTAGTTTTACCTGGTCCCTCCTCAGTGGCCACCCTTCTCTTGCCGTAGACTGTGCTGTAACAAACGCAGGACTTGGTGGCGGCGTGGAGTGGTAAACATCTACCCCGCACTTGGATCTGTGGGGTTTAGCTGACCAAGCGGGGCTGCCCAGCAGCTCTGCATGTTTCAAGGGGTAGTTGGCTGAGGATGATCTCATCTACTCAGTGGGATGATGTGGTTCTGTCTTGTGTCTTACCATCTGAAAGCCAACAGGCCTCCTCCTGGCAACCATAGGGGCAAGGGCGAGCGGGCTCCATCTTGCAAGCACTTTTTTACCCTCTGTGTCACACTCTAGTGTCACACTGACCAGATCTGATCTCAGAGGGAGGGCACTGCCAAGTACATGGCTGCACAGAACAGGGAAGAATTGGGGCCATGAGTATATCCTGCCTTACCCTTTCTCCAGTTTGTAAATATATACATGAAATCTTCCACCTTCTTTTATTATCATAAATGATAGTGTGATATTTGTTGTTCTATACTCTGCTTTTTTCCTCCAGAACATCATTTTGTACATTAATACATAATATTTGCCATCAGTTGTATCTTCCTAAAGAAAACTAAGTCAGGGAATCTTAACTCAGTTACCCTTTCACCCCAAGCTAGAGTGAGCCTTTTAAATTCATCCCAGAATGGCTTCAACAGAAGAACCAGATGGCCTTAAGATTGTGAAGGTGGAGGATGACACAGTCTGGGACCAAGACCCCTACCTTGGAGAGGACAGCTTTTCTGGCCAGGAGACCTCCCGCCAACTTTTTAGGCACTTTTGTTACCAAGAGACTCCTGGTCCCCGAGAAGCCCTGAGCCGGCTCCGGGAGCTATGCCACCAGTGGCTGAGGCCCGAGACCCACACCAAGGAGCAGATCCTGGAACTGCTGGTGCTGGAGCAGTTCCTGACCATCCTGCCCGAGGAGCTGCAGGCCTGGGTGCGGGAGCAGCATCCAGAGAGTGGGGAGGAGGCCGTGGCTGTGGTTGAAGATCTGGAGCGAGAGCTCTGTGAGCCAGAGAACCAGGTGAGGAGAGGATGGCGGCTCCTGGGCAATGAACACTGAGGGCAGGGTGACATTTGGTGACCCGGCTTGGTTGGCTGTGGCCAAGTGCTAGTCTGTGTCACTGTGTAACAGATCACTCCCAAGCCTTAATGGCTTAAGAAAATAAATATTATTATCTCACAGTTTCTGTGAGTCAGAACTTGGGGAACTACTTATGAAGCGCTCTCATAAGTTTGCAGTGAAGGTATCAGGCAGTTTCTGTTGCTTATCTCCAGACCTGACTGGGGCCAGTTGGGCTGCTTCCAGGATGGCCTTCAAGCATGGTGACTGACTGGAGGCCTCGGCTTCTCGCTGACCATCTTACAGGAGGTCTCAGTTCTTTGCCACATGGGTTTCTGCCTCAGGCTCAATGAGGGTCCTCACAACATGTCAGCTGCCTTCCCCAAGAGAGACAAGGGAGAGATGAGGGTGAAGCCACGTGCTTCTTATATCTGTGTCAGGATCATTTACCATCACACCTACCACACAGTCTATCCCATAGCAATGAGCTGTTAAGTACAGTTCACACTCCAGGGGAGGGAGACTTAGGTCAGGTGTTAAAGGAAGGAGTATCAAAAAACTCGTCAATGTATTTTAAACCACCACTTGACCGTGGGCAACTCTTTTTCTCACCGTCTGCTCATGTGTAGTTAAACTCCAGGCCTTCCACTGTGCGGTTTCTCTACAGAGTGCTTCATCTGGTTCCCTGTCGTCTCTCTCATTGGTATTAGCTTGTGCTCTTTTAGGCCTTTCTTATGAACCCAAGCATACCTTTCTGCCTGCAGGCCCCAGACCATAAGCAGAGGCATTCAGAAGTGCACTCCGAAGATGTGGTTCACCCGAAGGCCAAGCAGGACTCAACAGCCATCCAGCTTCAGGCCATGGTGACACAGCTCAAATGTGAATCCTTCGATCCCCACAAATTTGGAGAACAAGGTAAGGATGTTGATGGCCCATGTAGGAGACCTCTGGTGGCTCTATTGGGTTATCTTAAGACTTCGAACTCTGGGGCCAGATTCCCTAGGTTGGAATTTAAGTGTAGCCATTTAGTGCTTCTTATGACATTAGGCTGGTCAGATAACCTGCCTGTGCTCTCCGTTTATGCATCTATAAAATGGGATAACCATAGTGTTCCGGTCATAGAGTTTTTTGAAGATTTAAAAAGTTGTTATAGGGCCTCCCTGGTGGCGCAGGGGTTAAGACGCAACCTATGAAGCTGCCCGCAGCCTCTGCAGCACGAGTTCGATTCCCCAGCCATCCAGGGAGCAACCTACAGACCTCTCCTGACTTGCCTGCTGCTCCCCTCAGCAGTGTATTTCAGTCAATCTGCCTGTTCTGCTCCCTTCTCTGTCTCTGGTGAATCCTCTCACCCCCTCACACCTCTGGCCTGTACCCCAGCTCTTGTATGCATAAATAAATAAATCTTTAAAAAATAAATAAAAATAAAAAAAATAAAGAGTTGTTATATGTGGAACACGTAGAACAGTGCCTGCTTTGTAGAAAGCACTCTGTAGTGCCACCTTCCACACATCCTTTCTGGGAGCCTCGCCTTCCCTGGGTGACCCCCACCACATTCCAGCAGTGCCAGTGACCTCTTACTCTGCTGGTCTTAATAGCCACATTCAGCCTTTCTTTATATTACACTATTGGCTGTGATTCCTACAAGTATGTGTTTGATGTGCATCCTTCTATTTCCCACTCTGTGAGTTATACTCCTTCATAAAGGAAAGAGATAACCTTATTTGATCCATTTATTATTGCAGATGGTAAAACTGTGTCTGAAAATCGGGAGTTGGCATCAAAACAAGAAGTATTAAAAGAAATGGAATATTTTGGGAATAGCAGACTCCAAAGAGATGTTCCTTTGGATTCGAAGTGCAGAGAAACTTGTAAACCTGAGAGCAGGGTAGAAAAGCCGAGAGGACACCATCCTGGAGAGAGACGCCATAGGTGTGGTAAATGTGGGAAAAGCTTTACTCAAAGTTCAGTTCTTGTTCAGCACCAGAGAACCCACACTGGGGAGAAGCCATACGAATGTGAAGAATGTGGGAAGACCTTCAGCCAGAGGTCAGGCCTGATTGAACATCAGCGGAGCCACACTGGAGAGAAGCCCTATCAGTGTAAGGAGTGTGGGAAAGCCTTCAGTGCCAGCAATGGCCTCATTAGACACAGAAGAATCCACACAGGGGAGAAACCATATGAATGTGAAGAGTGTGGGAAAGCCTTCCGCCTCAGCTCATACCTTGTTCAGCATCAGAGGATTCACACTGGAGAGAAGCGCTATCGCTGCAAGGAGTGTGGCAAAGCCTTCAGTCAGAATGCAGGGCTTTTTCAGCACCTTCGAATCCACACAGGTGAGAAGCCCTACCATTGTGGTCAGTGCAGTAAAAGCTTCAGTCGGCGAACGCTCCTTATCAAGCATCAGAGAAGCCACACTGGAGAGAGACCTTACGAATGTGATGAGTGTGGAAAAGCCTTCAGCCATCACTGCAACCTCATTAGGCATTTTAGAATCCATGCTGTGTCCAAACTAGACTGAGTCCATGGATCCTCCAGACCCTTTAGTGGGGGCCTCTTGGAAAGTAAGATTTTCAAGAGCTTATTTTGTTCCTGTCAAATTTATTTTATTTTGGAATGAGAAGGTTGTCTTCATAGCAGGTGCTGGAATCCTGGGGTGGGTGACTGATGTGGCCTGTGTCAGGCTGCCTCCATCTTCCCTACCCCTTGATTTATTTCTAATCATTTCCCTTATAGGGGCCAAGTCTTATCCGAAAGTAAACTGGAATGCAGGGGCTGTTGTTGAGTTTAATACTGAATATTGAACAACTCTCAAAGGCTACAGTCAAACTCTGAATCAGAATTTCAAAAGACAGCATAGTTTCAGATTGGGCAAGTGCAAAGGTTACTCAGAGGTGAGGTTGGGGTGTTCTTTTGCTTTTCATTTTTTGCTTTCTGTAGAAGTTATAGTCTAAACATACTTAAGAGTTTTGGGAATAAGAATCATTCCCATTCCCATAGGAGGTCATCATCTTGGTCCTCCTAAGAATGGGATGGGTGATCTCTTTGGTGCTGTCACTGGAAGCGGTGGCATACTTAGTAACCAAGCCACATTATCAATGGCGTGAAACCTGTAGTCCCCAATGCTTTAGAAATCTATGTCCTCTTTGATATCAAACTCCAGGTTCTCAGTGCAGGTCATTACCATATTTAAGATTTCCAGCTTTGTGATAAATAATGAAGACGATGCTTTAAAATCTGTTTTATTCTGAGCCTTTTCTGTCATTATCTGCCACTGCCTTCTGGAGGAGAGCTAGCAGTCTTCCATGCTACTGCAAGCAGCCTCTGTAAAGAAAAGGTGCCTCCAACCTTGACTGTCGCTGGTTTGGGGAGACCAGCAGGCTGAGGCCACTGGCTTAAGCACACAAGCTCCGGCACCAAACCACCTAGTATTCAAACCCGCCTCTTTGTGAGCCGTGTGACTTTGGGCAACTTATTTAAATTCCCCATGATATAGTCGCCCTATCAGTAAAATAGGGGGTAACAATACCTTTGTCATAGGTACCTAAGATTAAACTAATTCAAACTTGTAAAGCACTGAACATTTAGCTCTCAGTAAGTGTGCAGTACACTTTACAGATGAAGGCAATACTCTTCTGAAGACTAGGTGGAGCTGTGTTGTGTTTGCACTGAGTGGGACATTAAATGCCTCTGCTCATGGTCTCATTATACTTCTCTCTACAGTCAAAAGCTGAATCAAAAGTTCAAAAGACAGGAAATAAAAGTTCAGCTTAAAAGTATACTATGCTAGAACTTTGTCTTCAAAGTTTATTTAAAAATAAAGGCGCATATGTGTGGGTGTGTGGGTCTGCATATGTATGTGTGTCCATATGCATTTGTCCATGTGACTTTGCTTAGGAATCACAACTGAAAAAAATTCCTTGGTTATTTTATTTGTGACTAGAATGATTAGATTTTCAGATTATCTAGGGTCATACTGAGTTTTAGAGTAACTACACGTCACTTGGCATCTTGTTAAAATACAGAATCTAATGTAAAGGGTCAGAATGGAGTCCTGGAATCTGCCTTTGAATAAGATGCCCTGCTGGCTCATGGGATGCACCTGAAGCCTGCCCTCCCTGCATGGATCTCCACCTGCCTCACCTGAGGAGAGTGAGGTGCCTTAAGGTACAGTGGGCAGGTAGGTTTGGGGAGCAGGGCAGTGCCCTCTCCTCTGACACAGGCAGATTCAGCCGCATTTTTACCTGGGGAGTCTAAGCAGTGCTTCGAAATGTTGGGGAACAGCCACTATGCCTGAGCGGCTGTTCCTGCGCCTCCATACACGTGCTCCCAGGACGCTGCTCGTAGTTGTGAGCACTGGGCACTCTGAGCACCTCTCCCCGAGATGTCCTCATGTGGGCTGCACACTTGGCTTCCACGCGAACGTCCGCGCAGTCCCTGTGGACTCCAACCCGTGTCAGGCCGCTCCTCTCTCACCTCCTCAAAAGGCCAAGTACAGAAGAGAAGCCAGTTACAAAACAGGCCAACAGGAGAAAAGGGGGGGGGGCTCCCGATGTGTGACGGGGAGCCTGCAGTGAAGACACACTGAAGGGAGAATCTGGCAAGGTTCTTTTTTTTTTTTTTTTTTTTTTTTTTTTCAGATTCTGTTTCACTGATCTGGTCCACAGCGTTCTGGTAGCTGCTGCCACCCCTTCCCTGCATTCAGCCTCATGACCGTGACAGAGGGATTTGCAGAGCCCAGGTCAGAGGCACACCACGAGATGTAGGGGCTGCTTGGGTGGGGGGGAGTACCCTGTCAGCTTCGGCCGGCAGGCCCTGTGGAGAGGCAGGGTGCCCAGGAGTGAGCAGCCCAGCGGGAGAGAAAAACAGGCACCATAAGCAAATGGTAAGAGTGTTGGAAGAGGACAAAGTGCTTTGGGAACAGAAAGCAGAACAGGATTGGGGGAGAGGGGCTTCATGACATAGGAGGCCAGGGGAAGTGTCACTCTGGAAGCATTTGGGTGGCGATTTGGAGGAGGTGAAGGGGTCCACTCAGTGCTATCTGGGAGGAGGGTGTTCCAGGAAGATGGATTTGGCCCAAGGTATGGAATCAAGACAGCCTCCCTGCTAGGCTTGCCCTCACAGTCACCCTAGAAGAGGAAGCCTGAGTAGGCACCTGTCGCCGACTCTCGCCGAATCAGCAGCATGAACAGTGTGCTCATGTCGCGGGCAGGTGAGGCGGCAGAGCCTGTGTACCAGGTGGACTCTCCATCCAGTGCTCTTGCCTGCTAAGTGCCTGGAAACTTTGTTTCCCACCTGGAAAACTGATATTCTCCCTTAATGGAGAAGGCACAGTGATGCCACTTACCTAGGTGTTGGTAATTATTTTGAGTGATGGGGTGTGTCCTCCAAGCTGGGCTGGGCTCTTTGAGGTGAGGTGATGATTGGGTGTGGGAGCTGGAGAGGGAGGGCACTTGGGGGGCAGCCAGCCTGCTAGACAGAAGGCTGGGAAAGTGGGGGAACTGGAGAAGGGAGACAGGGCCAGGTTCTTGGTAGCACCGTGTGGCTGTTCCTACCTGGCTGTGTGACTGTGGACGAGTTACTTCCCCTCTCTGTGCCCGGGGGAAGACCAGCCGTCAGGGGCCGCCATCTCAGGAGATCGGGCAACACAGGCAGCCCTTCCCAGGCCTCTTCCTGCCTCCCAGGTCACCAAGTGAAATCCATTTGTGGAGTCGGCCGGGGCGGGGGGGGCGGTCCCAGGCTTCGGGCTTCTTTCTGGAGGCTGAGGAGGCGAGTCCTACTTGCCTGTTTGTCCCGATGGACCCAGAGCGGGAAGCCGCCGAGATGCCAGCGTCCCGGTTGCCTAGAGACGCGGCGGAAGTGACCGCGGGGCGGGGCCGCGGGGTCAAGGGCACCCAGATCCCAGGTTCCACACGCGGTGAAAGCCTGGGAGGGCGCTCGGTGCCGCCCGGGGGGGGGTCCCCGAGGGGCGGGGGGCTGGAGCGGGAGGGGGCGTGCGCTTGGCTTCAGGCTAAAGTCCCACGAGTGCGCGGCGGGCGCGGCGGGGTATAGCGGCCGTTTCGGGGTAACCACGACGCCACCTACGCTGGTAGCGCTGATCGCGCGAGCCGCGACGCTCAGTGCTTGGCGGGGAGGGGCTTGCCCGACGGGAGACGTCGCCTGGGACTCGCGCCGTTTGCATGGTTAGGACCCAGGCTGCGGGGCGGGTGCGGCCGCCCGAGCACAAGCGCAGGACACAGCAGGTTTACGTTTTTTAAAGTTTCCTATTACAGAGAATATAAAGCACTGACAAAAGTTGAAAGACTAGTGTTAAGGAACCTTACAGACCACCCACCTCTAACAGTGAGCAGCTCAGGACCAGCCTGGTTTCAGGAATATCCATACCCACTCGGCCCTCCCTGGCTATTTTGAAGCATATCTCAGACAGCGCATGTTACCGGTCATTATTCCCGTAGGTTTCTCTGACAGACATGTAAAAATATAGCTTTGATACCTTATTACCTAAAAACAAGTTACTCCTTTTATCATTTCACATCCAACAAAGACTTCACATTTCCAGTTTTTATCAGTGTCACCATTTTAAAAATGTTTGCTTGAATTAGGATCCCCGTGCCTAACAATGGCTGATCGGTTTGTTTCTTTTCATTAGATTCACCCTGACTTTCTTTGTTCCTCCATTGTGTTAGCCGGGAGGGGGAGCGTGGGGGGTGGGGGATGGAAGAGACTGTTTATCCTGTAGTTGTCTGCAGTCTCCATCTTGATGGGTGCCCGGGTGCAGTCCCTGCACATCGTTTAGCATCTTTCTCTCTGAACATCCTGGGAATTTGTGGTTCAGTCTAAAAGCTTAAATATCATCAGGTTCAGCCTGTTTGACAAGACCACTCCATCAGGGGTCGTGTTCCTTTAGTGAAATGATGCATTTCTATACCATTATTGGCCGTTTGTGTTTTGTCCTGTGTGAATGCCTTATTCATATCCTCTGTCCGGTTTTCTTTTGAGTTTTTTAACTTTCCCTTATTAGTGGGTAAAAATTCTTTATGTTCTGTATATTCCTCCTCATATGTGTGTGTGCACGCACTCACACACATGTGTCTGCTGTATTTTATTTTTTTTAATTAGGGCTACCTCTGAAGACAAGGTGCTCAATGGGGGTCTCCCTGAACCCCAGATTCCAACAGAAAGAACCTCCTACTAAATCAGTGAAGCACAGACGATGGAGAGCCAAGGAAAGACCCTGCTGTGGCCAGGCCAATCCCCTCCAGGACAGAGAAGGACCACAAAGTCAAGGTGGGAAAAAGCAGCTTTACACTGAAACAGGAATCCAGGCTGCCAGGAAAGAACCCTTTAACAAGGGACTCTAGAGACAGCAATTCAGGTGCCTCAGCTATAGGGAACCCCTTTGGCTTGAGTGACCCTGAACCATCTCTGGGAGCTCTGCCATTAGAGGTGTGACCAGGGATCTCTTCGCTTGGCATAGGACACCCTCACCTCACAGGCTGTGTTGCAGCTGCTGACACTGGATTCAGCACCACCTGTGTCACTATAACACTGCCTGTATCTTAAAAATGGCACTGTCCAGAGAAAACTACCCCCCAGAGGCGGGATGCCACTCTTTAAATGCACATTGTCAGTTTGTATGATACTTTAAATGCACAGTATCGGGCCTTCCTAGTGGTGCAAGGGTTAAAGATAGTGCTGTCAAGCTATCACTGCAGCACAAGTTTGATCTCTGGCCAGAGACCTGACCCACATGGCTCAGCAGACCTCTCCTGTCTCCCTGCTGTTCCCCTCAGCAGTGTATTTCAGTAGATCTGCCTGTTCCACCCCCACTCTCCCTGGAGAATCCTCTCACCCTCCCCCACCTCTGGTCTACACCCCAGTTCTTATATGCATAAATAAATAAATCTTTACAAAAAATACAGTATCATCAATTCAACAAATGAACTCCCACATCTGACACAAAATTAGACATTAAAAGAGGTCCCCTGGAGTTCAAAATTTTTACAAATAACTTTTACTATTACTTGTTATAGTCTTTGAAGCTTCATATAAACATCTGACTTTTGAAATGAGTGACTCAATTCCCTGATTTCATGACTTCCATCAGGTTTGCCTTGGAGGAGGGTACGGTCTGACATGAAGTCGTGACTGCTGAGGTCAGCACTGTGTCCATTAAGGCCCTAGTCGGACAGGTGGGCCTGGTGCCCCAGGTAGAAATGCGCCACATACCTCCGGAAGCCCAGGAGGTCCAGAGAGGTGGCCGGGCTGCAGGCTCGGTGCAGCTGCCACGCATTGCTCACAGCGGCATCGATCATGTAGTTCACCAGAACTGAGTACCACTTCCTGCTCCTTATTCTCACCTTGTATTTGGAGACAGTTTGCTCCATTTTAGCGACCCCTTCCCTGCATTCGCCATACAGTGTTGCTATGGCTGGCCGACTTATCGGAGGGGCCTCTATGTCCTCGGTGACGCCACTGACCTCACTGACAGGCTCTATGCCCACAGCATTGGAGCACAGGCTGACAACGCCATCGCCGTGCCATCGACACACGATTATCTCATTGTTTTCTTCCACTTGGAAATCAAAGTAGCCCTTCTCCATGTTTTTCATTTGTTCTGCATCCATGAGGGGGCACTTTTCAGTCCTGTTCTCTTGAATTATTCCTGTTGCCTTCACCCCTTTCTTCTTCAAGATTGACACCAATTTGACACTTGTGAAGAAGCTATCAAAACACAGGTGATAAGAATACTGACCTCTCTCCAAAAGAACGTCGGCGAAATTCATCACTAGGTGGCCACCCAAACCGAGCTCAGGATCCTGGTTTGCCATCAGAGCTGATTCTTCCTGGTAGGGCTCAAACCAAACAAGATAACCCTGTGTGGTTGTGCCACACCAAATTTTATAGCCAATTCGAATCGGTTTCCCATTCAGGAATTGGCCACTATCAAAGCATTCACACATTGTCTTGTCCAAACAATAGTATTCTTCTAGGGGGGCATACAGGAGAAAGTTTTTATTCATTTGCTTTATGAGGGGCCTCAATTTCGTAAACTTATCTTTTTGATCTAGGCAGCTGTTATCTGCAAAATGCAGGTATGACAAAATCAATTCAAACCTGTCCCTTCTAATTGCATCTCTCACCTGGTTCTGCTCAGCGTCAGCCACTTCCCAATACATTCCCCTCCGGGGATGCCGCACAACTCCACTCCACAGCAAGACACCGAACACACACCTCATCTCCTGCACTGTGACTTCCAAGTTGACATTTTTCTGAAAAGCGTAATTATTGGTTTCACTGACAATCAAGTTGAATGTTTCATCATCAAAAAATAACTCAAAGAGCTCTACTGGGCTCAGCTTTTCACTCTTGAGATTCAAAAGCCCTGTGTCCAGTGCTGACCAGCCGGGAAGGGTGGCCTTGATGTCTCTCTTGACCCAGCACTGCTCCAGGGCGGCTGCCATCTTTCGCTTTTTGTGAGCTGGCTGGCTCTCGGGCGAGTGCTCTTCCTCCACCTCTGAGTCGTCAGAAAACGCCAGGCCTTGCAGCAGCTCACTCACCCGAGCTTTGTCTTTTTCTCCTCTCTTTTCGGGTAATGTCTCCTGCAGCGTATTCCAAGGATGAGACATGCATCCGGGCCCACAAGTCCCCCTGGTGACGACCCCTCAGAGTGTTCACTTGTGCAGGTGTCCTCTCTGGAGGGACAGGAGTGCTGCCAGGAACTTGGGGTACACATTCTCTAGGGAGGAGAGAACACAAGCACAAAATTCCTCAGTCTCATTTGCCAGTGAATGATAAACCCATGACACTGAAGGATGCTTTGGTTTACTCAGGATTACCTTTCAGTCACGTTTCCATGGGGAGGGCTTTGGCCAGACCTTATATCCCTGGCCGCCCCCCACCTCCACTCCTCGTGGCTGAACTAGGTGCTGAATCTGAGAGACGGAACAGCATCTTAAGGGCAGGAGTTCCTATTGTCCTTTTAGGAGCAAGTTCCCGACATTCACTGCTCCTCTTTGCCTCACATCCTGTCACACAGGCCTGTGCTGAGGGAGGTCGGCTTCATTCCTCTGCCACTGTGAGCCACGCACCTCCACCAGGTGTAGCTTGGGCTCCCAGAACCATGTTTCACTTCTGTGTCTCTATCAGTTGGTTCTGAACTTGAACAAAGAGGCTGTTATTTACTGGGCCCCCTCACCCCTCCCACAGAATGGGGAATGTGGAAGGATTTAGTTTCTCCTAGTTTTAATTCATCTAGGGGACACACTATTCTGAGGAGAAACAAAAGACGAATTCAGATTTGCTGCCCTTGAACCGATTTTTATGAGGTTTACAAGGAAGCAAGCTGAAATGACTAAGGTGGAAAGTGCTATTTTACACAATCCTCTATTAATTCTAGAAACTGGCATTTCATTGACTAACATCCTAGCGATAAATGGTCTAGATTCAGAAGCAGAAAGAGAAAGAAAAGCAGTGAAGCAATGTTTTTAATATGATTTACTGCTTTAATGTGATTTTCTGTATATAGTTTTTTTCCTTCTCACTGAAGCATTTATCACCCCAGGTACCTTCAGTGTCTGCATGAATGACCTGCTCAGTGTCATAGCAGCTCTCTCTCATCCTGCCCAGGGAAAAGATGTCGGACAACAGGTTCCTCTGGCTCCTTACATTTGTAGAGTCTGCTCCACTTAGCACCAAGGACACTCACCTGGTGAATGTTCCTGAGCCCTCAGCACCTTGCTCCATTTCTTCAGAAGTTTCTTGCTTTGCATTGAACAATCCACCTTCAGTTACAACTTCTTCAGCTAAAATAACACATTAATAATTTAAATGTCATATGTTACCTGAATTTAGAAAAAACAATCTCCAGGGTGAAAAAATGGGATGTTCCTATTTAAACAAACAAATAATTGACAGGTGTCCTAGGAGTCTCAGCCACTGTGTAATGCGCAGTGTGGGAAGCCAGTGAGGAAAGTCCCTTGGCTGGGAGACGGTCTCATGGGACAAAGCATATTTACAGTAAAGTACACATGGCCAGCAGTGTCTCCCAGAGTGAGAAGTTCCTCTGAGGTAAAGGAGTCAGACAGAGGAGTCCTTGGGGCTTCCAGGCATGGAGATGTCTGAAGGTGACAAGTCACAGGGCACCTTTGATGGGGAGAAAAACAGGAGCAAAGGAGAAGTCGTTGAGGAACCCAGGGAGTATGGAGGTGACCACAGAAGACAAGAATAAGCTGAGTAAAACCAGCACCAGAGGAAGATAATGTGACTGGAAGGTGCGCAAAATGGCAGGGGCTGAAGACCCTGGGGACAAGGATGGGAGGGTAAGGTCTCAGGAAACGTGAGCTCACAAGGGCCGAGTCATGCTGCTGACAAGAAAGGCGAGTGCTGGCAAGGGGCTGGGAGAGGCCTGTCCTTACACATCAGACTGGGTTCTGCAAGCTTCTCCCAGGCTGAGCTCCCACAGAGGTTCCTCTGAGGCAGGCTCAGGTGTGGCCGCTCCTCTGGGACAAAGGCATTTTCCTCCTCAGTCTTTACTGATATCTGAAAAGGAAGAAAGCAGCCTCTCAGGTTTGCTGTGGTCAGCAGAAGAGGTCTGGCAGTGAAGGGCATTGAAGACCACACTGCAGACCAGCAGTACCAACCCCTCAGGCCTAGGGGAGGATCATTCTCGCATCTCTTCCAGCTTCTGGGGGCTGTCAACAGTCCTTAATGTCCCTCAGCTCATGGATGCATCACCCTACCCTCCCTCCATTGTCACACAGCCACCTCTCTGGGTCACTCTGTCTCCACGGGGCCTTCTCATAAGGCCACCCTCCTAATGCAGCATGACCTCACTTTAATGTGATTACACAGTCTGTTTCCAAGTCACATCACACTCACAAGTACCTGGCCAAGGAGTCCAACGTGTCTTTTGAGTTCGACCCACATCTTCAGCTTAGTCCTATTTCAATTAAGGTTATTTCCCTTTTTCTGTCTCGTTGTTTATTATTTGATGCAACACTAGTTTTCACCCTAATGTTCACCAAAACCTCTCCCTTTCATTTCCCAGACTTCTCTCATCTTCTTATTCCTCCACAATTCAAGCTTATAGATTGTGTATTAGTACACACTACTTTATCATCACATCTGGTGTAATCGTGTCCAAACTCATTTGGAAACACATGCTACTTTAGTAAAAAAATTACTTCTTCTTTGTTTCTCTATTATATCAGACAATGATACAGATTATAAAATATGTATAAGCAAGGTTTACTTTCTATAGGTGTCTGTATGGAATGGGAAAGTATTTAAAAACAGGAAACTCTGGGCCTGACAGGATTAAGAACCAACTAGAAGCCACAGAAAAAGACTGAGCAAGGAGACAAAACTGACTTAGCAGCAGATTGAGGGGGACTTAATTTTCTAAAGCTAAATGTCAAGGAAAATGATCAGATCATCATTTAGAGAATATGGGAGGAAAAAAACTATAGTCCATTTTGAGAGGAGGATGTGAAGTTTTGTGTTGGATACACGGAATTTTCCTTGTCATCACCAAATAGTCAGTGGTTGTGTGCAGGACAGTGAGGTATAAGAGTGTGTGGGAGAGGCTGGTTCTTAGCTGGGGAGAGAAACCAGAGATATTCAGAGCATTGGGCAAGTGAAGATGCTTTTCAAGCCAAGTGCCTAACTCCTGGACAGGATATGCCCTCAAGCACACATGGAATGAGGTGGTGGCGTCTAACCAGCACCAGCATCTTGGATGAGGCACATGATGTTGGTGCTGTTCTGTGACAAGGGGAAGGCAGAGGGACTATGCCACCAGAGGGCTCCCAGGGGCGAGGCATGCGAGCCTAGCAGGGCAGGAGCAGGAGGCCAGGGAATGGGGGGCCGCTGCTGAGGTTCCCGAAGGCCTGGGCATGCTGCTCACCTGGCACCTGGCTGAGTTAAACCCAGGTACTGCTGCCTTGTCTCGGGCACTTTCTTCCTGGCGAGGGGCTGATCCCGGGGAAACAGGCCCTGAAGAGGGAGGAGACAAGAGTCCTGAGTGAGACATCACAGCCCTTAGGAATGCCCCTTGTGGGAAACCCACCCCAAACCTTTTTGTGCTTGTTAAACATCCACAAAGTAGGATAAGGGCCTTGTCTCAGGGCGTCTCTCCGGAACCTACCATTCTTAGCCTCAGGGTCCCCCACTCACAATACTGAGTGGCATTTATACCCTCAAGGGAACTTCACATGTTGTAGAGATTTTAAATCATAGATGAAAATAGAGAGGGAGGAAGGAGCTGTAATTAAAAAAAAGATTAAGCAGAGCACACAGAGATGAAAGAAGTGAGAGACCAAAAGACGAGAGAGAAGGGAAACAAGAAGCAGAAAAGAGGAAGGTAAAAGAGAAAGACATTGAAAAACAGAATTGGCGGAGGGGGGAGGCTGTGCACGAGGGGAGGTGGGGGCATGTGGGAAATTGCTGTACCTTCCCCTCCATTTTGCTGAAGTTTTGTGTTGGATACTTGGAGGAGCCAAAACACTCACTAGCATCATTTATTCACTGAGCATCAGCTATATGTGCAAAGTATACCTGGGAAAAGCAGGGAGATGCAGTGTTCGCTCTCAATGGGTTGACAGGTGAACCGGGAAAAGAGAATGCAGATAAAAACTGGACTTGATGTCAAAGAACTGAGTTACAATAATGGCTGTGGGGCCTCCCTGGTGGTGCAGTGGGTTGATCACAGCGCTATGAAGCTATGTGCAGCCTCTGCAGCGCCAGTTCGATTCCCAGCCAGCCAGGGAGATACCCACATGGTGCAGCAGACCTCTCCTGTCTCGCCCGCTGCTCCCCTCAGCAGCACTTTTGGTCCTTCTGCCTGTTCTGCAACCAGCTCTTTCTCTAGTGAATCCTCTCACCCTCCCGCACCTCTGACCTGTTACCAGCCCTTGTATAAATACATAAATAAATCTTTTAAAAAAATACAATAATGGCTGTGACACTGGGCCCATCACCATTTTGATAAGCCTCCAATTCCTTATCTGTACAGTGGGAGAACAGAGCCTCTTTTGGGGTTGGTGAAGAGTAGGTGAAATCAAAACCACAAAGCCCTCTGTAAACGGCAATTCAGTGTTATTTTTCAAGATGGGCAATAACATAAGGAGCATAAAATTACCAAGTGAAGAGGGTAGGTGAGCATTCTACCCCAAAATAGCAGAGCATAGTGTCACTTTGCTTTGCTCCAAGACACAATGGAGCGCTGTAGAATCTGTTGCTGTTGTTTCAAATCTAAAGTGAATACAGCTTGCTAGAAAAGCCACCTCCTCGCTGATTCACTGTTATTACCTCACCATAAATGCCAAGCCCGACAGCTGAAAGAGCACGAGGTAAAGCAGTCTGCTGACATGACAGAGAAAGGGCTAAGTTAAACAGAGGAAGGACAGCAACAGAAAGAGGAGAAGACAAAGACAATGCAGCAAGGAAAGAAGTCAACGCCAAGGAGATTTGGAGACAGCAAAGGTCAGGTCAGACTCTGCTTCTTCTCTCCCTGAGGTGGAAAAACACTGGGAACCTGGGGAAGAGCAGAGGAATGTTTTCAGACATGAAAGGTTATTGCCAAGTGCTCGACATATCTGCCAGTGACGGGACAGAAGATGGGCTTCAGCTGCAACTAATCAGATGGCACCTCAAGGTGCCTTCCACTTCTCCATCAACATATCTAAACATTTAATAATGTGTCACTCTAGGAATCCATCACAGTTGAGCATTAAGGGACTGACAAAAGTCCTCAACAGTGTCCACTTCAAATCCAGTGTTTCGGGCCTCCCCAGTGGCGCAGCGGTAGTGCGTTGGGTTGCGAAGTTGCTGCAGCCTCTGCAGAGCTGGTTCGATTCCCGGCTGCTCCCCGGCCACCAGGAGGAGGGTCCCACATGGTGCGCAGACCTCTCCTGCCGCCCGCTGCTTCCCTCAGCAGTGTGCTTCGGTCCTTCTGCCTGCTCTGCTCCCCACTCTGGCTCTGGTGAATTCTCTCACCCTCCGCGCTTCTGACTATACCCAGTGCTTGTATACATAAATAAAAATAAATCTTTAAAAAAAAAAATAAATCCAGTGTTTCATGCTAGGTTGACAGTGTATATCCACACAAGGGGGAGGGCAGCACAGTACTGAATGAGCACCATTTTCCTCGCCCCCCTCCCAGGCAGCCAGTGGCCTTGACAGTCTGGTCCCAGTATGCCAGGAAATGGACTTGCTGATGGGGAAGAGCTCATGGGAACTGGGGTGGAGTTATGTGCTCAGTACATAAATGAACACACTTGGCTTTGGGCAGTCTGGCTCCCACAGCCCTAACTTGCACACTGGTGCTGCCAGGAAGGAAACCTGAAAGAAGCAGCGTGGAGGAGACACTCATGGGCAAGAGGCGACAATGGCAGCCGTTATCTTAATGTGGTATCTCCTGTCCCAGCTCTCCATGGCTTGCCTAAATCTCTTCTTGTGGTTCCCACCAGACAGTGCCTTAGATGTGTGCCAAGCTCTCATGCCTCAGCAGCAGGGAATCAGCAGCACAGATGAGGAACAGAAGAGGCTTTGAGAACAGAGAACTGCAGATTCAGGCTGACCCTGTCTGGCTGGGCATTTGCTCACGAGGAAATGGGTAACTCTGGGAATTTAATGGGGGAACAATTATTAGGAAAATCCTTTCTTCTCTATGCACACCAGTTCTACTAAAGATCTTTCACACTGACAGTCTGCTTTCTCTGCCTTTGTGCACACAGATGGCGAGATCCCTTTCAGTGCCTGCACCCCTTAAGTTTGCAGTTCCTGGGCACCCCTCAGTCATGCTCTAACAAGAGGAGAATGATTCACCACACTACAATCACTTAAATCTTATTCTCATTGAAAAGAAAAGCTTCAGTGGCACCGGAATTTTTAATGACAAAATCCAAGCTTTCTGGTTCAAATGTAAAGACCTTCACAAAAAGTCCCCAGCCTTCCTCCCCACCCCCTTCCTTATTCTCTCTCTCAATCTCTCTCTCTCTCTCATTTCCTAAACCCTCCAGCCATGCTCAATGACTCACTGTCCAGCAAAAATACCAGCATGAGGAGGTGATGCAGATAGCCTGGGAAACTGATCTTCAGTTCACCTGGTCTCAGGTTACCCTGAGAAATGTGCTGGGGTTATAATTAATAGGCAGGCCCTTAGCCAGAGTCTCTAGAATATTTGGGAGGAAATAAGAAGTTATAAAAAGCCCTTGAGAATGACAAGGCAAGCTTCCTTGGGGACTAGAACGCATTCTCAGCCTCATCACACATACTGCGACAGACAGTGGTGCATTCCGAGAGGGCTTAGAAGACCAAGGGGAGCCCCCTGCCCAGGAGGATGCTGCCAGAGTCCCGCTCTCTGCGTCATCTCATGAGGTGTCATAACCCTTCACCTTCATTAAAGAACCTTATATCCTGTGACTGCTGTTCTCTGCCCATTACCATCCCCATTCCGATGACCACTCACTGCCATTCTTAACACCCTTGCTCCCTCCAGTCACAATGAAATGAAACTGATTTCAGAAGATGTATATTCATCATCCCACAGGTAAGTGGGGATGCATCTTGCTTCTGTTCCACTGGAAATTCTTTCACCCTCCCTACTGGCTCACCCCTCCAGGGCTCCAGGACTCCCTACCACTTTGAGACTTCTTCACATGCACAATGTATCTGAAGCTTCATGGTGGTTGTGGTTGTGGTTTTTTATAAGTTAAATAAGACAGAACTGTCAGCCAAGGAAGCAGGGAAACACCAATGCTGTAAAGGGTAAACAGCTCAAGTAATCTGTACTCTAGGCATTTTACTTTGTGATTTTATTATATGAACCATTTATTCCACACTTAGTCAAATATTCATATTGACCAATCACCACTGTGGTAACTGTGGTAAATCTTATAAATGCTCTGACATTGCGGGCATAATTTTGTACTTGAATTTTCCAGGGAGAGAGAGAAACTCGTTCTCAACAAATTCTGGGAAGAAAATGGTAACACCCTTCCTCACAAAGGTTAAAAAATACTACACTGTGGTTTTCTAAGGGCTTTATGAGCTTTCTGTGCATAGTTGGCCCTTGAACAACTTGAGTTTGCACTGGTAAGGAACCAGTGATATTTGGATTTTCTTTTAAACAGAAGATGTATACTTAGAGTGTTGGTAAATCCAACACAGTACTGTATATATATTCCTTCTTCCTTGGGATTTCCTTAATAACATTTTTTTCCCCTCTAGCTTCCTTTACTGTAAGAATTTAGTCAACAATCCATATAACATACAAAATATGTGTCAATGGTCTGTATGCTATTGGGAAGGTTTCCAGTCAGCAGCAGGCTATTATGAGTTAAGCTTTGGGGGGAGTCAAAAGTTTTATTTAAAATTTTGACTCTGTGGGGGTCAGTGCCCCAACCATCACTGTTCAGAGGCCAACGGTACTTCTGTCTGTCTGCTCAATCCATCTGCAGCCTGTGGGCCACAGACCTTGCAATTCTTGGATGGCTAATCCTATGCCAAGGCCTGCTGAGCTGAAATATAACTGCAGGGGGAGGTTTACCTGGAGCTCTGTGAAGCCTGACATGGAAGCGAGAGCCCTGACACAGGAAGGCATGTTCCACACGGAGGGGAGGGGACCTGCAAAACCTAAAGCTGCACCTAAAATGACTGAAAGGTTAGAGGCCCAGCAGAGAGTCAATAAAATGTTACCAATGAGGGTTAAATAAATTTGTGGGAAGCTATTAAGTAAAACACCCAAAAGCATAGAATTAGCAACGTGGGCCAGAGAAAGGATGCAGGTCAGAAAGTTGTGTGACCCAAGTTCTAAGTTGCTCTGCCTGTGTTGACCCTGGGCAAGCCACCTGGACTCTGAATTTTGGTTTCCTAGCCTATGAATTGAGAGTGTTAGACAAGAAGATCTTAGAATTCTAACATTTTACAGTGAAAGGTTTTTAAAAGACTGCTTCAATGTGACATTAGACAAAGTCATACGTAAAACTGAGGCCACAGATAGACATGTTTTTCCTAAGGAAGACAGCGCACCTGTCAGGGCCCGCTGCCAATGTCCTCAGGAAGCGCTCACTCTGGCACTCACCACTCACTTCTTGAGGGCTCCTTCTGGAGAGTTCTGGAGGTTCACACTTCAGGGTGCTCACTCCAGGCAGGAGCTGTATGCGCTGATGCTCCAAACAGGCTCCTAGATATTCCTGTCCCCGAGCAAAGGCAGAGGCCTAGGGACAAAAAATTCATTTTGAAAAGGCATCTGGTGGGACCTGGACTGAACAGCAGTTAGGGACACACTCAGGGAAAACTGGGCAAGGCCTAGTGAATGCTTATAAGAAGCAGACGGCAAGCCAGTCACTTATTCAACAAGTACGGAGGGAACACTAACTCAACCAGGGTCTGTTCTATGTGCTGGGGATCGATGGCAAATGACGGAGATAAGACAGGCAAAGAATCTCTGCCCAGAAAAACAAAACAAAAACCCATGCTGAAACTCGTGGGCGGGGGCTTAAAGGGGAACAGGATATATGCAAGGTCTCAAAATGTCTCCCACAAATTTCCTATTAATTACAAAGTGGGGAAAGGTAACTTCACAGCAGAGAAATCTAACAGTCACCCCCTTCACCTCACCCTGTGTCTCCTGACGGGATGCCTATCTATGTGAAATGCACACCCAGCTCTTTCATGAGAAAATGTAAGACAGACTCAAATTGAGGGGCTTTCTGTAAAATTACTAGTCTGTACTTTTCAAAATATCAATGTCAGGACAAAGAAAGACTGAGCGACAGTTAAAGATTCCAGGAGACTACCCAGACTCAGCAACTGTGATGTGATTTATAATAGAAATAAATGTTTGGTCCTATCTCATTTCTGGCACAGAGCTCCTAAAACCCTCTGACCATCCTAAGTAAAGAGAATGATTGTATTACACTGATGAAGTGACCTGGCCAATGGGGTGCCTACAGGACTGCCCCTGAGGATGGGAACTGGAGAATAAACCATGTGATTAGAGGCTGGGATTTCCAGTCCCCCCTGATCTCTGGGGAGGGGAGGGACTGGAGGTCACATCCATTCTCAAAGGTCAGTGAGTTAATCAGCCATGTCTTCAGTGAATTCTACGTAAAAACCCAAAGGGGCAGGGTTCAGGGTACTTTTGGGCTGGTGAAAAGGTGGAGATGTGGGGAAGAGTCGCTCTTGTGGAGGGCATGCAAACTCCAGCCCCTGCCCATATACCATGCTGCCGCATCTCCTCCATCTGGATGTTTACCTGTCTCCTTATTCAGATTCTTTTCTAATAAACCAGTAAATTGGTAAATAAAATGCTTGAGTGGTGTAAGCCCCTCTAGCAAGTTAATCGAACTCAAGGGATCACTGGCTCTTCCAATGTACAGCCAGTAAAGCAGAAGCACAGTGCGAGCCTGAGCTTGTGACTGGCCCCTGAAGTAGGGTGAGGGGGGCAGTCTTGTGGGACTGAGCTCTCCACCTGTGAGGCTGATGCTGTCTCCAGGGTAATCGTGTCAGAACTCAGCTTAACTGCAGGATGCCCAGCTGGTGCTAGAGACTCTGCCATTGCTGTGGGGACACCCCACTTCCTCCCACAGATAGGGCTGGCTGAGCAGAACTGAAATGACCGCTAGATGCACCATGTGATGCCTGCCTGTATCCAGGCTGGATTGGGGGAAACTATCCTAACACTATTGGGGTGATAAGGCAAACTATGAATGAGAACTACTGATTAGGTGATAGTATCATGATAATTTGAACTTACCCAAAGAAGGACAATTCAAGTGAAGCTCCTTTTTCTTTGGAAATATATTGGAGGGTTTAGAGGCTAAGGGCACATCTGCAAGAGCACTCACACACACTCACACGCACACATTCAGAGAATGAGCTCCTACAAGAGTGGGGCACATCATGAAACCAATGCTAACAACTGGTGAATCTGGATGACAGGCCCAATACTCTGCAAGCTACGAATTATTTCAAAATAAAAAGTTAAAAATGAGGGGTCTCCCTGGTGGTGCAAGGGTTTAAGATGCAGCACCACGCAGCTATCCACAGCCACTGCAGCATGGTTCGATCCCCAGCCAGGGATGTGACTCACATGTCTCTCCTGTCTCCCCGCTGCTCCCCTCAGCAGTGTATTTCAGTCAATTCATCTGTTCTGTTCCCCACTCTGTCTCTGGTGGTTCCTCTCACCCCCCACACATCTGGCTTGTACCCCAGTTCTTGTATGCATATTTTTTTTAAAAAGTTAAATATGAACCAACAAATACACACACACACACTTCCCACCTGCTGTGCTTTGTCTCCCATGTCTGTCTCTAGAGTCTCTAGTGCCATCACTACCTCCTGCCCACTCTCCAGAGGGTACTCGGGCACCCAGGCCTGCAGCTCCCCAGGCAGGATGCTCAGGAACTGCTCCAGCACCAGCAGCTCCAGGATCTGCTCCTTGGTGTGGGTGTCGGGCCGCAGCCACTGGCAGCACAGTTCTTGGAGTTGAGCTAAAGCTTCACGGGGCCCAGTGACCTCCTGGTAGCAGAAATGCCGGAAGCGCAGGCGGCAAAGCTCGCGAGTGTGGGCACTGCTGCCCCATGAACTGGGCACCTGCTCCCACGCGGGGTCTTCCTCCTTCACCTTCACAAGACCTTCTGCATTTCCAGGAGGAGCGCCTGTGAAAGCTTCCATGTTGAGCTTAAAGGTTGGGAAAAGATCCACTTAGCCAGGGTCCATTATTCACAAAGATTTTTCCAAATGTACATTTGAGGCATAAGCATTGATAAGTAACATGAAAATTTTAAGAGCTGCAAAACTCAAAATAATTTATTTATATTTTGTCCCCACTGTAAGTCAGGCTCAAAACTAAGCTGGCTTGCTTATGTCATCAGTAAGCAGAAATATACCTTGAACCTTGAGGGGGCTGAACACAGGGGTAGAGGGTGTCAGGTTAGGAATATGAGGGGAGAGGGTTAAGCATGAGAATGCGTGAGTACCTTAACTGTAGCTAATTTTACCAATGGTGGAACAGATGTGTGGCTTCATGGGCAGACAATGCATTCTCCAAGGTTATCGATCTCTGTGTACCACTGAATACTCTACTTTCAGGGCAGCGGGGTAAGTGGTTTCTTAAGTCTCTCCTCCCCATATATCTTTTGTGATGAGACTTTGCCATCCTTCTCAAGAGGTGGAGTCTATTTTCCCTTCCCTTGAATTTGTGCTGACCTATGACTTCCGTTGACCAACAGAATACGGCATTGATGACACTGTGAGCAGAAGTGCTCTTGTAGTTCTTGGCATGGTCATGAAACTGCCATGCTGAGAGGAGCCCAAACTAGCCATGGGGAGAGGTCAGGTGGATGAAGCCAGCTACCCCAGGGAAGGCCCAGGGGAGTCCAGTCCCCAGTTGATTCGTTGAATGAATGAACCATAGGAGTGGCTCCAGGCAAGACCACCAGTAGAACTGCCACAGAATCACAAGAAATGACCAACCCACAGAAGCATAAGAAATAATAAGCTGAAGTTATTTTAAGCCACTCTTGGGGGTTTTAATTAATCTTTTTTAATGTAACAATAGATAACTGAAACAGTGGGCAGGCTTCAAGTTCTTGTCTCTTTCTCTCCTTTTGTGATCTCACTAATCACTGCATCACTATATATGGCTATTCCAGAGACACTCAAATCTCTGACTGGCTCAGTCTTGCCTCTCACATTTCAGACTCATATTGTGAAATGACCGCAGGAGCCTCAAGCTCTGATTTCTCCTGCACCATAATTTCAACACGCCACAAGCTGAAATTAGAGCTCCCACAAAGCTGGACTCACTCTGTATATCTCCGCGTATGTGGTGGCATCACTAGCAACTGCCATGCACTCAGGCTTAAAACCAGACCCATCTGTAATCTGAGACTAGCCAATTCCTCCTCTAAAAATGCCTCATACAGCCAGCCCTTCCTCCTCCTCCCGCCCCATTACCATTCCACCTGCGCATTACAACCATTTTCTGTGTGGTTTCCTTCCCCATTCTATCATCGCTGAATTAACATTTCCTAAAGCACAACTAGGACCATATACAAACATACCTCCCCGACCCTCAGGGGTTTCAACTGCTCCCGGCTGAAGTAAATTCAACCGCCATCCCCACCCCAACAAATCTCTCTGAATTTTACCGGTTGGTTTGGCACTCAAACATTTACTGAGGAAGTCATTATTTTCTAGGCATAATACAAACCCCGGAATAAGAAGAAATGACATCTAGTCCCGGCTACTTTTGAGAAAGCCACGGTCTCCCCAAATTCCTCTCATCCCCGCCTTGCGGACAATTCGTTTTTTTCCCACCTACTTTCTACTTTATAGCCAAGAGCGCCCGACTAACCGAGAAAATTCCCAAGGCCCAGAGCAAATGCCACCCCAGCCCTCAGCTACAGGGAGAAAACGACTGTCCTCAGGCGCGCAGCCCAGACCGGCCGCACCCGCACGGCTCCCTCAGCACCTGCCACCACAGATCACGCCCCGTCCACCGCCACCCCTGCTGTCTGAGCCCGGAGCCCGGCACGCACCGGGCCACGCGCCGAAGCAGAACGAGATGTGCAGGAAGCCGCCGGCTGCCAGGACACGACCCACAGCACCCCCGAGGCGAGGGCGCGGCACACAGGACGCTCACTAAGTGTTGGTTCCGCAGACCCAAAAGTCAGGAAACGTTCAGGACAAAGCCTGGCCCGACTCCCTGAGCGATCCCCACGCGAGCCCGGGAGCCTGAGCGTCCACCCGCGAGCCCAGGGCCGCCTGGCACCGCCGGACCCCGCGCCTCTCGGGGCTGCGGGTCAGCGAGCGCTTCCGGCCGCCGAGCCGGGGTCAGGGCTTCTCCTCCCTCCGCGCGGGCAGTAGAGTCGCGCGTCCTCTCTAGGAACTGGCCGCGCGTCTCACTGGTGCGCGGGAGCGACCCCACCCTCGCTTCCCGCGGCCACCGAGCCTCCCGCGCGCAGCCGTTCCTCACCAGCGGGCCCGTCCCGGCTTTGTGGACAGCATTTCTATTAAACCCCCGAGCAGACGGTGACGACGAACGACACTCTGTCTTTGATACAGTTAACAAGTTTGTCTTTCCCCCATTTTTTGCAATTCCCCTTATCTAGCATTAACAGGATTGATGACTTGTCTTTCCCATTTGTTGCAGCTTCCCCTCCCCTTGGGAAGAAAAAAAAGCTGGCGCCCACCGGTTCCCTGTAGACCCTTCCCCCTCGCCCTAAGGAAAACAAGTTGGCGATCACCCGTCTCTGTGCCTTGACACCTTCCCCTTCCCTTAAGATGAATGAGCTGACACCCATCCATGTCCCTGTTGAGCTGGCGCCCACTTGTCTCTGGGCGGACCCCTTCCCCTCCCCTTCGCGGATGCCTACCCATCTCCCCCTGTATAAATACCCCTGCCCACTGCCAAAGAGCAGGACGGTGGTTTTTCGGACATGAGTCTGCCGCCCTCCTCATTTGTCGACAAATAAAACCGCTTTCCTTTTCCTCAAACTTAGTTTCCTTTTATTGGCTGAGGGAAACTGAGGCCGGCGTTCGGTAACAATTTTGGCGAGCCAGCCAGGAGGTGGATGCTACTTCGGCTCTCCCAACCCCAACTCTGACTTCCAACTGACGGAGCTGTTGCCTGCTGCTGTGCACCAGGGCTCACCTATCTATGCTGGTCTGTGCTGTCAGAGAGGGGCCTGGGCATCCCGGGTGGCATCCTGACCCTCCTGCTGAGAGGGAGCGCCCTCTCTCCAGGAGGATGAGGGAGAGTCCCAGCAGCTGCCGGAGTTCTTTTTCCTCCGGGGAACTTCCCAAGTCCTCCTCGGGAGAGGCACAGCTCTTCTCTGCACCCTGGATTTACCTTTGAGGAGATGGAAACTGGATGGAAAACCGCGGTCCCCTGGCGTTTGGTGTAAGTTCCCCTGGCGTGCACGCCAAGACCTTGGCCTTCACACATTCGGGAGGAATCTGAGTCCCCTCGCGGAGGGAGTTCAGGTCTCCTCATTTGGGAGGGAGTCTATGAGTCTCCCTCAATTTGGAGCGCTCTTTGGTGTGTTAGGCCCGGTTGAGTGGGAATTGGGAAACATTTGGTGTTTTTGTCACTTGATATCTATTTGGTATTTGGTATTTGGAGTTTCCCGTTTGTTTTTGGAAGCCAGGGATTTAGTTAAACTTATGAGAGGTGCCGTATTGTTCCATCTAAAAGCCCCTTGGGGAAAATATTAACTGAGTGGTCGACCTGTAGCTACAAACCTATGTCTAAGAAGCAACCCCTATCACGGTTTCCCTGCAGGAGCCCAGGAAAAACTGATTGTGGGGAACAGACTGATTTTTTTTTTAGCACAAGAGCCAGGCAATATACTCTCCTTTTCCACTTTGGCTGGCTCACCTGTGAGCTCCTTTTATCTATGCTCTGCTAAAATCTTACCCTGACATTCAGTGTCAGTCCAGATGCTTTGGCTTTAGGCAACCTAAGATTATTCTGACTCTTCTAGGACATTGGCAGATGGCTGGAAGGACTGTAATTGTTCCAGAGAGAAAACTGGGCTTGGATCAGGACTTCTACTTGATGTTGTTTTTGGAGTTAGTGGGTCTGGAGTGCGGGGTCTTTGGGTTCACTATGGGAAAGGTGTTGCCAGAGCTCCTGTTTCAGGGACCTGCAGCAAGCTTCCCAGGCCAGTTTCTCCATGAGACAGAGACATTAGTTATATTGAAAGGGCAGGTTTATTAGGGAAAGGGGACAAGGAAAGTAAAGGAGACACAAGCGGGCAGGAACAGCTGCCCCAGGAGGGACAGGTTTGCTGAGAGAGGCCTGCGTGGTTGCAGGTGGGTGGCTTTGAGGAGAGTGACCTCCGCTGAGGGAGGTCAGTGAGGAGAGGCCCCAGAGAGACAGGTCATGGGCAGGCAGGGAGGCTGCTGCCCTGCAGAGGGAGAGGGTTGGTGAAAAGAGGAAGCTACTTAGGCACAGGTGGGCAGACAGAGTGCTCTCCAGAGCCTGTGCAGAGATTGAACGGATATGTCTATGTCTTCTGTTAGGGATTCGCCCCTTGTGAGCCTTCGGGTTAGTTGCTGATTCTGGATAATTATGTAGAATCTGAAAGTGACCAGAGATTCTACAATAGGCCCAATTCTACAATAGGCCCAATCTCCATATCTTTATACCTGCTTGGGTGTTATGCTTTGTAATCTGGGCATTGGAGACTGAGGATCTTGTTTCCATAGCTGTGTCAATGGCTATGCTAATCCCTTCTACCCAGGCCTCCAGCTCTTGGCATTTTGTGAGCCAGGTTTTTGGTCTTGTGGACACCTCTTTTTCAGTTTTTCTATTCTTGTCTTACCTTACCTTTTCTCCATTTTATGCAAATAGATTTGTGAATCTGATCTTTGTGCCTGTGTAAGGAATTCAAGCAAGTATCTGGAATCAGGTCTTGGATAATTTAAAAATTTGGTATTTTTCTGCTTTTTGTTTTAGTCAGATACCTAACTCAGTATTTACCAGTCACTGTAATAATTGGATGTAAAGTAAGCTGAAGAGAGTGTTCTCCACTTTAAGGAGGTGTTTTCTTCCTCTAAATTTGCAGGCTTTTTCTGATCACGTGCTGAGACTTCTGGATCAGGCTCAGATGGTTTTGTCAAGATTACTTTGGACTTTCTAGTTAGCTATAAAGGAAGCTTGCTAGTTGGTTGGAAAATTTCTAAACTTCTTATTGACCATAAAATTTTAGGTTTCCTTGAAAATCTAAGTCTCTTAAAGTAATCAATTTACTAATCAAACTACATAGTAGGTTTCTGTAAATAATATTCCTTATCAAATTTCTAGTAAGAATCTAAGAACAAATAAGCTGCCAAGTTAAGATCTTAATTTGCCTCTTCTGCTGTCCTTCTCGTGGCCCATGTATATCTCATGGCCCATGTTCTATCTTTCTTAGGACCAGGCCTCATCCGTGAGGTCAAACAGAAACTAGGACTCTGTGAAGCAATTTGAGTTTTCTATGCTTGTCTTTAAAATGGTTCCAATCTTGGGTTCTAGAGGTTTTAAAATGATTAAAATGGGATGCTTATTAGAACATGTAAGGACTTTAACTTCCATCTCTCTTATTGGAAACCTCCTTGATTAAAACAAAAACAAACAAACAAACAAAAAAAACAACAGAACTTAGATGGCTATATCAACTTAACTTGAAAACTTAAGTTGTTTTAGGAATTAGTCTATCTTTGTATTGAAAGGGATATAGTTTTGGTGAAACTGTCTACCCATCCAATATCTCTTCTAGGAATTTAAAGGAATATGTGGCCTTAGAAAACTGATAGGGAATTTTATGCCTCACTTTCTTTAGAACCTAAGGGGCATTCTTACAAATATAACTTGAGAAATGTTTTCTTATCTGAAGGAGTTAGTTAGAAAAGATATTAAAAAGCAAATTAATAATTGTTGTCAGTGTTGTCAGAAATATTGGTAAAATAACTATCTCTAAAAATTAGTGCAAATGGCCAAAATTCTAAATGAAAGAGATCTCTGTGTCTATGTCTTTGCCTTTGTGTTTTTTTGTCTCTGGAGGGTTACTGTGTTAAAAATCATTTTAAATGGCGCCTATATAAATTCTAATAGAAAAGAACCCAAATTTTGAGATCGCGATCTAAAATTTTTGGTAAACAAAAACTAGTTCAAAATGTAATGGTTTAATTAAAGCACATATGTCTTAGATTTATAATGTTGGGAGTTAAACGTTATATTGTATGTTAAATGTGTTTTAAAAAATTTGGAGTGGTCAAAAAAAAAAAAGAAAAAATATTGACCTGGTCTATGTTAACAGAGATAAGTGTGATTTTGTTTATAGCTGGACTTCTTTTTGATAAAATTCTCTTCTAAAAAGACTGGCCCACTATTTATTTACCTTGAAAGAAATACCTTTGTTCCCCAGGTAAGCAACTTAATTGATTTTTCTTTCCCTTGTCCTAGCCAAGGAAAAAAAAAAAGAAAAACCTCTGGTATATAAATTTGTTTCGTTTATAACTCTGCAATTTGAACTTCGTATCCTAAGAAAAACTAGAGCTACAGTTGGTATCTCTGTTCTTCTTATCATTATTTAAATGGTGGTATATTTTTCCTATAAAACTAAGGATTTACTAAGTTTAATAACGAAAGTTTGTTGACTGCTTGATGAGCTTTTGGTGTATTTTTGCTTCTTATAGTAGGAAAACAAAACTTTATTGTTATCATCCAGGAAAAAATAAAACATGTGTTTATGTATGAGTTATCCAGTACAAAGGAATAATAGCATAACAGCTCTAACAATGTCTTAAAGTAAAAAATGTGAGGCTTGCCTGTTAATTAGCTGGTTTTGTTGGGACAAGGCCTGAGTGGACTAAAAGTTTCAGGGAGTGACTGATGGACTTTCTCTGGCCAGGCGCCTGACTTGTGTGTCCCAGATGACCTCTTGGGAGTCTCCAGCTTCTGTACTCCCTGCTTGCTTTAAAGTGCGAATGTGCCTCTGCTGGGGCAATGGATGCTCTATTGCCTAATTGCTGGGGGCTTGAACTTTGGAAAAAGATCTCTGGGCCTGTGGGCATAAATAAAGACAAAAGTCTTCTATAACAGTCTTACAATCTAAAAATTAAAAACTAAAATGTTGTAACTCTAAATGCAAATAAAGCGAGATTGTGTTAAGATATGTATGTAAAAAAATATGCTAAAGGTCTGAAAAATTTAGTGTCAAAACAAAATAGCTATCTTGAAAAAAAAAAAGGTGTTAAAGCTTTGCAGATCTGAGAGAGGTATTGTTATAGAGCAACCCCGATATTAAACGGGTTCCTGGCTGTGGGTCCTCACCCGCGCGCTTTAAAGGAACTTATGAATACTCTACTACAGACACACGCAAAAGGGTTAATAAAAGGTTTATTTACAAGAGAAAAAGAAATAAGGAAAATGTACAACTCAGGGAGAAAATAGGGAAATAAAGTCTTTAATGCGTCCTACCCGATCCGACGACCTGGAAACCCCAAAGTCACTCTCAGAGCTAGACGGACGCCGCGAGCTGGCCGAGGGCCCCAAAATGGAGAGACCCCCAAAGCCCACGTGTCTGCCTTTTGTATCCACCTGGCTGCTTAACCCCACCCTCAGGTCCCAGCCACCTTCCCTTGGGTGGTGATGGGATTTGGAGTTCCCAGTGTCTTTGGCTTTGACCTGGGGTGGGGGTGGAGTCCACAAAGCCTGTATGGAATTTGCTTTGGGACTGCCTTTTCCCCCTAACAGTATCTTAGTAAAATTCTATGTGCTAGAATGACTTGCTTTAGGAATATTCAAATTTATTATCAGTGGTGTACTTACGTAAAACCAAAATTTAATTTCTTTTCCATCTGCAGTAAAGGCTCAAGTATTCTTAAACTGCTTTTACTAGTTCTTGATGACAAATTAAAAACTGTTTAGGTAATCTGAAATCTTGGTTCTCTTTTACCCTTGGACTTGGTAAACTGAAAAATATAGTCCTGTCAGCATTGTTGAGCACTGTGAAAATATATCTACTTTTAAAAACCTCTAGTTATCACTCTGGGTACCTTAGTGTTGTTTTATAAAAATCTGTATATATTATTAAGCCTGTGAAGAAACTTTTCTTGGAGTCAAAGTTCAGAAATGGTAAAGTTTTTTTTTGAATCAAGTAAAATTATTTGATGCGTCTTAGGACTCTTAATAAATTATTTTCCTTATAGCAAAATGCTAAAACACATTGGACCAATCTAGAAATGTTAAAACTTCATAAAAATTGTCATTGAGGGAAAAAGTTATACCTTTTCAGCATATATAAAATTGATTAAAGTGTTCTAAAATATATGCGATTTTTAAAACCTAGTATGTTCTGGTATAATATTATTGGATGGTTCTGATTATACTGAAATATATATGTGTATGTGTGTCACAAAATTGAGCAAACATCCTTGTCTTTTACCTTAAGCCATGATTTTAGGTATGGTCATTTTCGAGTTTTTGTTCTTTCTAAAGTTTATTTGCTGAGCTTTGTCTTTAAAAAAAACTCACAAAAAGAGACTGACAACATAGATATGTTTTGGAACTGAAAAGACCTACTGAGCCTATAAAAATTTGATTTATGAAAATTACCAACAGAAGATGGAGACTTAATATATGGAAAGTACACTGAGGAAGATTTGAATAATATTTCATGACTTTTTAAAAAAAAATTAGTTTTTAATGTTTTGGTTTTTTGGGTCTCCAGAAACCTTGTCTTTAAGCTGGGCTATGATCTTAACAATGACAATTTGCATCTTTTTATGAACAAACTGAAGCATTTGCTTTTCTCTTGTCTCATCCCAAAAATTTATAAGCAATATTTGTACTTCTCAGGACAATGTCTATCTTTGCATAATCTCAATAGGGAATTTTATTTATTTCTCCTTAACCTGGTAAATTAAACATGTTTTGTTAAAAGGCTTTGATTGAAATTCTTCTGGGAATAAACCGTGCTGAGCTGAGAAGAGCGAGCCAAGAAGATCCTGTCACCTTGCTTACTGGGTTCCAGAGACCTCCATGAAAAATGAGGAAGCTGCCTCCATGGACAGGACTGAGGAAAACCCTGGAAAAAGTCCTGGGAACCTTGAGAAGAGGAAATCTCAGGTGAAGATTGGTGAGACTGTGACTTTGATAAAGCCGGCATGGACTGGATGTTAAAAAGCTCACGCTAAGGCCTGTGGAATTTTCAACAAAGCCAACAACACTCTACTTGTTTACTCTGCCCTATGAGTTTATGCAAATATAGGGAAAATTGTTAAAATTAGATTTGGTTTACTATTTTACAGAATTGGGATGAGGGTAGAGAAAAATTATGTTTCCGTAACTATATTATTCTCTGGTCCTCTCCAGTGAGGGCTATAACCTTAATGTCATCATCTTGAGGAAGAGAAAAAGTAATCCCTCTTACATTTAGGACTACGCTGTGTTGTATATCTTGTCGCTGCCACACCAGCACCAAGACCTTAACATCATGTCTGTCGGGAACTATGGCACCAATAAGTGCAGGCCTTCCATCGTAAACCCCCCACCACGACGACCCTGTTCAGCAGGAAGCAGCCAGATGACACGACGCCCCTTTTCCCATAGAAATGGAAGGTCATAACTGAGAGTGGGGATTATGATACAGTTAACAAGTTTGTCTTTCCCCCATTTTTTGCAATTCCCCTTATCTAGCATTAACAGGATTGATGGATTGTCTTTCCCATTTGTTGCAGCTTCCCCTCCCCTTGGGAAGAAAAAAAAGCTGGCGCCCACCGGGTTCCCTGTAGACCCTTAAGGAAAACAAGTTGGCGATCACCCGTCTCTGTGCCTTGACACCTTCCCCTTCCCTTAAGATGAATGAGCTGACACCCATCCATCTCCCTGTTGAGCTGGCGCCCACTTGTCTCTGTGGGGACCCCTTCCCCCTCCCCTTCGCGGATGCCTACCCATCTCCCCCTGTATAAATACCCCTGCCCACTGCCAAAGAGCAGGACGGTGGTTTTTCGGACATGAGTCTGCCTCCCTCCTCATTTGTCGACAAATAAAACCGCTTTCCTTTTCCTCAAACTTAGTTTCCTTTTATTGGCTGAGGGAAACTGAGGCCGGCGTTCGGTAACATCTTTAGGCTCCTCACTAGCTGCTGGTGAATAAATACATCGCAGATGAATAAATAGCAATCGACACAAATTAATTTTTTCATGTAACCATAGCTAGGATATATACTCAGGCTGCATAGAAACTGTGTAATGAAATTCGTCCCACACTCCATAGTTAACATCTGGTGTGTCTTCCTAGGGCACTGCCTGCCACCCAGTAGCACTCACTAGCAGCATTTGTTTAGCGAATAAGTATCATAAAACACTCATGGTATCACAATGTTATGTCCTATCTCAGCCTTTTTAATATAGGAAAGCTTGGCAATCTCTTACCAGCTTACTCTTTAACAGCTAAATGGTATTACATTGTATGGCTGTTTCATAATTTATTCTGGTTGATGGATATTTAGGCTATGTATTTTTCTTTATAATTAATGATTCAGCCTATTATAGCGTGTTTTTTCGTTTCCTTGTGATTATTTATAGAGTAGACACTGTATGTTGGCATTGATCTGTGAAAGGCCAGGTGCATTTAAAATTTTGATATACAGCCCCCGTTTAATTTTTGTGTGAGAAAGGAAATAAGAAAAATTCAGAATGTGGCTAGTCACAAAATCAGAATTACAAATGACCAATTAACTGGCAAAAAAAATGTTCAATTTTGATTGTAAAAATATCCTTTAAAAACTCTTTAAAAGGCAGAGCCAGGGCCTCCCCGGTGGTGCAGCGGTTGAGCGCTGGGTTGTGAAGCTGCCCACAGCCTCGGCGGCGCCAATTCGATCCCAGGCTGCTGGCCCGGCCACTGGAGGAGGGTCCCACATGGCACGCAGACCTCTCCTGCTGCCCGCTGCTCCCCTCAGCAATGTACTTCTGTCCTTCTGCCTGCTCTGCTCCCCGCTCTGGCTCTGGTGGATTCTCTCACCCTTCCGCGCTTCTGACTGTACCCAGTGCTCGTATATTTAATAAATAAATAAATCTTTAAAAAAAAAAAGACCCATTTTGTATACATCAGATTATCAAATATTCTAAATAATCATTCCCAGGGCTGATGAGGGTGTTTTCACAGACTGTTAACAGGATTTGCAGATCAGTATAACCCTGGCAAATACATGAAAAGCTTTAGAAAATATACTTGCCCATTGTTACATTTATTCTAGTTATGGGCATTGAATAGAATAAGACTACAGGTACAAGGTTGTTGTATGTACATGGATGGTCACTGAAATACTGGCAACGTGACAGACTAACAAGAGGACACATGTCATGGAGTATTGTGCAACTCATTGAAGATTATCTTCCATGAAGACTTTGCATGAGCTGGTTGTCTTAATTAGGGGTTATTGTTTGTTGGCTACTTGGTTGGCAAGGTTTAGATACCCAATCCAAACTAACTTAAAAGAAACCTTTACTGGAAGGAAACAAGTGTACTCCAGGCACTCCTGATAGAGCAGACATTACATTGGCAATGCAGTTATCAAGTAAGACTGTTGCCACTTGGATTAATTCAGCTTGTTTTCATTTCAAAGGAAATCTTTTCCCTTTCTAACTTGAATCAAAGAAGTAGAGTGGCAAGGATGGGAAAGGCATTGGTAAAACTAGATTCTCTTTGCTTTCCACAATATTTGTGCTGCTGGGGGGCAGGGAGTATGGGGGTAACAACAGTGGGCACGGGGTGGGGAATAAAGCCAGTGAGGGAAAATGGTCGCCGTTAACCAACACTTGAGGGAAGCTTTGACGGTGATATATTTCCAAACATCATTAGTTTTATTATACAGGGGTCTGATGCAAAAATATCAACCTGCTCTTGTTTTGTTTAAGTCGGTAAATCTGTGGACACTTGATTCACTGATTTTCCAGTCCTCACTCAATCCCGAGGCCCTGTACTATTTAGAGATGCAGAGTCCTGCCTCTGCCATGAGAAATGACCGAGAGTCCTGCAGTGAAGAATGGTGTTCCGCTTTCATTCCAGAGAACTGTCAAATGACTGTGGTCCAAAGTTGACTTCAAGGGAAAACAAAGGAGAAAGGATGACTGCAGTGAGGCTCCAGCTTGGCCCCCAAGCATTCTCTGAAGTCAGAGTGGGCTGGAGTGACTTTTCCTAAAGTGCTTTTTGTCAAATGTCCTGTGTCTTGGAGGAAAGTGCTTTTTGTTAAATCTCCTGTACCTTCATGTGGCCACCTCATCAAGCCACTTTGTCCCTGTGGTGATATCTCTGATGTTGAAAAAGACCTGACCTCTGCCTGAAGGCTTCTCCACAGTTGTTACACTCATAGGGTTTCTCTTCATTGTGGATCCTCACATGCTGAGCAAGGTGTGAGTTCAGTCGGAAGGCCTTCTGGCATATGCTGCATTTGAAAGGTTTCTCTCCAGTGTGAATCCTGTGGTGTCGAATAAGGTCTGAGGTCAAGCTGAAGGCTTTCCCACACTCGTTGCACTGGTGGCTTTTGGAGTGACTATGGATTCTCTGGTGGTGTGTGAGGAGAAGGGCCTGGCTGAAGGTTTTTCCACACTCCTTGCACTCACAGGGCTCCTCCTGACTGTGAATCCTCTGGTGTCGATTAAGGTGGGAGCTGCGCCGAAAGTTCTTCCCACAGTGGATACAGAGATATGGTTTCTCACCAGTGTGGATCCTGAGATGTTCCAGAAGGCCTGCGTTCTGGCTGAAGACTTTCCCACACTCCTTACACTGATAAGGCTTGTCACCAAGATGGATTTTCTGATGTCTGACAAGGTGTGAACTTCTCTGAAAGGCCTTCCCACACTCATGACACTGATGGCCTTTGTCTCTGGAGCCAATTTTCTGACGTCCAGTAAGACTGGCATGTGGAAGCACGTTAGAGTCACAGAGTTTCTCTCCTGGGCACGCACCTTCATGTTTGCTCAGATCTGAGTGCTGGGTGCATCCCTCCCCACGTCCTGGGCATTGAAGGCCAGTCTTCTCCTGAGGCTTCGTCTGCTGCCCCTCCGTGAAAGAGTCTGTGCAACATGCGTCCAAGGGCTGGTCAATTTTCCTGGGGGACTCCACTCCTCTGCAAGAGTCTGTCTCTACAGACAGCTTCCCATTCTCTGTCCTTTTCTTCTCCCCTGGAACATTAAAGACAAGAACAATTCTTTGTTTCTTGGTGCTTGGGCATCTGCAATTAAGGGGGAAATATTTAAATGGAGCCATGTGTGCCCAGTGGAAGCACTGTGGGTGCCCATGTTTGCAGAGAAGGAGACCCCAGGCAGCACCCACAGCAAACCAATGAAGGGTCATCAGCGTAAGCAAGATAAAGGCATTGAATGTTGGAAAAAAAGGGAGCAGACGACAGCCAAAGTAAAAATGCAGGTAAAGAGACAGGTAAGAGAACATCAGAGAAAGTAAAGGTACACGTTGGGGATTAAACTATGCAGTGTCCTGAGTATAAAGGCCCTGCCCTGGATCAAGAGAGGGGAGGGGCAGAGTCTTTTCCAGCAACCAAAATCAACCTCAACTTTGAATAAAGTAACATTTTCAATAGATCTAGAGGAGGTTTTAAAGGATCTACAGGAACTACATTCACTTTTCATGTTTAAAATGCACTTTGCAAGGCTATTGAGAAAAGGCGGGCCCCACTCTTTCAATTACTTTTACTCAAAGAAAGCATCTAGCAGAAGGATGACTTTGAAGCTGACCCTACAGTTAAACAGGGAGGAAGACAGTACGTAAAGGAAGACTTCAGAATAAAGATTAAAAATCTTTTAATCTTGATGATTAAATGTTATCAACTGGACTAAGTCAGGGACTGTAGTAGACTCAGGAAAGAAAACAAAGCCCTTGCTTTACATCTGGCAGAAGAAAAAGGGAAGTAAGACAACAACTACCTACCATGTAGTTCGAGCCCTTCTATGGTTGGAGAAATCTTGGGACAAGAGTAAACTGGAAATCAGGGCCTCCCTGGTAGCCTTGGGGTTAAGTCTCAGCGCTGTCACCATTGCCTGCGTTCAATCCCCAGCCAGGGAGCTACCCACATGGCGCAGCAGACCTCTTCTATCTCAACCACTGCTCCCCTCAGCAGTGTATTTCAGTAGATCCACCTGTTCTGCTCCCCATTCTGTCTCTGTTGAATCCTCTCACTCCCCCATACCTCTGGCCTGTACCCCAGTTCTTGTATGCATAAATAAATAAATCTTTTTTTTTTTTAAAGACATTACCTAGGGGACATTTAGAAACAAAAGCCAGTAGCCATTTGAGCAAGCACAAATGAGTCATGAGGCCTGCGGCTGAAATTCTTTGCCTTGGGGGAGAAACTAGTACCCCTTTTTTATCCATTACTGCAGAAAAGGAGAAGAGCAAGGTAAAGGACGAAACAGGAGGAGGTTTTGGTCTTAGCTGAACAAAAGCAACAAGGGATGGGTTCAGGAGGTGTGGGGGTGCAGGAGAGCTTTACATCCTGGTGTGTAGAGATCAGACGATTATTATTTCACATGTGTGAACACACAGTGACTTACATGAATGAATGTTACTGCACAGACATTGGGTCCAATTCATGGACTCACAGCGAAAACAACTAATGCTGGGGTGCAGCGTGGGGCAGCAGGGGAAGGGGCGGCACTGCAGAAACGTGGCGTGGGACACGCATCTGCTCCTTACCCTTCTCCTTCTCAGACTTTGGAACCTCACACTCCTGTGGGACCTGCTGCTTCTGCTTTGCTTTCAGGGGCACCGTTTCCCCCACCGGCATTTTCTGTTTCTTTGCCTGGTCTGGATCCTGTAGGGACATGTAGGGACAGTTAGCTACATGAGGCTTCAGGAGGAACATGGCTGTTCAGAAAAACACTTCAGTGTTAGAAAAGCAAGTGGAAGAAAAACCCCAGAGGGCAAGAAAAGGAGGCTGGGGAATGTGGGGTGCATTTAGTTTCCTCCCAGCAGAGAACAGGTGAGGCTGGGTTAAGGCCTATAGTGATCAACAGTTAGACTGGAACGAAACCGACACAGGGTAGCAATTCTCTCCCCTCTACTGAGCTCTCTCCACCTCTCTGGTCAGAGGTCTGTTTCTGCTTCCTGCCAAGGAGCACAAGTGACTGTAACTTATCACCTGTGGTTCCAGTGCTCCAAGCTCCAGCTGCAAACCCTCCAGCACAACCACCACCTCCTCTGCACTGGCTGGGTGCTGCTCCCACACCCGGGCCTGCAGCTCCCCGGGAAGGATGGTCAGGAACTGCTCCAGCACCAGCAGCTCCAGGATCTGCTCCTTGCTGTGCGTCTCCGGCTGCAGCCACCGTCGGCAGAGCTCCCAGAGCCGGCTCAGCGCCTCACGGGGGCCCGTGGTGTCTTCATAGCGCAACTGCCGGAACTGCCTGCACAGCTGCTCCCAGCCTCCGCCTCTGCTGTTCCCTTGCAGCTGGAGTCCCTGTCCCCAGGTCGGGCCATGATCCCCCCTTGCTCCCCCATACCCCTCCTTCTTCAGATTCAGAGGAGCCAGGGAGTGAGCCATCCCTAGCTGCACACTGCTCTGTGTCCGGCAGAACTTCCTTTTGACTGTCTCGCAGGGATGTTCCTGAAAATGTAATAAGAACAAGAATCATAGACACAGTAATAGTAGTGGGAACAATAACCATAATCCGGGCAATAGTTCTTTGTAAAGTTTATGCATTTCTAATAATCACTATCCTTTTTTTTTTTTTTTTTTTTATCCCTACCTGAAACCACCACTCCTGAAAAGAAACTCACACACAAAATGAGAAAGCTGTTTCACGGAAGACTGCCAGCTAACACCACAGGATAGCAGATTTAAAAAAAATCACTATGTTGCCCCCCTTGTCTCAGTCTCAAAGAATCGCCACCACCAAGTGCTTATTAATGACAAAGGGAAACAAGGCGTTATCTGGCTGGCACAAACTGACCACAAACTTAATCAAATGATCCAACCCAGCAACACCAACAGTGAGGACAACTGACGCAGGGCCTTCCCATGTAGGCAGCATTTTTACTCAAACACGTTTAACCTGAGCCGAATAATGAGGAAACTTTCTGATAAATCATGAATGTAGCTTATGTACAACAGGCAGGGACTCTCCAAAACAATTTCAGAAAACAAAAAGGTGTGAGACAGGCACTGCTCTGGATTAAAGACAGAGCAATAGGCGGTATGTGCAACTGGCTGGAGCTAAAACAAAAGATACCAATTTTTTTTTTTTTTGAGAATTCAGAAATCTGAATCTGAACGCTATCCAGGCAAACTAGAGCCCAAACAGAGCCCATAGCCTATGAGTATTCAGGGCGCTTTACTGGAATCCAGTTATTCCCGCTGTTTAGATGCTGTCACATTAGGTTTGGTACCAGACTGGCAGGACTGAGAAGCTACCATACAGACACACAGATCACCCACAGAGCTGAAAACATTCATACCTAGCCTTTCACAGAAAGTAGCCAGATCACTTTCCCTACATGATCCTTCCAACGCCCCTCTGCCCTGACCCCGCTGGAACACACCTCACACTGCCTCTTGGTTGTGGTCCTGAGTCACGATTCCTAGTCTATAGAAAATGTTTTCTCAATTATTTCTCCAGTGATGACACCACACACAATATATAATAAACAATTTAATAAACTGACCCCTGTGGCCTCCTTTTATAGCTCATGCATCATCTCAATCAAGTTCTACTGGTTCTGCCTGTCTCTCAAATCTACCCACTCTTCTTCACCCTCATATCTAGACTATGGCAACTGGTCTTTCTACCTCGCCAATCAGTTCCCACACTGACAGAGTGATCTTTCTAAAGAGAGAACACGATTATGTATCTGCCATACATATTGCATTTAATGGCTCATTATCCTTAGGATCAAATTTAAAACATTTACTATGGTTTAAAATTTTCTTATGATCTAATAAACGTTCAGTCACTCAAACATGCAATATTCTTTCCTGCTCCTGGGTCCTTCCACGTCTTACTCCTGCCTGGACTCTATTCAACCCTTCAACTTTCTTCTCTGTAATGCCCACACACATTTTATGTCTCCATACAAACAAGGAACCAGCACAACTTCTCTATGTGCTTTACATGTTTTACTGCATTGATAAAATCCTCAACCCTCTACAAAAAAGAAACTATTACTAATATTGTACAGGAAAGGAAAAGCAGACAAGGAGTTAAGTCCTTATAAGAAGCTTCAGAGCTGAACCTCAGATCCTTCCTTCAATATCTCTTGCTTCTCAGACTGAAAACCTTGGATTCATCTTTGTCTTTTTCTCTTATTTTCGCACTCATACATGATCCAATAGCAAATCCTGTTGGTTCAACCTTCAAGGCAGATTAATCTGAACATAACTAGTCACTTCTACCTTAATACTAGTCCAAGATAGGCTAGTCCATTACTGCAATTGTCTCCTAACTGTTAAGTTTCCCTGATTCCAGTCTTGTCTGATTCCCTGATTGCTTTCCCACTATTTTATGAGCTTCCAGATGCGTTAAGGCAGATCATGTTTCTCCTCCGCTCAAAATCCCCCCAAATCTCTTCAGAACAAGAAAGGACAAAATTTCTGGCATAGTACAATGCAAATTTGTTCTACATGCCCCCTCGCACCCCCTAATCTCTCCAACACCTCCTCCTACAAACTCTCAGTCCATCACTGTGCTCCAGCACCCGCGGCCTCCCCGCTATTCCTGGAACATGGCCTTTGCACTTGATGTTCCTCGGCCTAAGAAGCTCCTGACCCCCAAAAGTACTTAAGTCTTTTCACCTCCTTCAGGTTTCTGCTCAAATATTACCTTCTAAGGTTTACCCTTAATAAGTATTTCAAACTGGGTTCAATGGGTGAGAAGCGCGCAGCAGATGGACCCCCAGTTAACCCGCCCCGCAGTTCCTCCAGCTCCCAGGCCGGAGGCTGCACCTCCCACCCCGCCCCTCCCCGTCTCTCGGGCCCCCGAGTGCGGTGAGGTTTCTTTGCATCCCAAGAGAATCATCTGCTCCCCAGACCCTGGGCTGCAGTTCGTTCCCATCTCGGGGCACAGTCATCACTCACCCGGCCAAGGTCCAACAAGAGGAGCCCAAAGGAGCGCTCAAACCCAGTCTTGGCTCTTAGTCGAGCGCCAGTACCCGCGCCCGGGCAGCTTCCGCGTCCGCTCTAGGAAAGCCGGAGGACCGCGGCTCGATGGTGGTCCGCAGCCAGCCTTGCTGGAAGCCAGCGCCAGCCGCTCCCAGCACTCTCGGTCTCTCCCCAAGCAGCGTGCAGTGAGAACTTGTTTTTGTTTGTTTCATTTTTAAGCCGAAAAATTTTTTGCACATAAAATTAGTCGCTACCAGTTTGGGTTATCGCAAACTGCCGGCAATTGTCAATTTTCTCAGTCACATAATTAAGACACATTTTATAACATTTTCCCCCAATTTAAAGTCATCAAACACGATGGCAAAGTAAGTGTCAGAACATTTGAAGGTTAAATTGAACAATGAACATATATTGAGATTGAAAGGCTTAAGGTAATAAGAAATTAAGTCTGTATTACTGCTGTGCGGGACAGTAATCAACAATACTTTGCAGTGTATGTAGGTTTCCGGGGGCAGAGAGGCCTGGGTGTCATTGGGCCAAAATTAGTTCGACGGAAGAAAACAGGATTATTTCCTCTCGTTCACCTCACTACCAACTGTGTGTGTGTGTGTGTGTGTGTGTGTGTGTGCAAACTGGTTCAACCACTATGGAAAGCTCTGTGTGTGTGTGTGTGTGTGTGTGTGTTTTAAGATTTATTTATGCATACAAGAGCTGGGGTACAGGCCAGAGGTGTGTGTGTAGGGTGGGGGGGCGAGTGAGAGGATTCACCAGAGACAGAATGGGGAGCAGAAGAGACACACTGACTGAAATACACTGCTGAGGGGAGCAGCTGGCGAGACAGGAGAGGTCTACTGGCCATGTGGGTTGTTCCCTGACTGGGGATTGAGCTCCTGCTGCAGAGGCTGGGGATAGCTATATAGGTTGCATCTTAACCCCATGCGCCCCAACTGTGTTTTTATAGTCTTTGAATGAAATAAATCCTTTTGAAAAATCCCAACAAACTTTTGCTTAATCGTTTGATGAGTTTTGAGACACCATGAAGTATCTTACAAACCACTGTTGTTATTTTTTTTTTAAGATTTATTTATTTTTATTTACTTATTTCTTTATACAAGCACTGGGTACAGGCAGAAGTGTGGGAGGGTGAGAGAATCCACCAGAACCAGAGGAGAGAGCAGGCAGACTGATGAAGTACACTGCTGAGAGGAACAGTGGGCGGAAGGAGAGGTCTGCGTGCCACGTGGGACCCTTGCCCGGGGATCGAACTGGCGCTGCAGAGGCTGCAGGCAGCTTCACAACCCAGCGCTCAACCGCTGCGCCACCAGGGAGGCCCACAAACCACTATTTTTTGACAAATGTAATTTACACAGTTTCAAGCACTGAGCACTAACAGAAAGGGGGGAAAAAAAGCAAGTCTCATCACAAGAGATTACCCCTTTTCTTGTTGGCCGTCAGAACTTAAAAATCTTTTTAAAAAGACATGCGTACTTTAAAACTTTTCCTTAGGCTAAGAAGTCCAAAGTAAATTAGATGTTAATGTTCTGTCTTGAATAGAAAACTCGTGACTATATATATTTCTAAAGAATGGCACTTTTTTCTCAAAAGCTATATAAAGAACGTAAAATTAATTTTTTTTTAAGATTTATTTATTTTATACAAGAACTGGGGTACAAGCCAGATGCGCTGGAGGGTGAGAGGATTCACCAGAGACAGAACAGGGAAAAGAACAGGCAGAGTGACTGAAATACACTGCTGAGGGGAGCAGCGGGCGAGACAGGAGAGGTCTGCCGTGCCATGTGGGACCCTCGCCAGCCGGCCGGAATCAAACCGGCACTGCAGAGCCTGTGGACAGCTTCACAGCGTGACGCTCAACCACCTGCGCCACCAGGGGAGGCCCCGTAAAATTAAATTTTGAAAGGAAGTGAATATATCCTAATTAATTTACTCCCTTTCAAAATCCCTACCATGGGGAATGCAAACTGGTTCAACCACAATGGAAAGCTGTGTGGAGGTTCCTCAAACTACTAAAAAAGGTGCTTCCATATGATCCAGCAATTCCACTCCTAGGTATCTACCCAAAGGACACAAAAACATTAATTCAAAAGGACACCTGCACCCCTATACTTATTGCAGCACTGTTTACAATAAGTAAGCTATGCAAATAACCCAAATGCCCCAAAACAGATGACTGGATCAAGAAGATGTGGTATATATATATATATATATATATATATATATATATATACACACAATGGAATATTACTCAACAATCAAAAAGGATAAACTCATGCCATTTGCAGCAACATTGATGGAGCTGCAAGGGATTATGCTCAGCGAAGTAAGTCAGAAAGAAAAAAATATTGGATGGTCTCACTTATAGGAGGAATGTAGAAGAGCAAATAAAAGATCAGGAAAAAAATAACTATAATAAAGTAAAAATCAAAATCAACAGGAAACCATAGACCAGATACATTCTGTAGGGGAGGAGGAGGGAGAGGGGTTGGGACAGGGATGGAAAGAGCACAATGGACTATGGTGATGGTGCACTGGTGAATTGGTGGTGGGAATTTCATGGGAAATCATACATTGTACAAAAATGAAGGATGATGTAATATATATATAAAAAATAAATAACATTTAAAAAAATGAAAGACAAAATTTTTACCATGGCTGGTTTCTTAAATGTCATTCATATTATCAAAGCTGAGATTATTGGTATTGGGTATCCTGCAGAATAGCAAAATCCTTAATGTAGCTTAACAAAGAGTTTAAAAATAAGTCAAGGTGTACATTTTAAAGCAAGCTGTTTATCTTTTAGAAGGGGTAAGACTTGATAAGGTGAGAATAAATCAAAATACCATTTTGTGTACCAGGACAGAGTACTTATTTTTAACAACAGAAATCAATTCGTTGGGCCTCCCTGGTGGCACAGGCAGTTGAGTGCCGCACTGTGAAGCTGTCCTCAGCCTCTGCAGTGCCGGTTCAATCCCCGGCCGCCGGACGAGGGTCCCACATGGCGCGCAGACCTCTCCTGCCACCTGCTGCTACCCTCAGCAGTGTACTTCGTCAGTCTGCCTGCTCTGCTCTCCCTTCTGGCTCTGGTGAATTCGCTCACCCTCCCGCGCTTCTGACTGTACCCAGTGCTTGTATAAACAAAACAAACAAAGAAACAAATAAATAAATAAAAAGATGCCTCTATTAAAAAAAAAATTTAACATGTATTTTTGATGAGAAGGGGAAACTCTTAGTGGGAACAGATGAGTACTTCCTTTATATGGCAAAATTAAATATATCTTAAACAAAAGCCTCCTTCATGATTTCACGATTCATGGTGAAGTCTTACAAGTATTCTCATGAAAATCCAGTGGAATTTGCTAAGAATTAAAGGGGCAATATTTTTTTTTTTTGAAGACTTATCTATTTATGCATACAAGAGCTGGGGCACAGGTGAGAGATGTGGGGGATGAGTGGATTCACCAAAGACAGAGTAGGGAACAGAACAGGCAGATTGACTGATATACACTTATGAAGGGAGCAGTGGGCGAATCAGGAGAGGTCTGCTGCCCCATGTGGGTTGCTCGCTGGCGGACCAGGAATTGAACTCGTGCTCCAGAGACTGCAGATTGCTTCATAGTGAAGTGCTTAACCCCTTGCGCCACCAGGGAGGCCCCAAGAGGCAGTACTTTTGACTTGAATTGCTGATAGCTATAAGTTAAAAAAAAAAAAAAATTACCTTCCTTGTTCTATAGATCTTTAAAAATTTTACTGTGAAATACCCATTAGGACCCTTATGTTGAGGGGAGGTGGATGAAGTGCTGTATTTCACGAAACACAGAAGTCAAAAAATGAGAAAGTTGATGTTTTATAAAATTTATCAATTGTAAATCAATCAGCAGTAAACTTTGCTTTCTTGGGCTGTTTCTTAGCACTAAATAAAAGTCAGGCCAGCAATTTGATCTTTTCAACTTCCCCTTTAAGCAAAGTTTAATAGGAAAGTGACCCTGATGGTTTCTTGAAACCTAAACATGATGCAAAGTGTTTGTCGTCCTGTTTTCCTTCTATTCCACAAGCCATAACATTGTACTGTGGGCAAAACTATTTAAAAATAAAAACTTGCTTTCATTAGAGCCCCTGAGACAATGTGCTACACACTCAAATTCCAACTCCACAATCTTTTAGGCAGCTTTACTGACCAACATTATTAAGCAGCAAATTAAGCACAAGAACAGTACAAAATGCTCTCACAAAAACTATTATTTGTAGCATTGTATGTACTTTGTCTATTTGAAAAAGAAGCCCACTAATTTTACCTGGGCTTACTTAGGAGAAAATATACACAAGATACATGATAGAAAGGGTTTATTATTTGAAGAATGCTTATGAGCAATGAGAAAAGGGCCAACAAAAATGGACAAAGGTTATAATGTGGGTAATTCACCAGAAAAAAATGCAAGACTCTGGGCCTCCTCTGGTGGCGCAGGCAGTTGAACACAGCGCTATGAAACTGTCCGCAGCCTCTGCAGTGCCGGTTGGATCCTGGCCTGCCGGCGAGGGCCCCACATGGCGGGGCAGACCCCTCCTGTCTCACCTGCTGCTCCCCTCAGCAATATATTTCGTCAGTCTGCCTGTTCTATTTCCCGCTCTCTCTGGTGAATCCTCTCTCACCCTCCCGCACATCTGGCTTGCACCCTGGTTCTTGTATAAAATAAATAAATAAATCTTTTTTAAAAATGCGAGACTCATATTTGAAAACATGCTCAACTTTACTCTTATAGAAATGAACATTTTTTAATTGCCATTTTCACCTAGAGGATTTGCAAAGATCAAAAGGTTTAGAAGTACAATACTGGTGGTGATATAAGAGGGCATGGAAACTGGTACATCTGATTTGGAAGGCAATGTTGCAATATCGTTAAAATGTCAGGGGGCATAGTTTAAATATGACATTCTTAGACTTGCCCTCACCACTCTATCAAAAACATCCCCCATTACTGTCTCCAGCCTCTTATTTCCTTCCCAGCATGTTAGTAAATTATATATGTATCTGTTAACTTTTTAAAGTCTGTGTCTCCTTAGAAAGTAAAATATCCGATGACAGATATCAAATCTAACTTGCTCCTTGGCTTCCCCCTAATACAGAACTCTATACTTAGCACCAAGAAACTACCTAGAAAATTTTTTCCCTTTGATCCAATAATTCCACTACCAGGTGACCATTTTTACATGTTCCAAAGGATCCTTTTTTGACCCAGTAATAGTATTTCTACATATGATATAGATAATACACAGGTTTTTCACTACAGTATTGTGTAATAACAAAATAAACATCTTAAATATTCAATAAAATATGGTACTTCCACACACTAGAACTCTGTGAGATCACTTGAAAGAACAAGGTACTTTCATATGTACTGATAAAAAACATCTCCAAGATGTATTGTTAAGTGAAAAAGCAAGGTATAGATATTTGTGTACTGTGTGGTATTGTTTCTAAACATGGATAAGGTATTTGTAACAAGGTGGCTTCCACCAGAGTTTCCAACCTTTGTTGAAAATCTCAAGCTAGTGTGGTCCAATGTATTGGGCTATTAAGCCTCATGTTGAGGTGAAGCCCCCTTTTACATAACACTGTCCTGCCAGATTCTAGAATCCCACCCCCTCACCTTTGGCTCTGTGGGGCTTACCAGGATCTTGAGCTTTGCAAAGGGGCTTACCCAAATGAGATTGTTTATTGTTATGAAGTCTCAGGGTTCAGGCAGCTGTCACCCAGTGACAACAGATCATGAATAGAGTACATTCTAGTTTTCCCAGCATAGGATTAGCCAGTCTCAATGCTAACTCTCTTGACCATATGTCTCCTCCTAATATGATCTTTCTCCAGAGCTCTGCCAACTGTTTCCCCCTCTACCTTTTCATTTCTCCTCCTAGTCTATTGTGGCACCTAATCTACTCTTTGGAAGACTCAGGCACCCCAGATCTCCACCTTTTCCTATTTCTATGGAGAAACCCCATATTCCTTTCAATCAGGTACTTGACCTCTAATAGTCAAGGCCAAACCTTTTTTCAATGTTTGGCTTCTGGCACACATACTTTACTGCTTTTAAAAAATTATTCCAAACTGTCATGGCATTTGTTGGTAATGACATTACCCTGCTTTTCATTCAGGTATCCTCTCCTTCCCCATGTAGACCATAAACAGACCAGGTTTGGTCTAAGTGATTGTTTCCCTGGCAACAGCATACTGTGGGTAGCCATGTGACCAGAACTAATCCAAATTAGGCAGACTCTCAGGATTATCTGGACTCTGAAGACAGTAATATTCTTTCTCTTTTCAGCAGTGGACCAGGAAATATAAAATCTAACTCAGGAGCTTTGGCAGCCCTCTTGTTATTTAAGGGAAACCAGCCTGAAGAGGAAGCTGAAGGTGAAAAAGAAGCCATAGTCCTATTAAAGCTGGGCAGCAAACCTGTCCGCCTGCTGGACTTCTTAGTTATATCCGCTAAACCGTCTTTACTCCTCAGGTTAATTCCAGAAGCATATATTCAGTTAAATCCTTTGCTCTTTCTGAAGTTCTTGAGTCCTCCCTGAGGCAAATGAATGGCTTCATAAGGCCAAAGAGAAGAGTCAGGGCAAGAGGAATTAAAAACAAAACAAAACAAAAAACACTTGGGGATGACAGCGCCTATCATTATCCTGCAATATACTAAAAACTTATGATGGATATAGAAGACAGCAAAAAGAGATTTCTTGGGAGAGAAGAATCAGAGACTGTGTTAAAAGATTACTGATTCTCCCATAGATAGTTCTGAAAACCATGTGCATATACTTTTAGTTAAAAATAACCAAAAAGCTTTCTAAAGAGATCTCAAAATGCAATTTTTTCTTGAGGGACTTATTATTAACATAAGTAGGTACAACAGACCACACAGCCTTTTAAATACTATTTTGGGGATAGAAAAATTGTTTAAAGGCAGGCTGTAATATGAAAACGCTTATTTGTCATCTTTCCCTTTTGTCTTTCTGTATACCATCTCTCGGAAACTGGCTAGGATCTTATTCTCTCTCTTCCGTCGTTCTTCTTGGTTAAAGGATGCAAGGGCTCTCTTCTCATCAGCACTGTAGATCTGGTTCTCTTTACGCAGTCGAACAGCCTCCATTCTGCGATGCCTGCTACCACTCATAACATAACCTGAACATTCAAATGAAGCAATCTCTTCACTCGTGAGCCCGATCTCCCCTCGGCGTGGGATACGCTTCCCGGCTTTGACATACTCAGCCATAGCTGCACCTTCTCCTGGGAGCAGAGCATGGCCATAGTTCAAAGGTTTCTCATCTTGGGAGGTGTGTGTCACAGGCGCTTCTGGACCTATAAGATCCGTGGCATCTGCAATCTTAGGCTGCTTAATCCAGTTATCTTCTGGCAACTCCCCGTCTGAATCCTTATTGCTCGAGTCACTGGATTCTTTTCTTGTTTTCTTACTCTTCTTTTTCTTGGGTTTTTTGGCTCTGTGTTTCCTTTTCTTCTCTTTCTTCTTGGCTTTTTTGGCTCTCTTTTTATCATTACTGGAGCTAGAGTCAGTGTCAGAGTCTGAATTACTGTCACTATTATCCGAGTACTTCCTATGCTTTCTTTTGGACTTTCTCTTTCTTTTTTTCTTGTTTCTTGAACGTCTGGTCTTCTTTTTCCTTTTCCCTTCCGAGCTGGAATCTGAACTGCTGCTCTTTTGAGTCCTTGCCTCTTCATCCTCAACTGGGGTGTGCTCATCAGAGTCCGGCTCAGGAAACTTTGGAGACAGCCCCCACACCTCAGGAGCCCCCAACTCCCCAATTCTTTCTCTTTCTTTCAGCCTCCGCTGCCTAAAGCTCTCCTGCGTCTCCTTCTCGCGGTCTTCCGCCCACTGGCGGTCGCCCGCATAATGGTGGTGGTGATGGTAGCGGTATCCGCCATAGTAGAACGATGGGGACGAGAAAGTATAGTTGCGGAGTCCAGGCTGCCGCTCTCGAGACCCCGTGCCGCTCAGTGGGTAAGAGGCGCCGGGGCCCGACCCACCCCACTGCGGCCTGAGGCCCTCGCGGCCGCAGGAGTGAGGGCGGGAACGGCCGTCCCAAGGGGAGCGTCTGGTCTGCGGGAACGGCGGGCTCCTCGACGAGCTGTGTTGGCGTCTCCAAGAGCCCGGGGTGTCGTCGGGATAACGGGGCCTGGACACTGGCGCCATGAACTGCGCTTTCACAGCCCGCCGAATGGCCAACGCCCAGCGGTTACTACAGAGACCGGAGGGACGCCCGAACGCCTCCGGCGCAGGCGCACAAGCAAAGGTCCCCGCACACGACTTCCGTTTCCGGCCTGTTGCCAGGCGACGACCCAGCCGGCGCATGCGCCTTGAGGCATCTTTGACTGATACTGGAAGTTTCTTACCTGGTGGATAAAGGGGCGTCTCCGCCCCGGGTTTCAGGATTTAGACGTCCCCGTGCAGCACGGGAAACCAGTTTGCTTCAGGCTTATTGACGTTTCCTCCGACGGCAGGATTATCCCAACGAGCCACTCGTGTCCTCTCGTGAACCCAGTTAGCACCTCGCCATCTTGAGGCCACGGAGCCCGCTCCCCACAGCGCCTGGTTCTTCACGCTGTTTCCAATGCAGCTCGTGTGTGTCTTTAGCCTGCAGTGTCCTCTCCTGGGCTATGAGTAGATGTGGGGCGGGGGGAAGATGAGGCGGTAACACAGACGCCAGCATTTATGGAGTGGCCACTGTGTTCTCCGCAAAGTGCTGGGTAGGTGCTTCCACATATTGTTTAATTCAGTCCTCACAATAACAGTTCCTTTCTTGGCCCTGCCATTAGAAAATGCCACAAGCTGAATGACGTAGCAACTGAAATGTATTTATTGATTCACAGTTCTGAAGGTTCAGATCAAGGTGTGGTCGGGATTATTACTTTTTTAAGACTGAGGAAAACGCTCCCCTTCTGCCTTCTGCTGGTTTGCTGGCAATTGTTGTGTACCCTGACCTCTCAATGCATCACCCCGTTCCCTGCCTTCATGGTCACATGGTCTTCTCCTTTGTGTCTCTCTCACGCTTTTCAAATTTCCCATTTTTATAAGGACATCAGTCATATTGTATTAGGGCCCATCCTAATGACCCACTTTATTAATTACCTTTGTTTATCTTGATTACCCCACCACCAAATAAGATCACATTATCAGTTATTGGGGTTTAGGGCACTTAACATACCTTTTTTCTGGGGGGGGGGACACAATTTAATCCAGAACAATAGCCAAATTTGTATAATCTCTGTTTACAAATGAAGAACCGCAATAATAGTAGAATCAGGGCCTCCCTGGTGGCACAAGGGGTTAAGAGGCAATCTATGAGGCTGTCCACAGCCACTGCAGCATGAGTTCGATCCCCAGCCAGGGAGCAACCCATGTGGCACAGCAGACCTCTCCTGTCTTCCCGCTGCACCCTTCAGCAGTGTCTTTCAGTCGGTCTGCCTGTTCTGTTCCCCACTCCGTCTCTGGTGAATCCTCTCACGCCCCTCACCTCTGGCCTATACCCCAGCCCTTGTATGCATAAATAAATAAATCTTTGGGGAAAAAAGTAGAATTAGAGACCTACTCAAAGTCAAGAGACTAGGCTACTTGAATTTTTGTGATTTGTTTATTGGTCATTCCAGAGTCCTCATCTGTGAATTGCCAGTGTAGAAGCCTCATCAATTTTTCTGTTTGATGGTTGGATTTTTTTCTTCCTTATTTGTAGAATATTTATTCTGGATATGTAGAATATTTGTATGTTCTGGATATAGATCCTTAGTCATTGCAAATATCTTCTGTCAGACTTTTGTTTGTCATTTCCACTTGTTTCTGTTATCTTTTGATGTAGTTTTAAATTTTTGTGTCAAATTTACCAGTTGTTTCCCACATATTTGTGTAGTTTGTTTATATTTTTAAAGATTTATTTATGCATACAAGAACTGGGGTGCAGACCAGATGTGTGGGGGGTGAGAGGATTCACCAGAGTGGGGAGTAGAACAGGCAGATCTACTGAAATACACTGCGGAGGGAAGCAGCAAGTGAGACAGGAGAGGTCTGCTGCGCCATGTGGGTTGCTCCCTCGACAGGGATCAAACTCGTGCTACAGTGGCTGCCAATAGCTTGATAGCACTCTCTTTAACCCTGCACCACAAAGGAGGCCCCATGTTTTGTGTAGCTTGTATATTTTAAAAGAAATCCTGCTTTATTGTGTCCTGCTGCAGTTGCTGCGGACAGCTTCATAGGTTGCATCTTAACCCCTTGTACCACCAGGGAGGCCCCCATGTTGTCAATTTCAGTTTGAATTCACACACTACAGGAATAATTTTGGCCTTTCTCTTTTTCATGTTTGTAACTCTGACATGAGAAAACTCAATATCTTAAGTGTATTTGCTTGATTAAGTCTTCCAATGGATAATCAGTTTCCTGCTGTCTTCTTGCTTCTCTCAGTTGGGCTCAGACCTCAAGTGGATGGTTGGTTAATGAGGTCAATAGATGGTAGTTATATTTCAATGTCAATTTCCCTGCCATAGACCCCTCCTAACTGTCATGGAAGAGAGGAAATACCCCCTGTCCTCTCGGGAATATATTCTGAGCTAAGGAATGGGCTGGAGATCTGAAGCTTCAAGGGAGAGAGGATTCAGACTCACATGACAAGGAAAGGGTGACTCAATATGAAGACTCCACACTCTGATATTACGTGTTTACCCTGCCAAATAGATAGATTTCTCCTATAAAAAGTTTATTTCTGGTAAAAACACTAATTCTGGGCAATACCCCAGTTTTCATTCTCCTAGGCAGTTAAGGGAGTGGTAAAATTTTCTCATGAGCCTGCAGGGCCTCTGTTGATCTTAGTTTGAAGTAATCCACATATTACAGTCACACATTTGGGAAGGCCTAGCCTTCATCTCACCAGTGTAAACCCTCTCCTCATTCAGGCTACAACCTCACTCCAGGCTGGGCTGCCTTTTCTTCCACTTTGGCTTTTGGGTTGATTTATTCAGGAAGGAAGGTGGGATTTTGTTTAATTAAAAGAAAATTACTATGGGGCCTCCCTGGTCAGCACTAGTTTCATTCCCGGCGGGCCAGGGAGAAACCCACATGGCGGGACAGACCCGCTGCTCCCCTCGGTGGTGTACTTGCGTCCGTCTGCCTGTTCTGTTCCTTCTGTTCCCCGCTCTGTCTCTGGTGGGTCCTCTCACCCCCCGCATCTCTGGCCTGTACCCCAATTCTTGTATAAAAATAAATAAATCTTTAAAAAAAAAGACAATTACTATGGAATATTTCAAATACATATAAATGTACAAAGACTATTACAGTCACACACCCCTACGCTTCTTAACAGATCAACAACTATCATTATGCTATTTTCTTCCTCTCCTGAATTTGAAGCAAATTCAGACATTGTATCAGTGCAGGTGATGACGTAGTTGCTAAAGGGTTAACTCAGGAATTACCACCGAGAGGCGCTTCCTAGAGATCCCAGGAAGTGGCCCCGATTCCCACGTAGGCTTCCTGTGACCCCGCCTCGGCTTTTTTCCTGTCGTGGAGAATGTCCTGTCTTCCCCGGGACATCCTTGGGGATACTTGTGGGGTCCTGGATGGGTGCAGAGGAGGACGCTGCAGCGGCGCGGGATGTAGGGAGGAATCCGTGCAGCTGCGATCCAGGGTGTTCTGAGCCCCTGGGCACGCAGGGGGAACCACCCGCAGTTTTTCTGGCTAACAGTTATTTCCCACCTTTCAAGAATTTTCTGTAGAAATACAGCTCCCGGCTGGAGTGACACCCCAGGACTGCCAGGATGGCCAGAGAACCAAAGGAAAGTGCAGCCCTGGACGCCCAGTCCGCAGAGGACCGGGCAGGGATTCTGACCGTGAAGGTGAAGGAGGAAACCGCCTCCTTGGCTGCTGAAGCCGGTGCATCCGACAGCCCCGCTTTTGGCCCGGAGCGCTCCCGCCAGCGCTTCCGAGGGTTCAGCTACCCCGAGGCCGAGGGACCCCGCGAGGCGCTGTGCCGGCTCCGGGAGCTCTGCCGACGGTGGCTGCGGCCCGAGACGCACAGCAAGGAGCAGATCCTGGAGCTGCTGGTGCTGGAGCAGTTCCTGACCATCCTCCCCGGGGAGCTGCAGTGCTGGGTGCGGGAGCAGCACCCCGAGAGCGGGGAGGAGGCGGTGCTGCTGCTGGAGCATCTGGAGAATCAGCTGGGCCCGCCCAGACCGCAGGTAGAGGCAGGTGTAGTGTCTGGCAGCGGGTCTATCCCTTCCTAAGCCTCTGGGTCCCCCGGAGGGGCAGCTCCTTGCAATCCAGAAGTTCTCAGGCTCTTTTTGTACCAGGAACCTCTTGGGCAGCGAGGTGGAGGCCCCAGGCCCCTTTCATAATAACATTTTCCTACACATAAAGGAAAGTGCAAAGGGTTATGATGAAACTTTAGTTATATTGATATATAGTTATCAAAACACTAGGCAAATCTGTGATAAAGTCACATGCTTTTTGAAATGAATGCAGGAATGAATAAGAGCTTGGGGCTGGCCTAATCCCTGGGGTGTCAGAGTGGTGAGTGACTGACCTTATTTGCCTGGCTGCCATGTGTCAGGAAAACATCTGCGGTTTCTATTGCTGACAGAGTTCTGGGTGTGCTTATGCCACATTGTTTGTTGCTTCTACTCCTAATGGCAGGGAATACTCAATTTCTCTTAGTAAAGATAAAATTCCTCCCCATTCAGATTCACAAGATACTTGGGAGGGGGTGTGTGGACCACAGCAGGAAGCCCTGGGTGTTCATGAGACTAGTTCCTCTTTGCATTATCCTGTGCCCTCGTGTGTCCCTTTCAGGGTAAACAGAAAGTCTTGTAACTGGTCACCAGCCATCTAAGGTTCTTGAGTTGACTCCGGAGCTCACCAGCCCTGAAACAGTGAGAAATCATTTTAAATCTCTAGCTTAAGGCACTTCGTTCTTTATAGATGATGTGGGAAGTTCTGAGCTGCACATGAACTAATTAATGGTCATGAAAGTGACTTGAAAGCTAATTCATTACAAATGTTCCATTTAGTGGGAACATTCCATGTGCCAGGCCCTGTGTCAAGCGACTTCACATACTGTGATCTTATTTACTGGTTTTCCAGACCCTGTAACTTGAAATTGTTATTGTAATTTTGCAGATAAGAAAAGACTAGTGTTCTTTGAGAACTGAGCACCAACTCTCAGAGTTTCCATAAAAGTGCAGTGTTGGGAGGGAGCAGAGTGATGGCTGGGAGCGTGGGCCCTGGAGCCCTTCTGCCTGTGCCTCGTCCTGACATGCAGTGTCCTGGCATGCAGTGTCCTGGCATGCAGCGTACTAGCTGGAGAGGTTGGGCCCCCTGCTGAAGCTCTGTGCCTCAGTTTCCCCCATTACAAAAATAGATAATAATAGTATAAGGTTGTTGTTATCTGTGTTAAGGGAGTTAATACTCAAAACTCGTAGAAATAGGGCCTGGCATACATAGAAAGCATGATGGGAGTGTCCCAGGAATATAAACGAATGGCTTCTAGGTTCCAGGGGGTGACCGGGGACAAGAACTCCTCTGTTACAAGATGGCCGTGTGGACGCCAGCTCAGAGGTCACGAAGTACTCAGTTTCAGCCAGGAAAGCCTCTGCTCAAGCATGAATCTCTGGGACCCCAGGCCTTGCCAGACCAAGGTGAGGATTCTCCAATGCAGACTTTATCCCATTTCATTCAAGACAGCTCTGTTGAAAGATACTTTATATGCCTGTGACAGGGTACTTTACTTTGAGATTGGGACTGAAAGGGAAATTGCAGACTCTGGTGGGAAGCTTTCCTAACCAAGCCTAGACATAGTAGGACTTTATTAAAATTGGTGTTTGAAAAGGATGGATTTTTTTCTTTTTAACAACACAGTTATCTCTGTCCACTTAATTTATATTCGTGGAGGCTCATGTTGTTGGTAAGCATCCAGTGAGCTTACACTCTAATTTTTAGTATCGGTAACTACTATGAAGAATATAAATAAGCATATGTAAAGCTAGTCAGAATATTCCAGAAAGTGTAGTACTGTTGGTAATCAGTATAAATCTTAGAAATCCTTGGTCTTGTAACAGTAACAGCGTGAGATCACTCATTAGGAAACTACTATAATCTCCCACGTGTCCCCATGTGCGGTGGAGATTTGGGCAGTTCCCAGGAATAACACACTGGACCTGCCAGCCAACGTGCAGTCTTTACTTTTCAACAGAATTTCTAGCCTAAGCTCATTTTTTCAAAAAGATTTATTTATTTATGCATACAAGAGCTGGGGTGCAGGCCAGAGGTGTGGAGGGTGAGAAGATTCACCAGAGAGAGTGGGGAGCAGAACAGGCAGATTGACTGAAATACACTGCTGAGGGGAGCAGCAGGCGAGGCATGAGAGGTCTACTGCGCCAAGTGGGTAGCTCCCTGGCTGGCCAGGGATTGAACTTGTGCTGCAGTGTCTGCAGACAGCTTCATAGGTTGCATCTTAAACCCTTGTGCCCCCAGGGAGGACCCTAAACTCATTTGTTTTCTGTCTCACCAAGTTCACTACTTATAGGAAAACCTGAAGTTATTTTTCTCAAATCTGAGCAGGTTCCATGCAAGCAGACTCCTGTTCCCTCCTTTCCAACTTGACAGTCTTATCTGACTCCTGTTAGTTTTTTAAAACTAAAGCAGGAAAGCCACTAACAGCTACCAAAGAGATTTTCACAACCACCACCAAAATCCTTTTATCCTTCTCCATAAAATTCAAGACTAAAAGGTTTTCCAGTGGAAAGTTTTCTCTGTTTTTTTGTTTGTTTTTTTGTGTGACTCCCATTACACACCCCTACTGAGGATCCTGCCTATGTGTGCTTTCTGTGTCTGTGGTGCACACCTCTCTTAGGCCCTGGGGCTGGTGCTGTAGGAATCAGGTATTTTGGAAAGGCGCACTCTGTATAAACTTCTTGACTGAAATTTATATTCCAGTTTATGAATTGGACTCGGCCTTGGCGTGGCAGGAGTGAATGCCAGGGGCGGTGTCATCCAGAGCTTCTTTCCTACTTAGTTCTCCAGGTTCCTGGACTTGCCCCCGGAGGGCACTGCAGAAGAGAAGCAGTAGGGGCCACCAGGCTCACGCCAGAGCCCCAGGTGAGCTGGAGCCCCCACCTCCCCAGGCGACCAGGACTTCTCCCTGTGGGTGGGCTTTCTAGTCCACCCCTTTCTACCCCCACATCCACTCTCACCCTACAGTCTGGTTTTCTCATCCGTCGTAAGCCTTCCATTGTCTGCCCTTTTCTGGGACCCACTTCATATGGTTTCCTCTTTTACTCCTGGTGGAGGACAGTGTGTACGCCCCACCTCTCCTACACCCCATCTAATTGTTCTTTATCATGGGATTTTCTTCAACAAGAGAAGTTAATTCAAGTAAAAGATTTTGTTGTGCTGGTTAATTAATTGTATTTTTTTTAAGGCACCATAAACTGTGTTTTTAGTAGGGAAAGACCAGGTCTCTGCCCTCTAGAAAGGTGAACTTGAAGAAACAGATGAGGCCCGTCCTTTCAGTCTAAAGTTTGGTTCCATTGGAACAATTTTTACCTGACCTGGATTTTCATTTCTTACCCAGTCTTCCATGCTCTGCTTGAAAATCTCAGTGGTTGAAGCTCTGTCATACCCACATTCCCCATGAATTCTGTCAACTCAGGCCTAGATTCACTATATGTTAAAAGTTAATATAATTGAGCCCCTTCTCTCCTTGGCCACAGTACATCACAAAGCGTTTGAAAGGCTTTGACAATTCCACATCTCTCTGCGTGGCCACACATTCTCACCTCTGGACTGTTTAGTCGTGCAAAAGAGCTACTCCTCTGTAATAATTCTTTCATTCTGAAGAATAACCATTTTCAAAAAGTGGTTATTTTCGTGACAGCAAGGTTAGAGGGGTAGGGATAAATAGATGTGTCCCCCACGTGTTGTCTTCTCAAGCCCCTTTAGGGGGAACATTTGTTCTTCACGTGGAGCTTCGGGAGTGATGTTGAGCAAGAAGAACTCAGTGAGGTTTTGGTTATTTTAGGGGGTGCTGAAAATGGAAGATGTGTCCCTGCCTCTCGCCCCTGGATGGACACAGCTGGACTCGCCCCACGTGAACTTTTGCCGAGATGCAAGGCAGGACTGCGGCAGCCTGGTCTCCCCCGGTAAGGCGGGCCCTGCTTCTCATGTGCTTTTTGCATCCTCTGTATTCACGCTTCCAGGGCTGCGAGAAGCCACTTCAGTTTTTTTTTGTTTTTTGTTTTTTTTTTAAGATTTATTTATTTATTTATACAAGCACTGGGTACAGTCAGAAGCACGGGAGGGTGAGAGAATTCACCAGAGCCAGAGCGGGGAGCAGAGCAGGCAGAAGGACCGAAGTACACTGCTGAGGGGAGCAGCGGGCGGCAGGAGAGGTCTGCGCGCCATGTGGGATCCTCCTCCGGTGGCCGGGGAGCAGCCGGGGATCGAACCGGCACTGCAGAAGCTGCGGGCAGCTTCGCAACCCAGTGCTTAACCGCTGCGCCACTGGGGAGGCCCAAGCCACTTCAATTTTCACTGGGTTCAGAACACGGTTTCTGAGGCGCAGCGATTAACCAGCCTGTGACTGGCTTTGTAACCAGTAACCACCGAGTCTCACTTCTGCTCAGCTCTCCTCCCAGCATTCCGGCCAGTTGAGGGGTTGAAGCAGATCCTGCTCATAGTAGGTGCGGGTGTGGCGCATAGTAGGTGCCTGTGAGTGTCCACTTCCTTCCTGCGGCCTGCCTGACAGTGCACAGTGTGGGGTCTCCTCAGGGAATGTTGGTAGAAAACAGCGTTTTGCTGATGGTCAATTCAGGATGCCCGAGTACAGCACCAGAGCTCAGCGAGGAGGGCGCACGCGCAGGTCGCCAACTGACATCTGGAGTCACACAGCCCCCCGGGCCCAGCGGGCCCTCCAGCTCAGGCCACCCCCCGCCAAAGCCTATTGTTTGGGGACCCACCTGACTGGGACAAGAGCAGAGGTGGAGGTTCTTGTCACAGGTGAACACTCAGTCCTGGGTGCTCACTTGGCTGTTGCTTCCAGAACACTCCAGAAGTCCCTCCACTTGCCTTGTTCACTGTGGCCTCTGCCCAGTCCTTTCAGTGTGTAATCTGGGGGACACGGGCTGCCTCCCCGTCTTAGAGTTCAGAGCCTGCCCAGCACAGACTCGGTCCTCCCTCCCCCCGCTCCCGTCCACTCTCTCCTTCCCACTTTGCATCTTTCTTCTCAGGCCTCCCTCCTCCCCAGCACCCCCATCCTTGCTCCTGACTCCCCTCCTTGTTGCTGCCTGAAACCCTCCCCGTTGGCATCCGTGACCTCTGTCCACTGCCTCCCTGGCCCTCACCAAGGGCCGTCCCGGGCCGCGATGACAGCTGCTGCCATTTGTGGTTTCAGGTGGGGACGTGTGCACTAAGCTGAGGGGCTCACCTGGGGACGAGGGCCCTCCGGAGAAGGAGGCCAGGCAGAGCCCATGCCCCCCAGGGGGAGCCACGGGCCAGATGTCTCCCTGCGCAGAAGTTGGTGAAAAAGAGGGCGGGTTCCACAGAAAGCAGAAACGGGCCCTTGGGAGCAGGCGGCACATTTGCCACGAGTGTGGCAAGAGCTTTGCTCAGAGCTCAGGGCTGACTAAGCACAGGCGGATCCACACCGGGGAGAAGCCCTACGAGTGCGAGGACTGCGGGAAGACCTTCATTGGGAGTTCGGCCCTGGTCATCCATCAGCGCGTCCACACGGGAGAGAAGCCCTATGAGTGCGAGGAATGTGGCAAAGTCTTCAGTCATAGTTCAAACCTCATCAAACACCAGCGGACGCACACTGGGGAGAAGCCCTACGAGTGTGAGGACTGCGGCAAGACCTTCAGCCAGAGCTGCAGCCTCCTGGAACATCACAAAATCCATACCGGGGAGAAGCCATACCGGTGCGCCGTGTGCGGCAAGGCCTTCCGGAGGAATTCCCACCTCCTGCGGCACCAGCGGATCCATGGCGCTAAGCACACGCCGCACCCCCAAGCCGGAGACGCCTGGGAGGGCGAGAGCAGGGTGCAGAGCCAATGGGAAGACATTGGGGCCCCGGCGTCTCATCAGTGTAACACATGCGGGAGGAGTTTCACGCAGAATAGAAGCCTCCTTGAGCATCAGAAGATCCACACCGGGGAGAAGCCCCATCAGTGTGATGTGTGCGGCAGAGGCTTCACCCGGACGTCATACCTGCTGCAACACCAGAGGAGCCACGTGGGGAAAAGAATCCCGCCCCAGTGACCTGCCCCTCCCAGATCGTCCTCTGAGGGGCTCTTAAGGTGAGGCCTCCTCTTGGGTATCTGGCGCCTCTCACCAGCTCCAGCTTCTCAGGCTCTGGGAGAACAGACCCTCCCTCCATAGCCCTGGGAACCCTTCCTGCTGTGGACCCGGCCTGGGGCTTAATTAGCCTCAACAGCCTCAGCTGTTTGTCAGAAAACAAGAGTTTGGCTGAGATGAATTATCTTCTGCATTCTAGAAGGTGATCGGTAAGACCTGGCTTGCCAGGAGGCTGTGAGAGAACTGTCTGGAAGAGGTCGAACCTGGCATGGTTGATTCTTACCTGTTGGACTTGGAGGTGCTCCAGGCTGGCCAATGCCCTCAGCCGGCACTTTCTGCCCGCTGGGTGGGTGCTCCCCTGTGGGGCTGCTGCTCTGGGCACACATGTTGCCCAACAGAATCCTGCTCCAGTTGATGGGTCAATGGACCATGTCCCCCCCACCCCCCATTGTGCCTTGCGTACAGGTGCTATTATCATTTATTAAATATGCCAGTGAAATGACACTCAGCATTCTGAAATCCAGTGTTGTCTAGATTTCTAAGGAATTTCTCACTAAGGTCACTTGTGTTTGGGTTCCAATTCTTGAAGGTTCTAGATTCCAGGTTGCCATGCAACCATCCCAGGCTGGGTAGGTTCACTGTTGATTCAGGCAAATGGAAAAAGAATCTTGGAGCCTAGGTATATCTGACATGCCTTTATCGCTGAAACGGGATGGGATACACATGCAAATCAGGGTGTCCATTTTTACAGGTGCAGGCGCACCGTGTTCTCTGGCTTCTTGGCATGGGTATAATTATAGGTGTGTGTGCCTGCTGCTTATGGTCCCAAGTGCTTTCTTACAATAACACAATATGACTTGTGGGTAATGAAACCTAGAAAGAAACAAAGCTGCAGGTGGTGGTGCAGAGACTGGCGGTGAGAGGTAAATAAGAGCCTGAGTTAATCCCTGTTTCTTACACAGTTCAATCTAGTGTATTTATTGCCAAGTATATATGGTTGTTAGATGGGGGAAGAATCCGTCTGCACAGTATGGTGCTTCCAGTAAGAATGCCTTAAACTACTATGTCATTAAGACATTGTGAGACAGCTCTACCCACAGAACCCCACTCTACTCAGTTATTTCACATTTTCTATTCTTTAGAGAGTAACCTTTCATGTTCAGGTAAGTAGAAATCAATCAAGGCACAGAGCAAGTCTATAAATTTTGATATAAATTCTGTGATGTCCACCAGCTCGTTGCTCACCCTCTCCTGATCTTGGCCTAACCTAGTGCCAGGGCACCTTCCTCCCAACTTAGAGCCAATATTGCACTCAGGCTTTGCCAACTAAGTTTAACTTCTTCACATCAGAGGTGTCACATCAAATATTGATAACAGGTGTCATCCATGTTTTTGAAACTGCTCTTTGGTTTGGGGACAGGGAGACAGGGTCAGAGGCAGCCAATGAGAGAGGTGCTCAAATACGGGCAGGAGAAAATGTGTGTTCAGTAGCACACTGAGAATCCTGAGTATCTGACAGAAACAGTTCTACAATATCCAGATGGTCAACAGGTGCAGTCAAGACTATGTTGTGAGAATCACAACAATTTTGTGATTTCTTCTCTTTTCACCCAAATCACCTTCTACTGAGCTCTTCAAAGATTGGTAACTTTTTCCTAGGTGTCTGCCTGTCACCAGCTTCCAGCTTCTCAGGCTCTGCAAGAACAGTCCGTGCTTCTGAGGAAATCCCTGACCTTGTTCTTTCTGTCCTCATGTCCCTTTTCTGGGTTTCTTCCCGGAAGAACCAGGGCTGGTTGGGGAAACCACAGGCCTCTCCCTTTGTCACTTCCCCACCAGCTTCCATGACCTTCAATATTGCCCCACTGCAATCTAATTTAAAATTCTTTAGCTTTCCAAATTTCTATCAACTTTCTCCAGTTAATACTTTCAGCCCTTATTATCTCCTTTTAAATTGATCTACATTAATCTAAATCCACAAAGCTAGCCATTTTTTTCTTTCATTTTTAATCTTTCCTGAAAATCTGTTATTAATAGCCTTGATCTTTTTTTTTTTTTTTAAATTTTATTTATTTAATTTATTTATTTATACAAGCACTGGGTATAGTCAGAAGCGCGGGAGGGTGAGAGAATTCACCAGAGCCAGAGCGGGGAGCAGAGCAGGCAGAAGGACCGAAGTACACTGCTGAGGGGAGCAGCGGGCGGCAGGAGAGGTCTGCGCGCCATGTGGGACCCTCCTCCGGTGGCCAGGGAGCAGCCGGGGATCGAACCGGCGCTGCAGAGGCTACAGGCAGCTTCACAGCCCAGCGCTCAACCGCTGTGCCACCAGGGGAGGCCCAATAGCCTTGATCTTAAACACTGATTTTCTTTGGCATTTAATTGTTTCTTGTGTCCTAGGAAGAGATACGTGAAAGCCTTTTACAAACCAGAGAGCATTCTACACAGATAACACTGAGATTTAAGAAGGTTTTCTGTGTATCCTTTAAAAGCCTTCTCCGTAGAGCAGGGAAATGCTGTAGAGAAGTACTTTTAAGTGCCTGTTATTGGCAACAAGGGAAAGGCGAGATCATGAGCACATGGCTAGTATGTGCTTGGGCCTAGGCCTTCATTATAAAAGGTGCTAAGACTCACACACAAACAAGGCAGCACCATGAGGAATATCTTGTAGATGTAACCAAGGCCGTGGGAGTTCAGGGAATGTAGAGGTCACGTCGGGCTTTGTGGTTCACTGCAGGGACAGGGTGACACGCTGGAGAGCTGAAAAGACTAATAGTTTGTCAAACTTAGTAACAAAGGCAAGTTTGAAGAGGTCGGCATGTTGTAGGGGCCTTCAGTGCTGGAGCAAGGAGCCTCATTCAGTTTTACTCCGGAAGCACTAGCAAGCTGCAGACATTTTAGGATTGGAATCCCATCTGGGGATAGGAAAAGACCTGGCAATATTGGGTAATTTCAAAGAGATTACTTGCTAGCAGTCTTACAGATGTTCTACTTTTTGTATAACATAAAGGTGTTATACAAAAATAAATAAGTGAGTTATGTAATGGATTTAATTCTGCCTAATTAAAAGGTTGGTCAAAAATTATTTTGATGAAATTGGAGTATAATAAGCAGGTTAGTTAAAACGATACGCAGCGTATATAGTGGAGCACGGGGCCACTTGTCATGCTTTTTAAAATTGTTTTAGGAATTTTAGTGTTGACTAGCCAATCTACCTCATGTCACCACAAGCAGTGCAGAACTCCATGTCCCGCTTCCTTCTACATGAAGGAATAGCTGGTTAGAGCCATTTTTTTCTAATAAATCAAGTTACCTTGGCACCTATTACTAGAACACCAAACATTACTGCGTTCCCTTTTTCTGTGTTCACAGCCATTCAACCAGCAAACCCAACTGTTTATGTCATGTCTGTGCTCAGACATTATGGAATTAAAGATGAGTATGAATGAACATGCCTTTGAAGAATCTGAGCACTCTCTCTGTTCTTACATGCTAACTTTTCATGTGTGGTTCTGCTTTCAAAGTAGATTTAGGGGGCCTCCCTAGTGGCACAGGCATTAAGACGCAGCACTATGAAGCTATCCACAACCACTGCAACATGAGTTCGATCCCTGGCCAGGGAGGTAACCCACATGGCACAACAAACCTCTTCTGTCTCTCTTGCTCCTCCCCTCAGCAGTGTATTTCAGTCAGTATGCCTGTTCTGCTCCCCGCTCTGTCTCTGGTGAATCCTCTCACACCCACACTTCAGGCCTATATCCCAGTTCTTGTATGCATAAATAAAAAAATCTTTAAAACAAAACAAAACAAAGTAGATTTAGAAGCCGGTCATTTCTAAGGTAGCATCTCTAATGTTGCCAGCCTGGCTTGAGCTACTGTTTCTCTGCCACTGTGAACAATAGTTTAACAAATGAATCTCTGCTTCTACCTTCATTCATCTGAGTCTCTTCTCTGTGGCCAGCCAGGGCTATCCTTTTGAAATTTAAGTCGGAGCACACATTCTCTCATTCAAAACCCTGCAGTGCATCCCATTTTCATCCAAATTAACAGCCTAAGCCCTACAGGCACCACAAGGGCTCTTCACAATCTGACTTCCTGTTCTCTCTGGCCTGTCTCTCATCCTTTCCCTCTGCTCGCCTGGTCCCAACACATGGCCTTCTTGTTTCTTCACTACACAAGCCAGCAGCCACGGGGCTAACTTCTTCACCCACCTGCTTTAATTCCACTCATGCCTTCCTTTCAGTAAGACTTCCCCAGTGGCACAGCGGTTGAGCGCTGGGTTGCGAAGCTGCCCACAGCCTCTGCAGCGCCGGTTAGATCCCCGGCTGCTCCCCGGCCACCGGAGAAGGGTCCCACATGGTGCGCAGACCTCTCCTGCCGCCCGCTGCTCCCCTCAGCAGTGTACTTCGGTCCTTTTGCCTGCTCTGCTCCCTGCTCTGGCTCTGGTGAATTCTCTCACCCTCCCACACTTCTGACTGTACCCAGTGCTTGTATAAATAAATAAATAAATCTTTAAAAAAAAAAAAAAAAAGACTTCATATCACCTTAAATGTAACACTAAACCTGTCAACACACTAGCACCCCTGATCTCCCCTCAGTCTGCTGGGTTTTTTTTTTTTACATTATCATTTTATCACCTCTAGCATACTTTATTACATACTTATTTATTGGGTTCATTGTCTGACTACCTCAACAACAAAGACAAAGCTTCAGTAAGGTAGGGATATTTGTGTCTTCTCTATTCATGTATCCAAGCCTACCAAGTATTTCCAACCACACAGTAGGTGCTTAATAAATATTTGTTAAATAAATGAATGAATGAATGCAGCAGTGTTTTTATGTTCTCACACACCATGATCAGAATCAATATTTTCAATACCGGAGAACACAAACCACATTTCCATCTATCCTCTGGTGTTCGGTGTAGTTGTGGCAGGTTAGGTTATATTATCATCCCTTCAGACAGGGTTATACAAATATTAACAAATTAGAAAATATAATGATTATGATGTCAATAAAAAATTAGATACTCCAGAATAAACTTTTTTTTTAAAGATTTATTTATTTGTTTATGCATACAAGAGCTGGGGTACAGGCCAAAGACGTGGGAGGTGGGGAGGGGGGGTGAAAGGACTCACCGGAGACAGAGTTGGGAACAGAACAGGCAGACTGACTGAAATACACTGCTGAGGGAGGCAGCAGGAGAGGTCTGTTGCGCCATGTGGGTAGCTCCCTGGCCGGCCGGGGATTGAACTCGTGCTGCAGAGGCTGCGGATTTGCTGCCTAGTGCAGTGCTTAACCCCTTGCGCCACCAGGGAGGCCCCAGAATAAACTTTTAAAAAAAATGTATGAAAACTTTAAATTGTTCCTGAGATACACAATATAAAGCAAAGACATTAAATGGGAAGACCAATGGCATGCAGAATTCACTTTTCCCAGCTTATAAATTTAATATGTAATCACAAAATACAAAATGTTGATAGCCTTTTGTTTTGAAGTCAAGCTGAGTCTAAAGCCCATTTGGAAAAATAAACAAGTCAGGTGAACTCTAGGAATGAAAAAAGCCAAAAAGAGTGACCTAGGCCTTAAAACGGAAAATTAAAACATCAGGATACAGGTTAACATCAAGGCTCAAGGGAAGGGACTGTGATCAAAAGGACCATAAAAGGGACTTTATAGCCATGATCTTCTACTTTTTAGTATATGGACTTCTACATTATTCTTTCAACTCAAACCATCACATACGTTTGCATATGTATTTCATAAAACTCTAAAAATTTTAAAGACATTATAAAGTCTGAATATTAAATTATGTGGTAGAAAAAGATTTAAAAAATTTTATAGAATGTTGAGAAGTAGACCAAACACCTAAAATAATGTAGGAAATGATGAGAATGGTATGTCACATCAGTAGAAGTATGGACTAATAATAAATGAAGTTGGGGCTACTGGGTAACTTTCAAAAAAAGTTGGATCCTTACCTCTACCTCAGGGTAAATTAATCAAAAAATTAAATAGGAAGGGCATCCCTAGTGGTACAAGGGGTTAAAAGGCAGCACTATGTAGCTACTGGCAACCACTGCAGCATGAGTTCAATCCCTGGCCAGGGAGCTGCCCGCATGGCACAGCAGACTTCTGTCTCCCCACTGCTCCCCTCAGCAGTGTAGTTCAGTCAGTTTGCCTGTTTTGTCCCCCACTCTGTCGCTGGTGAATCCTCTCACACCCTACACCCCTGGCCTACACCCCAGTTCTTGTATGCATAAATAAATCCGTAAAAAAAAATTTAATAGGAAACACTAAAGGCATAAACTTGAAATCTACACAGGGAGGAAATTTTTTTGTTCCAGACCTCAGTCATACAAAGAAGTTTGAAGAGATTTCAAACAGTAGTTTTCATTCTATCTTACCTGGGTGGTGGTGGGGTTCCCTGATGTGGCCTTGTACCCAGTATATAAATGACATTATAGTACTGATGATGTGATGGAAAGCACTTAGAGAGTCTCAGGTGACTGAGGGTAAAGGAGGAAGTCTGAGAACACCAGAGTGAAGCATGATACTGTCAACAGACTGGGATTTGGAGTCAGCAGCCAAGGGTTTAACTAAAAAGACACAATGGTAGGTGTTAACTTTAAGGGAAGTTGGGTGAAAGGGATATGGAAACTCCATCTATCTTGGCAACTTTTTAAGGTTTAAATTTTTAATTTTATAAGTCTAATCAAAATAAAAACACTACTAAAAATAAGTCCAGGGTATAACCCTTGGCATGGATGCTTAGAGATCCTGAGTCTTCGACGCCTCCTCTAATACTTTACTGTGTGCTTCTTGCCAGGACCAACTGGGGTTAGGTAACTGGAAACATTCTGCAAACACTGGAGCAGGCAGCCCACAGGTAGGTCCATGAGAGGGTCAGGTGGGTGTTGAAGGGAAGCAGTGAGATGGAAAAGGGTTTACCATGTAGGTCCTGCTTACTGGGAACACCAAAGACCCACATATTGTTAACCATCAGCAGATTCCTAGGTGATCTTTAATTAAACACAGAGACAGCTCTATCAGGCATGTTGGCTACAGCAAGGCTGTTCTGATATTACTGGGAAGGTTTAGAGTATGTAAGAGAGATGGTATAGGAAACAAAGGTAAAATAGCATTTAAAAAAAAAAAACAACCCCATGGGGCCTCCCTGGTGGCGCAAGGGGTTAAGACACAACCTATGAAGCTATCCGCAGCCACTGCAGCACACATTTGATCCCCGCCCAGGGAGCTACCCACATGGTGCAGCAGACCTCTCCTGTCTCCCCGCTGCTCCCCTCAGCAGTGTATTTCAGTCAATCTGTCTGTTCTGTTCCCCACTCTGTCTCTGGTGAATCCTCTCACCCCCCCACACCTCTGGCCTGTACCCCAGTCCTTGTACACATAAATAAATAAATACAATCTTTAAAAAAAAAAACCAAAAAACCCAAATCTTCCTCTTTGGATATCCCCAGTAAGTCAGTGTTTGTTCTAAATGCACTTCATGGAGACAGGAAGAAAGGCATTTTCTAGTCTAAAACTAACCCACCTGACTTGGCCACTGATCTGGGAAATCCGCACATGGCAAGGACTAGACCATCTCGGCCACTGTGTGTATCTTCTGGTGGCGGCTGAGGTTGCAGTGGTGGTTAAAGCTTTTCCCACACTTGTTGCACTGGTGAGGTCGCTCCCCTGTGTGACTTCTCTGATGCTCAATGAGAAAGGATCGCCGACTATAGCTCTTCTCACACTGGCTGCAGTGATAGGGCTTTTCTCCCTTGTGAATTCTCTGATGCTGGATGAGCCCCGCACTCTGGCTGAAGGCCTTCCCACACTCCTTGCAGTGGTACCGCTTCTGTATGTTGTGGATGCCTCGGTGATTAAAAAGACCTGAACTCCGACTGAAGGTTTTCCCACACTCATTACATTCATAGGGTCTTTCTCCAGTATGAATTCTTTGATGTCGAATCAGACCTGAACTCTGAGCAAAACTTTTCCCACATTCATCACATTTGTGTGATCCCTTTTCTGTGGGGTTTCTCCAGGGCTGCTCTATCTGGCCAACTTCTGTACATTGGGGGTCCTGGCGTGGTACCTCCCAGGTCTGTCCATAAAATACTTTCCCACGTGGCTCCACTCTCTTAGGACAGTCTTTCCTCAGCACCAACTCTCTGTCCCCAGTCTTGGTCATTCCATCTGAAACAAGACCAGGTCAATGTCACTGGTTCCCTGAGCCTGTGGGGTCACCATGTACACAGAAATACAATGTACTTATCACATGACATAACCCTACATCAGAGTAGGGAAGTCTGAAAGAGAAGGACCAGTACAGTAACATCTTCCTCTTGGTAACCCCAGAAGTTTGCCCTCCTTGGCAAAATGCAGCTCAGTCCATCCCCATAAGGACTGTGCTGGAGAGAATTCCACATACTTCTCCAAGGAGATGGAATCATAATCTAGCAGACTTCTCTGGTGTGTGCCCTTCGGCCTTCCCCCTTCCCTCCTTCTGAGGTAGCAAGCCTCCAGGTGACCAAGGCCAGTTACCTCTTATATTCATTCATTCATTCATTCATTTATGGAACAAGAATTAAGCTTCTACTATTCTAGATGCGTCAGGTAGGATTTTGTGATTTTCAAATCCACAACCATCCCAGGTGCATCCCCAGCGCAAGGTCTTTGCTCTGGCTCATCTCCCTTCCTGGAAAGCCCTCACCTCAGATAACCCTGGACTCACTTCCCCACTTCACTCAAGTTTTCTCTCAACTCTTGCCTTCTTAACTCTTCCACTTATACTACAATGTGTTTGTCCCAACCATAGCCTCATCATCCCCCTTTCCCTGTTCTATTTTTGCTTTATTTCACAGCACTCCCTTTCTAACATACACATCATCTCCTTTTCGTGTATTTATTATGTCTCCCCTTTTCTACATTTTAATCCCCAGTGGAGCAGGATCTTTCTGGCCTATTCCCCGAGAATGATAGTAGTTGTGTTACCAAAACCCAGCCACCTCAGCGGGGGAGCAGGCAGTAGCAGTGGTGCTCTCCCACTCTGCCGCTCCACCACAGGTCAGTTGTGGCAGTTGCTCCTCAGAGCCCAGCAACGGCCCTTTTACTTCCTGGATCATGGAGTGGACTAAACAGGTCCAAGCTATTAGCTGATTGATGCCAATGGTCCAATCAGCCACAGGATTGAAAAATGGTCCAATCAGACTTGTGGGTGTGGCACCCTGAAAGAGAATATAAGCCAGGGTTAGAGGGAGCTGAGAAACTGTTCCAGCCTCTGAAGAAATAAGAAGACTCAGTTCCTGGCTTCTGAGAAAGGGGAAAGAAGAAACACCAGAAACTGAAAGAAAGAAGAAAGCATCCAACAGCAGACCTCTGAAGAGGGAAGAGAAGCTGAAGGCCTCCCTCAGAGATGGGGCCTCTGGTCCTGTCTCTGACCTGGCCTGAAAGGAGCACCAAAGGCTCCTTTGTGTTAACAAAGAGCTGTTAACACTCAGTGTCTTTGACACCGAGGAACAAGTAGTGACCATCACCACTGGCCAGTGCTGTCTTGCACTCCTGGTGAGTGGTACTTTGCTTGGACTACTGGTGGACACTATCTGGGTGACAGCAGGCCACTTGTGGCTATAGTAAGCTCTTTGTTTCCTGTTTGTAAATTAAACCCCATAGCTGTTCCCGGAGCCTGAGGTCTCTTGCAATTGTGCATGCAGGTGAGAACCCACAGACGGTGACCTGTCCTCTTATTGGGCACTGTCCTTTGTTTGGCTCTAGCCCACAGGCCCTCTACATGGGTGTTGTATTGCTATAGCTCTTGGTTTTGGTTTTTGGCCTTTAGGGGCATTTTGGTTGCTCTCTTGTCTTCTAGCCTGGGCAGATGGGTGGCCATTCCAGCCTCTCCTGGTATCCCATCCTCCTGCCCTCCTGCCTCTATTTCAGTTGCTCAGTGAATACTGACTGACTAAATAAAAGAGAAAAGATTTAAATCAATCCTCAACTCACTGGCCTCAACTCACTGGCTCAGGACTAGCCCCTGAGGGAAGGATGCTCCAGAGGATTGGTCCACATCGGATAGTGTCCCACCAACCCCATCAGACCCTCTCTACTTGGAAGAGACAAATGGGCCCCACCTGTCTAGACACCACAAAGTAGCTGTTGCGGTATCCTTCGAATATCTGCAGCTTTCCAGTTGATTCCCATCTTGCAACACAAAACATCCCTACCTTTCACCAAAACATCTGGCTCTTTCACCCACATTTTACTGTATTGCCCCCCACACACCTCTTTGGACTCCTCTATTGTTACACCACAGTTCTCCTCCTTTTAGCTGGGAGAAGACAACAGTTTGGAAAACGGAAATTTGTCTGCAGAGTAGAAAAGGACCAAAAGTGGGATCGGTATTGCCCTTTTGCCCAAACTTCTTATTTATATCTGAAATGTACAAGGAACCAGTAGAATAATGAAGACACTACTTAGCCTTTTAATAACTACAACACCTGGGCCTCCCTGGTGGTGCAGTGGTTGAGCGCTGGGCTGTGAAGCTGCCCGCAGCCTCTGCAGCCCCGGTTCGATCCCTGGTCACCGGAGAGGGTCCCACATGGCACGCAGACCTCTCCTGCCGTGCCTGTTGCTCCCCTCAGCAGTGTCCTCCATCTGTCTGCCTGTTCTGCTCCCCACTCTGGCTCTGCTGAATTCTCTCACCTTCCCGTGCTTCTGACTGTACCCAGTGCTTGTATAAATAAATAAATCTTTAAAATAAATAAATAAATAACTACAACACCCATGACTTAGTACTTTCATACAGTATCAAACTAACTCAATAAAGACCCTTTGATATTATAATATTATGATACCTCTTTAAAGAAATGAGGAAAATAAAGATATATAACTAGATAAACTATATAGAGAAAGTTTGGAAAATACACTGCTATTTGGCAGGTATGGTTACTCCTGGAGATGACATTTGGAGGAGAACTTTTCCTTTTTACTATGTAAAAGTTCTGTATTATTTAGTTTTTTTTACAATCCACATGAATTTGAAAAGAAACTCAAACTCAGTGTTATAAAGTTTAAATATTGCCTGGCTAAAAAATGGACGAGCTGTAACATAGATTCCTTTTAATCTCAAATACTATTTTGCTTTATAGAAGTTGCTTTTCCTGAGTTTACAACACACACCTTCCTACAGGTAGAACTCTTCTGTCTGTAGATGCCTGTTGGATACTCCCCTGTAGTTGTTGTAGATGCTTAATAAACATTTGTGGAGTGAATGAATGACTAAGTGGGTGGTTGGATGGAAGGGGGATAAATTCACTCAGAAGTGCTTCCTGGAAGAAAGGCTTCTCAGCAAGGTCCTAGACACAGTGGGAGGTAGAGAGAAGATGGCTAGAAAATATGAAGACCAAGTTCATAGGGAGAAGAAGAAAAAACAAAGGAACTGATTGGAAAGATGCCCATAAAGCAGGAAAATGAAACCAGAAGGAATCTTGATCTGGTCAGATGGTGGGAGCCAGAGGAAGGTCTGTGAGTGCACAGAATTTACTCAACAGAGTATTTCAATTTAAATTGAGGCAAGCTCCAAAGTGACAGAAACTCAGGATAACTTTGTAATTGTTAAGATAAAGAAATAAAAGCAGGAGACAGAGTCAAGGGAAGTCTGGCTTTCACACACATGGGGATGACATGAAAATGAAAATAGGGCCTCCCTGGTGGCGCAAGGGGTTAAGATGCAATCTATGAAGCTGTCCGCAGCCTCTGCAGCATAAGTTCGATCCCTGGCTAGGGAGCTACCCACATGGCGCAGCAGACCTCTACTGACTTACCCACTGCTCCTCTCAGCAGTGTATTTCAGTCAGTCTTCCTGTTCTGTTATCCCACTGTCTCTGGTGAATCCTCACCCTCCACACCTCTGGCCTATACCCTAGTTCTTGTGTGCATAAATAAATAAATCTTTAAAAAAAAAAGAAAATGAAAATAACAGAACTGCACTACAGATTGATTGCCAGAAGGTTAACAAAAACTCAGAAAGGAACTGTGATGTTATGTGTGGGGAATTAGACGGAAGCTCAGGGAGACTTAGAATGGGAAGGCAGCTTGCTCAGCCTTAGTTCTTCCACCACTAAAATTACAGGAAAGGACTGGCAAAGTCTGATCCCACTGGGTTCTCCCATCCAGTCTCCACCTACTAAACACACCTTTCTACTGCAGCTGTAAATCTATACCCACAAGGGTGGCACTGATAATTTCTGATCAGAGCAGCTACCATCTATTACTAATGCACGTCGCATACTCTTCATAAACTGTATTTGATGCTCACAATAACCATGTGAGGTTCTTACTGGTCTAGACAGCTGAGCTCTCTTGCTCCCCGCCCCATCCCAAGCACACATATGCCCATGCGAGAACACAGCAAGGTGGTCATCTACAATCCAGGAAGAGATATCTTACTAGAAACCAATTCTGATGGCACCTTGACCTTGAATTTCTAGTCTCCAAAACTATGAGAGAACAAATCCCTGTGTTGAAGCCACCCAGTGTGTGGTATCCTGTTACGGCAGCACAAGCAAACTCAAACAATGCTGTCATCAAGCCCATATGTGTTAGGCTCCTGCAGCCATAGAAGGGAGACACTGTTGTCCTGCCGACGGACATTATCCGAAGACACTTGAGGTCTCCCTTGCGCTTTTAGTCTAAAAACTCAGCTTCAAAACCATCTGCTGGGCTTCCCCTGGTGGCACAGGAGGTTAAGCACCATGCTGTGAAGATGTCTGCAGCCTCTGCAGCGCCGGTTCGATCCCAGCTGGCAGGGGTCCCACATGGCGTGGCAGACCTCTCCTGTTCTGCCCGCTGCTCCTCTCAGCAGTTTATTTCCTCAGTCTGCCTGTTCTGTTCCCTGCTCTGTCTCTGGTAAATCCTCTCACCCTCCCGCGCATCTGGCCTGTACCCTGGTTCTTGTATAAATAAATAAATCTTAAAACAAAAACAAAAAAAAAACCATCCGCTGTGGTTACAGTCTTCATTTCACTCATGAGTGAGGGACTCAAAAACCCACTCTTGCCACTGTCTCTCACCTTTCGCTCCCATAGGATGAGGCTGCAGAGCAGGGTCACATGTGGGCTGGGCCTCCTTCGGCTGGGAGTGAAGATTCAGTGGTGTCTGCTGTCCCAGAAGCACTGTCTCTTTAGAGAGAACTCCTTGTCTATGACTGTGGGTTACCATCTGGGGACAAAGTGACAAGATTTGACTTCTGAAGAAGTTAAGTCTCTAAAGAAAAACCCTTCCAGGGGCCTCCCTGGTGGTGCAGGGGTTAAGTGTCAGCGCTATCAAGCTATCGCCAACTACATGCCTCAGTTCAATCCCCGGCCAGGGAGGAGACTCACAGAGCACAGCAGACCTCTCCTGTCTCCCCACTGCTCCCCTCAGCAGTGTGTTTCAGTTGATCTGCCTGTTCTGTTCCCCACTCTGTCTCTGGTGAATCCTCTCACCCCCCGCACCTCTGGCCTACAACCCAGTTCGTGTATGCATAAATAAAAACAAAAATCTTAAAAAATAAATTAACAAAAATAAACAAACACTTCCACAAAGAAGCAGGAAGCAGGGTCTTACTATATCACCAAAATCAAGGGCTACAAGCAGAGGATACAAGGGTCCTTGGTGACCCACATATCTTTTGTCCCTAGCAAGTCTCCCTTCCTACCTCATGTTGTGGTTCATCAAGTTCTCTCTCAAGATCCTCCAGCAAAATCACAGCCTCTTCCCCACTTTCTGGACACTGTTCTCTCACCCAGCCTTGCAGCTCCCCAGGCAGGATGGTCAGGAACTGCTCCAGCACCAGCAGCTCCAGGATCTGCTCCTTCGTGCTCACATGTGGCCTCAGCCACTGGAAGCAATGTTCCCGGAGCTGGGTGAGCGCCTCCCTGGGCCCAGGCGTCTCCTGATAGCACAGCTGCCGAAAGCGCCTTCGAAAAGTTTCTCTTGCTAGTGGATTACTGCGTTTCAGTCTTGATTCCTGCATTTGGAAGTGACTTTCTACCTCCCCTTTCTGTGTCAGAAGTTGTTTCCACTCCGCAGGAGCTTGAACATCCCAGGATAAAACCTCCTTTGAGTTTGTATTCATCTTGACCTTGAATAGCTCAAAAAGCACATTCCAGCTGGAGTTATGTTTCGGAAATACCTTTGGAGTCTCCCTCCTAAACAGTAAAAAAAAAAAAAGTTTATATAGAAAAATGGCAATTGCTGATGGTAGGAACTAATAATACAAGCAACTGTCATAGACCTAAAGCTCTTTACTGAAAGTAAAGTGACTTGGTGACCAAAGAATGAGAACAATGCACAATGCAAGTAATGGAATAACAAAAAATGTAACATGTTGTGACCTAGACCTGGATTTTATTCTGGTTGTAACATTTACTAATAGTATGACCTTGTACCAACTTCTTGTCTTCTTTATGTGAAAGAGCAACAATACCTTAAGACCTAATGGAGGAATCAAAAAGATCACACAGATCGCCCAGAAAGGTTAAAATGTTCAGATGCACCACATAAAAGTCAAGGTAAAGTAAGAATGGATCTATTGTTCCTATTCCTATCTTTACTTGAAATTTTAAAATTAACCCTCAAAACAGCCACTGAAGGTAGGCATTATTTTCAATAATTTACAGAAAACTTTGGTAAGGCCTCCCTGGTGGTGCAAGGGGTTAAGATGCAACCTATGAAGCTATTCACAGCCCCTGCAGCACGAGTTCAATCCCCGGCCAGGAAGCTACCCTGTCCTGTCTCCCTGCTGCTCCCCTCAACAGTGTATTTCAGTCAATTTGCCTGTTCTGTTCCCCACTCTGTCTCTGGTGTACCCTCTCACCTCCCCCCACACCACTGGCCTGTACCCCAGTTCTTGTATGCATAAATAAATAAATCTTTGAAAACAAAACAAAACTTTGGTAGATTTCAAGACCTGTGGGCTTTCCACACTGCTCTGCTGCTTCCTAAGAGTTAACACTCCATTGCAGGTACAGGATCAGATTTAAACCTCTCAATTACCCCTGAAACTGGATTATAATCACTTTTGCTAGATAAGAAAAGTAAGCCAAGGGAAAGTAAGCAAGTTGCCTAAGGTCAAATTCTTTGTGAGGACAGTCCTAAGAATCCACAGAAGTGCATATCCAGGCAATGCCTGGGACCCAGGAGGCCTGTATGTCCCCAAAATGTCTAGAAGCACAGCCCAGCAGCAGTGTCTCCCATCTAGGAAATCGGAATGGAGGACTGGGGTGGGAGGAGAAGGCTAGGCGACGCCAAGTAGACATCTTTTAACAGGTTCTCCTGTGATTTGCCTGTACGCCAAGGTTTGAGAATCAATTAACTAAAAGAATATGAACAGGAACTACCACTTTCTGCACTTGAAACCCAGACCATGCGATGCCTCTGAATCAGCTTTTAGAACCACCAGGTGAGGGGCCTCCCCGGGTGGCTCATCGATCCCCGGCTGCTCCCCGGCCACCGGAGGAGGGTCCCACATGGGGCGCAGACCTCTCCTGCCGCCCGCTGCTCCCCTCAGCAGTGTCCTTCGGTCCTTCTGCCTGCTCTGCTCCCCGCTCTGGCTCTGGTGAATTCTCTCACCCTCCCACGCTTCTGACTGTACCCAGTGCATGTATAAACAAACAAAAAAAAGTAATAAACAAACAAACAAATAAATAAGAACATGCCTCTAAAAAAAATAAAAAATAAATAAATAGAACCACCAGGTGAGAGGGCATACTGACTCTCCAGCACTAGGGGACGGAGAGATTTTAAATATTTCTCCTTAACTTCCTCGTCTCCGAGGATATCTCCCCAAACTCCCGGTGTTTCCTACCTTGAGTCCTAATCCTACCGACATCGTGCCACGTGGGGAACCCCGGCACCCCAGCACAGCGCTTACCGGTGCAGCATCCCCGCAGTCGGGAGGATGCCACAGCCCAGCTCCCAGTCCCCTGCTCCGACCCCCGCAGACGAGGCTCCCTTTGAACATCCCTCTCTCAGCCGCGCCTCACCCTATTCCCCCCACACCTCCCAGGACCACTCACCAGACCTGGAAGGAGCGCACGGTGGCAACAAAGGCCCGGCAGGGAAAAGCCAGCCCCTCGCCGGCCACGGAGCAGCCGCACTTCCGGGCTGGTCTAGGACTGCGGGTCTCGACTGCTACCTCCGCGCCGGCCTCACCTGGGAAGCTGCCGCACTGCCTGGCGGCAGATCCTTTCCAACAATGAAGCACTGAAAGAGAAGATCTTACGTGTGGTGGCCCCATTCGGGTTTTAAATGAAAATATAGATAAATCACAGACCACTGACTATTGAAAATGCTCTTTTCACAACACTTAAAAACTTAATACATAACCTATGTTTTTTTTTTTAATTCAAAGAATAAAAATGAATGAAAAGGTGAAGCCCCACCCTGCCCCTTCTTAGACTCAGTTCCCTGAGGTAGCTACATGACACCGTTATTATGCTTGTATATGTGTTTGTAAAATAAGTATACACACATATGACTGTTTTGCATTTAGCCTTTTCTCCATCCTTTATTTTCAGGTTTTTGCTTGTCTTAAACATCTTTGCTGGTGATGTAGGTCTAACAAATGTAGTGGCTGCAGAGTATGATATCAAACATATGTATGACAACTTATTTCTCACATGTACACTTTTGTGCATATGATACGGATCTTTCTCCCTTCTTTTCTTTTTTAAAGATTTATTTTATTTATGCATACAGGAACTGCGGTACAAGCCAGAGGTGTGGGGGTGAGAGGATTCACCAGAGACAGAGTGGGGAACAGAACAGGCAGACTGACTGAAATACTCTGCTGCGGGGAGCAGTGGGCAAGACAGGATAAATCTGCTGCGCCATGTGGGTAGCTCCCTGGCTGGGCATCAAACCTGTGCTGCAGCGGCTGGGGACAGCTTCATAGGTTGCGACCTAAACACTTGTGCTACCAGGGAAGCCCCCTCTCTTCTTTTCACCTTCCTTTCTTCCTTCCTACCTCCTAACGACCCCCTCCTTTTTCTTTTTCTCTTTTTCTTTTTCTTTTTCTCTTTCTCTTTCTCTTCCTCCCCCGCCCCCTCCTTCTCCTCCTCCTCTTCTTCTTTTGCTGCAAAAGGTGTCTGGCTTTTTTAGTAATAATACAAAGTCAGTCTGACACAAATTAAAGTTATGGGTACCAAAGAACATACTTATAAATATTGCTAGCCATTTATCAATTTTATTATGCCAACTAGAATGGTGGTATCACATAGATTAAATTATGTTTTGCTTTAATAGAACTTCATTGTTTATTTTATCACAGTAGTAGAAAAGTATCCTGTATGTTAATTGAGTCTCCATGATGAAATTCTGTAAGTTTCTTTGTTTCCTGAAGCCTAGCCATCAGATGGCATTAAATAAACACAAGTTTCATTCTTTAGATCAACGTATGCAAATATTCAATTAATGTGTAATCATTAAGAACACCACATGAAGATTATTTGCTCAAAATCCTGATCATTTCCCTCAAAATACTTCACTTAAAAAACCCTCAGTACAAAATTTCCTAATAAACTACATAATGGGAGTAAGTACTTGCCTTCTCTTGGACTTAAATAGATTGCTTAAACATGTTTTTCTCTTCTATTTTGAATTTGTGATAAGCAAACCATTTTCAGAAATGTGTCACTTAATATCAGGCTCTCTACCTGGGCTATTTGTGCTTGTTAAGCAGGTCAACTATAGAATTCAGGCAGGCTCCAGCTTAGGGTTAAGAGGACAGCAACTGGACTTTCCTGTAAACAACTCTGAAAAAGACAGTTACCCCTTTTCTGTTTGATGAGTGTCCTGGGACAGAAGGGATTGTTTTTCAGTTGGCATTGGGAATCCCTACTGAAATTATTTAAAATGTCACTTAACTCAGAGACAAGAAGAAATGTTGACTACAGAGCTAACTAAAAAGATTGAGGGGCCTCCCTGGTGGTACAAGAGGTTGAGACCCAACCTATGGCGCTATTCGCAGCTACTGCAGCATGAGTTCACGAGTTCGATCCCCAGCCAGGGAGCTACCCACATGGCGCAGCCGACCTCTCCAGTCTCAATGTGTTTCAGTCAGTCTACCTGTTCTGTTCCCCACTCTGTCTCTGGTAAATCCTCTCACCCCCTGCACCTCTGGCCTGTACCCCAGCTCTTGTATGCATAAATCTTTTAAAAAAAAAAGATTTATTTATTTATTTATACAAGAGCCAGGGTACAGATCAGATGTGCGGGAGGGTGAGAGGATTCACCAGAGACAGATTGGGGAACAGAACAGGCAGACTGACGAAATACACTGCTGAGGGGAGTAGCGGGCGAGACAGGAGAGGTCTGCCGCGCCATGTAGGAACCTCACCGGCGGGCTGGGATTGAACCGCCACTGCAGAGGCTGTGGACAGCTTCACAGCGCGGCACTCAACTGCCTGTGCCACCAGAGGAGACCCAAATAAATAAATCTCTTTTTTTAAAGATTTATTTGTTTATTTATACAAGCGTGGGAGGGTGAGAGAATTCACCAGAGACAGAGCGGAGAGCAGAACAGGCAGACTGACGAAGTACATTGCTGAGGGAAGCAGCGGGTGGCAGGAGAGGTCTGCGCGCCATGTGGGACCCTCGCTGGCGGCCAGGGATGGAACCGGCGCTGCAGAGGCTGTGGGCAGCTTTGCAGCCCAGTGCTCAATCGCTGCACCATCAGGGGAGGCCCCCAAATAAATAAATCTTAAAAAAACATATTGAGGGTTACCTGAATCTGGAAGACAACAACTGGGATATTGATTTCTGCTGTGGGTTATCATAAGCTGAGAAGAAGGAAAAAGAAGGGGAGGAGAAGAGAAAGAAGAGGAATTGGAAGATTGGTAACAAAGAGGTTGAGGGAATGACCTGGTATATGGATAGAGCCAAGTGGAAAAATATGTGTGCCCCTATGAATGTAAGAGGGTTTTAGTAACCTATGATGTAAGAGGGCTTTAGTAAGCAAGCTGATCTGCTCTGTGGATGTCAGTAACTATTTCTTCAATTATCTCAAGGAGCTTTTGATCACAGTGACCATGGCTTCCATGATTGAGAATGTTCACAGGCTTAAAAAAAAGCCTCTCTTTCATTAAGACTAATCTAGACACCAGCACTGTCAAGAGTTGAACCGAACTGCGTGAGCCAAAACCATCCTAAGCCCTAGCTATGGTGTAATATTCCAGTGGGAGCAGCCAGTCATCGGTGGGCAAGTTGACTACATTGGACTCTCTCCATGATGGAGAACACAAAAGTTTACTCCAAAGCAATAGACACTTTTTAGGAATTTGATTGGTGGGGTCTCCCTCATGGCACAAGGGGTTAAGATGTGCACTATGAAGCTATCTGGAGCCACTGCAATAGGAGTTCGATCCTAGCCAGGGAGGTGACACACAGGCCAGAGGTGTGTGTGCGGGGGGAGGGAGGGTAAGAGGATTCACCAGAGACAGAGTGGGGAACAGAACAGGCACACTGACTGAAATGCACTGCTAAGGGGAGCAGCAGGCGAGACAGGAGAGGTCTGCTGCCCCATGTGGGTCACCTCCCTGGCTGGGATCGAACCTGTGCTGCAGTGGCTGCGGATTGCTTCATAGGTTGTGTCTTAACCCCTTGCACCACTAGGGAGGCCCCCAATCTCTATTTTAAATCAGGTTCTTGTGAATCCTTTCCTGTCCCTTAAACATACCCTGAGAAGATCATATAGCTTTCCACTCAATTATTTTTAATTAAATCTTTGTTATGTATTGCATAAGTTATAAAGTCACCAATTCAGAATACAAAAAAAAAAAAAAATACACTGAGGGCCTCCCCAGTGGCGCAGTGGTTGAGTGCTGGGTTGTGAAGCTGCCTGCAGCCTCTGCAGCGCCGGTTCGATCTCCAGCGGCTCCCCGGCCACCGGAGGAGGGTCCCACATGGCGCGCAGACCTCTCCTGCCGCCCGCTGCTCCCCTCAGCAGTGTACTTCGGTCCTTCTGCCTGCTCTGCTCCCCGCTCTGGCTCTGGTGAATTCTTTCACCCTCCCGCGCTTCTTACTGTACCCAGTGCTTGTATAAATAAATAAATAAATAAATCTTTAAAAAAAAAAAAATACATTGAAAAACCTTCTGACTTTTGTTGAGGGTTTTTTTTTTTTTTTTGTCTTTTGTTGATTTGAAAAACAATATTGTAGTTCTATAGGAAAATGTCCTGTGGTTTTTTGGTTGTTTTTGTTGTTTTTAGATGAGTACTGAAAGTATTCAAGAGTCATGATCTCTATAATTTAAAATACATTAGCAGAGAAACTAATATGGCAAAATATGAACACTCACAAATTATGAATATAAAGTGCTCCTTATATATTAAACAGAAACTCTTGGGAGTAGATATGTCTCAGAATTCAGATTTTGTAAAGATTGTTGAAGTACAAAAGGCATCATTTCATACTCTTCTGGGTTCTGACTGGACAAGTGAAACAGCAACAGACAGGTTAACAAAGGAAAAACAATCTATATACTAACATACATATGGAGAATTCCCATGGCTATAAAGTCTAAAGAATAATGGAGCAGACCAGGAATTTTTATTGTGCAATTTGGGACCTGGGATACCAAGGACAAAGAGGGGGAGACTGTATATGACAGAAAAGGAGCGGGCACCCTTATCTTACTAAGAATAAAGAGAGTCTTAGAACATGTTTACTGATAAATCCAGAACTAGCTGAGGTCCCCAAATACATTAGTTTAGGTTGTAAAGGGATAGTAGTAATTGCTTCCTCAGGAAAAGGGCAAAGGAGTTAGGCAAGAGCAAATTTTTCTTAGCCTTCAGGGCTCTCACTGTTCTCAATCCAAAACAATCTGTCTACTTTAAGTAATGGAGACAGACTCCCCCCACCCAAGGTTCACAGGGCCTTGACTGTTCTCTACAGAGAACATACAGAGGTGACAAGAGGCCTGCTCTGGGCTTGAGAAAAGCCTCCCTGACCCTTCTAGAAAGACTGACCCACAAGACTACACAGAATCTTAGTTCTTTATAGGTAGTTTATAGCTTTTTATGCCTACAATTGTAACTGGTCTTTTAGGATTTCCTATTTCTTATAATGTTGTATATACACACACA